AACCTTTGGCTTGAAGCTCACACAGCAGCTGCTACTTGCAAATTGTGTTATCATGTATGTCCATACCATACAGAGCCTTTTATTTATTGGGAAGAATCCTTTTTTCAACAACGCTGCTCCCCCTTGTGGTTTTTGAATATAGTACAGTGTGTTCAAAGGGATGGCTGGTAAGTATGAGCCAAGTTTGGACTTTATTGCCACCTCTTGCTCTAACTGCCCAAAAGCTGTTGTTTTAAGCCATTAAATTTAACACAGAACAACACAACCTGAAACGAATCGTTAAAAAGCTTAAAAAGGGCACCTTGTCTGACAAAAACCTCAAAAAGAACATGACTGAAGCCTCACAAAGGGCCATTCTGCTGTTATTATATCCACCTTGTGTACAGTATATTGGCAGAGGTCATTTTTCATGTGCCAGAAAATGTGGAGAATATGCAGGTTTTTATTTCAACATAACAGTGGTTGACCTTGATATTTACAGATCATTTCATCTATATTTACAGAGAGATTTAATAAATGATCCATGTTTGGGGAGAGGACAGGTAGATTAATGAAGTCAATGTAGCATTTAGTTGACAGTTTTCCTAATGTTGTTACTATGTCCTATTGTTTTAGCCTATGTGCTGCAAGTGAAGGTGGAGATGGAGATGGAGATCCAGCAGTATGAGAAGGCCAAAGCGGTGAGGGAGGAACAACTTGACCGGCTCACCCAGATCTGCCAAGAACAGGCAGTATGTCCTCTTTTCTGTCTCATATCTCCTCATATATCTACTTACAGTCTACATTTTATTGCTTCATGTAACCAGCAGAGGGCAGCAAAGTGCCATGAAAGAAAAACTAATTAAATCTGGACTCAAAAAGGCATAAAAGATGCCTACAAAATTGATCTCATTTTATCACTGGATATATTTTTACAGAAGTTTGTGCATATCAGATAGCCAGCACTGTGCATTATCTCAAAGAAATCTATTGACTACTTCACAATTTAATAGCGATAGTTGAGTCATATTACTCCGCTAAAGAATAAGTCTAACCTCATAAGTGTAGATTTCTCAGATGTCGATCCAGAAGAGAGAGTCTACTGTATGTCTGAGAGTCATACTGCAGCTATAAGGGAAATTGGAAATGTGCTGTTTGGCATATGCCAATCCTAAAACAATAAGTTTTAAGAATTTTCTCCAGATCTCCCATTTGTCTCTCCTTCCTTTCAGTTTGAAATCAGGCAGCTGAGAGCCCACCTGGCCCAGCAGGACCTGGATCTGGTAGCAGAGCGTGAAGCAGCCATGCAGATCCACCATATGTGGGGTAAACAGAGCAGCAGTTTCCAGGAAGTGGACGGGCTGGCCCCTGGGGTCTCCGAGCATCACGGGCCATCTAAAGCCAGAGAGCCCGGGGGGCCTGCAGGTAACTGTCTGGAACACCCAACATTGTATTACAGGCTATCAAAGACCTCAGTGCACAAAGGCGAATTGGGGCTGTGCTACCTATGGGACATCGTGCCCACACAAAGTGGTGATGGTGGAATGCAGAGACTTACTTGAGCCTTTCTAGGCAAGCGATGGCCGAAATGTTATAGATGTTGGCTCATATTGGAAGGTTGCAGGTCTTTGGGGTTGTTAGGAAGAGTACATGAGAAATGCATCCTCATCCTAGGCAGCAGCATGATCCGTCAGAAATAACACAATACTCATAATGTCTCAAAGGAATGTAACATTTGTAGGCTAGTCTTGCTTCAGAGACCTTTTTGTTTGTAAAAATAAAAAATCATTTCACCAAACCAGCAGCCTCTGCAAATAGTAAACAACCCTATTGCTCTGGAGCTCCGTGCTGGAGGGTAGGACAGTGTATTAATAGCGTATTAAATCACACACCGGCACAGTGTTGGTGTCCTCTTCTCAAAAACATTCGTCTCACAATCCACATCAAAATTCTGGTGCCCCACCTAGATGGACAATAAACCTTTCACACAGTGACAGGTCATAACTTATAGGGCTTAAAGCAACAAAGCGCAGTCAGTGCAGGTGATGTCAGGGCTCAAAACACTGAGGCTTTTCCTTCATCAAAGCTATAAATCATACCTGCCATACTTCTGAGCTACGGTGTTTCTGGTCAGACATCCTTTTAACTGGGGCTGCTCCTTATATACTCATGTTGTATTGATCATCTGGAGATGGTCCCTGTCACAGTTAAGGCTGAACAATGAGCAGCCCCTCTTGGGACAGTCATAAAATGAATATGTGAGACCCAAACATAAATGAATATAAGCCATCTGACAGTCCTGTGGGACCTTGGATAGCACTTAAGAGAAACACTTGGACTGATTTAGGATCTGTGAACCACATCCACACCATGTGTTGCTCATTCAGGTAGTGCTAAAACAATTTATTGATTGAGCTATTGGTAGAAGTAGCAAACCAAGTTATTTATCAAGCGAAAATAGAAAACATTTACTCATTTCACTTTCTGTATTATAAAGGTTTTTGACTGTAAAATGAGTAAAAAAAAATGGACTGTTGATCAGACAAAACAAGCAATTTGAAGATAACAGACCTTGGGCTCTGCATCAGTTTTGGCTTTTTTTTTTTGTATTACATTTTGCAGATTAAATAAACTATATCGTTTAAATAAGAATTAGTTGTATCCCTATATATAGGTAGGCCTACCATGAGCTTTATAGGTAACACTTTACTTTAAGTCCCCCTATTTACAATATATAATCAGTATAAAAACATGTAATAACTGGTATAACACACTATAATGTAGTAGTAACATGAGTATTTATTAATGTACAGTATTTAACAGTATGTAACAATTTATTTGTTAAATAAATGCTAAATTAAAGGAGTAGTATGTTAAAAGTGCTTTACTGCTTTCTGTTATTGAACTTTAACCAGGTTGCATGGATTCTAATTAATTAAAAAAGTTAATGTTTACAGATTGGACTTTGAAACTAATGTTGGATCTTAAGCTTTTCTACACTGTGTATGATTAACATCTAAATCCACACTTTATTCATTCACTTTTATTGTGTCTAAGACAATTATGTGGCACATTCTCTTCAGATCACCACGGTCAAGATGACATGAACAACTACATCAGCCAGTACTACAGTGAGCCAAGCAGTGGTGAGCATCAGCAAGATCCTGCTTCACTCTTTTCTGCAGCCCATGTAGTGCCAATGTATTTCAAGGCGCTGTACATTATGTGTTGTTCTTGTAGATATGGGGATCCCAGACCCTGCACGTGTCATCACCACAGCAGCCATAGACGTGCACCTCCCTAACAACCCCAGCCAGCTTCCCTCCTCTTTGGTAAGTGCTGACGCAGTGACGTCCAGCCGCTTGCAGCGCACCGGCAGTGAAGCCTCCACCACCACGGTGTCCCGCACCAGCTTCAGCGCCCGTCAGCACAGTATCAGTAGCCACACACTGGGCTCCACTACAGACTGCAGCTCCACGGTGCGCGAGGCCTCCACATCCACAGATTACAGCGACCAACGCTGCTACCCACCACCCTACAGCAGCCCTCTAGCCCTGGGCACTCAGCCACGGGGGAGTCCCAGCGCTGTGGTGCAGGAGCTGCTCTCCTCTCTGTCCGAGGACTCCTGTCTCACCCAGAAGGGCCTGGACCCAGTCAACCTGAAACCGCCCAGCCCAGCAGGTTCCACTAAAACCAGCCCCGAGCTGGAGCACAGGGTCAACATCTACAACAAGAGGAACCAGGAGAGCAGAGTTGGGCTGCACTCAAAGCCTCTCATCCATCTGCAGGGCAACGAGCCTCTTCTAGAGGAGAAGTACAGGATGATGGAGCCAGTAGACGCCCCAGTCAACCGTCTGTCAGAGACATAAGACTCTGCCTGACATGTGGAACTTCACAGGACTCGCTCTTCAGATCAACCGCAAAAATTAACGCTCTACTAAACTGGTGTGGTTGGGAGTCACTGGCACATAAACTTTATGTCTGTGATCCTCTTTGTACTGTTGGGACAGGATGAGCTAAGCAGAGCAGCACAAAAACAGAGGGCATGGAAGGCTGGAGGAGGCAGACTTGTTATCAGGCACCACTTATCAGGAATTGACATTCACAAAAACACTTTCTGAGTTTTATGAAATCTTACCAAAAGAAACCAGCAACAGGGCTTGAGCCCAAAATTTTCAGACAACTGGTCTGTGCAGAAAAAGAAAAAGAAATCTGGCTTTTGATAAGTTAAAGTTTTGGTTTGATTTCTAGGAAGGGAAACCAGTGAGGGGATGGTGCTGAGGGCTATGTTCCTCTGATACACGTTTAGGAATTGACTGGACTGATCAGATCATGTATTGGAAGGCCACAAACTGTGACTCTCTTCTGCAAGCTACAAGGCATGGATTTATCATAAGTGCAGGTGTATCGGCTGTTTTGATAGTCTAGTGTCTCCTAACTCACAAAGAACAGTCCCCTTTGATTGGACTGCTGCAGGGTACATTGGATCAGTCTCAACTCCTTTCTAATCTTTGTCTTTCTATATTAGCCATGTTAACATTTTTATCTAAATTCTAAGAGAGGAAAAGAGTGCAGAAAAGTTTGACTGGTGGATGAATCCAGTGATTCAGAGAATTTTTATCCAGGTGACATGACTGGAATCTGACCAAACTCAAACCTGAGTCAGTGCTTAATGAGATTCAGCAAACCACAGCATGTCCCTCACGTACCGAATTGATCTACCTGCACATGATGGATTTGACATCATTCAGGTCTAAAATGTTACCTTCTTATTTTAATGTCTGGAAGCTGTGTAAATATTTCAGGATGGGTTTGATCATATCACAGCCAGAAAAAGTGAGGGACTGGAAGTGGAGCTATAATAAAATGTCAAAAAGATTAAATTTATAGCATGAACCTTTTAAGATTTGCCTCTTAAATACTCAAACTAACCCTGTTTATTGTACTGCTGACAGGCATTTTCTATCTTGATCAAGGAAAGAGGGCATTGCAAAATGAATCCAATAAAGGGAAAACATGGCAAAACTAGTAGTTGTCATTTTATTTCCAAGAGCATCTCATTAAGTACACACTACTAGGTTAGCATGAAGAGCTACATCTTACAGTCAACCACAACAGTCACACATCTAAAGCCAAGTCCCAAAGATGTCCTTTACTGTACCAGAAAATTAAATACAAATTACAAACAGTACTACTAGAGGCATGACATACCACGCCCCATGTTTAGTACAACCATATTCATTGATATTTAATGCTTGTATTTATTAAAAACTGGCATTTATTTCTAGATTGATAGTGTTCTGTTTCCAGATGTTGGAAATTATTTCTCCACACAAACGCTTCAGACATGTATTAAGGCAGTGGGCTATGTGCTCCTGTTCCCGAAGTCTTCTTACTCCAAGTTCCAGCTGTGTGATGGACATTTGGTGGGACTTTGTTTCTCCTTACTTCAGCGCTGCACTCATTTCAGGAACAACCTGAAGAGAAAACAGTGCAGAGACTTAACATAGTATTCAACCAACATTCTTCAGTGGCATTATGGCAGGACCGAACACAGTAAATATTTTCTGTTAAGTGTATTTACTGGTTTGGTTTGTTCCAGTCCTGAAAACTCTAACTACATGTTTGTAGGCGCTCCAGTGCACTTTTGAATCAATCACTTGTTAACTAAACTTCAATGCACTGGAAGATTTTCAAGCTATTTCTATTCTGCATTAATAACTGCTGAGACCGCTTGAAACATTTCCAGGCTTTATCTGTGGGGATAAATGTTCGCCAACACCTGTCATTTCCATCCCCAGCAAATTCCATTTAAAAAGATTTATGAGTTTATTACACAAACCATCATGCATGCTGGTGCTTACAATATAAATGAGCACACCGACTTTCACCTGAGATTAATCAAGACAGGCTGCAGGCATACAAACATTTATCACAGTGTTTGCAAGGTTGACAAATGCAGAGCGAGATTCTACAGGGGAGGCAACTGGCCCATAATAAACAGGCTGATAACGCCAGTTGCGCAGGTTTAAAAGAAGACAAATTCAAAAACCTTTTATGGTAAATACGAGTAGAAAATTATTCAAATGGCTCTCCTTGTGAGTCGAGCAACTTCAGAACAGAATCATCAGTCACTGCCTGAGTTGGTCTGAGGTATCAACTGTCCGTTTGGGGGGAAAAGTAGAAAGCCCATCCATTTTAATCAGCTATTTGAGGAGTGATCACATGTAAGGTGATCTCACCCAGTAGGTCACAACTCTACTGCCACTAGCTATTATATACTGATCACTTAAACAGAGTTTGTCAGGACACCTGGGCTGCTCATACACTACTGAAGGGGCTAAATAAAACATGACCAACAGGACACACATGAAAATATAACCTACTAGCCTTTCACAAACGGTGCAGGACTCCAGTGTTAGCCGTGCCAACACTCCTGGCTCACTATCCCTAAGTACCAGCTAGATACAAGATAGATAGAGCGTGTAAAAGGCCTGGCATGTAGAAACTGAATACAAAACTCAAGACATCTTTTAAGTAACTCTGGATCACTTTTTCTTTGGATGCTAAGGTGTTTCTCTCTGAACGGCACACTCAGCCACAACTGTCCTCTGATTAATTCAACGACTTAATAATTCAACAGTTGCACATTTCCATTAGGTGGAATAAGGGATCGTGCAAAATTTATCAGTGAGAAAGCAAATGTTAAATTCTGACTGTCACTCTACACTCTTAGCTATCAAAACATACGAGTAAGTCCTGGCAGAAGGTGCCTTTGTCTCACTGCTTGCAAGAGCAAAGTGACATAAATGCAGCACTATCAATCCCAAACACTTACCTTGAAAAGATCAGCAACCAAGCCATAGTCAGCCACCTGGAAAATGGGAGCCTCTGGGTCCTTGTTGATTGCGACAATAATCTAAATAAAAAAAGAACGTTACAAACTGTCTATGTCTTCTGCTTAGCCAAAAGCACAGAAATAATCTGATATTTCAATGAATAAAAATGGAATTTAGACTCTTTATGGCAACATCCAAACATCATAGCAAAGGGTGTGACAACCAGTGTTACGTTTGTGGTTGTCTCATTGTGTGCATAAGATGAGTGCGTGCAGACACTGGCATGTGACTTTTATTTGACGTGGTACCAATTTCTTTGAAACAAGGAAACTGTTTTTACAAATTCTGTCAAGTGTCTGTCAATCAAACTCAAGTGGAACATTGCATGTGGCTCCAGTGACTTTACCTTGCTATCTTTCATTCCAGCCAGGTGTTGAATAGCTCCGGAGATACCAACAGCAATGTACAAGTCCTGTGCACAAGAACATAAGACAACCAGACAAGTGTTACTCGCTTGTAGACATGAGATGTAGTCTCTTTGGAAAAGGTACACGTACGGAACAGCAGAGTTGACTGATGGTGTAATGACCACGGGTGTGTAATCTATCAGAGGGTGCTGGGGCAAGTGCGCAAAGGGTCAGCCGTCCCAAAACCCGCTGGGAAAACCATCTCTGCCTCTCAGTTTAATGAGTGAATGTTTCACTGCTTATTTAATGTTGCACCTAAAGCCTCAGAGGAGCAGAGCAGCAATCTGTCAACACAATAGTGCTTCATAACATTAGAAAATGCATAAAGCAACCTTACACTAACACAACAATGACACGACAACAGAATCTGCAGGTTCCTCTTCTTGTATGATCAGTTCATGAAGTGCAACTTATTCCAATGAGATGATTTGGCCATTCCAACTGAATCTTAATGTTTTTACCTAAAACAAACAAAATGTACATTTGTGTGGTTCATCCAGTGTCTGACCACCACTTTACACTCAGAAACAAACCACTGTTCAAAGACACTTGACTTGAATGATGATGATGACGATAAATTGTACTTTAATCAGCAGAGATTTTTATACATGTAAATAAAATGAATTCAATTCAATTCAATTCAATTCAATTCAATTCATTTTATTTGTATAGCGCCAATTTATAACAGAAGTTATCTCGGGACACTTTTCAAATAGAGCAGGTCTAGACCGAACTCCTTATAACATTACTTGATATTAAAATGACTGAATGCTTTATTTTACTGAATACACTAAACATTTTTAGATTGGTTGGATGAAAAAAAAATAAAGATTTCAATTATACTTAATTAACTTAGACAAATTCAACAAGCTTGTCATAACATTGGGAAAATCCAATTTGGACAGTCTGCCCTGGCCTGAGGCTCTGACCAGACATCCACTGCACTCTGCTTTAATGGATCAGCTAAATCATTTAGGCCCCTAAATGTGCCATCCAGTACATTTTGCAGGGCCTAATGTGTGGATAATCACAGCTGGGGTAACCCGGCTGAATCATATAATGGGAAGTTAACCTTTTTAAAAGGGTAAAGCAGCCACTCTGATCACACTGGACGGCAGGCATTCTATGTAAAGGCAAACAGGCATTTGTCAAAAGCAACAGATTTGTCGCCTCTGATACTGGAACTGAGTTGTGCTCCCTGCCTTAAAACCATTTTCTTTAAATGTCATTTTGCCATTTGAAAATGTTCTATTGATTATTGTCGTACAAGATGAAGTACATCCGTATAACAATTTCATAAACGGAATAACTTACCGGGGCTACAATCTTGCCTGTCTGTCCAACCTGCATGTCATTCGGGACATACCCAGCATCCACTGCAGCTCTGGATGCACCAACTAGAAAAAGGATATTATGCAATTTAAACACTACTTTAGTAAAACTAATGACTGGGTTAGTGATAAGTGATAATCCCATTCTACCTGCAGCATTCAGTTTGTCGGCAAGGTCATAAAGCAGCTTGAAGTTATCTCCACTCTTCAAGCCCCTTCCTAGGAAAAGAAAACATCATTATTCTGTGGGGGGGGACACATACTGGATTCTCTACAAACCTCAACTTCTAGTCAACAAAATGTGATGATATTGCAGATTTAGATTAACACTTCCAACACTACAAGAATTAATCCAGCCTGTAGTTGAGCATGGCTTTGACGAAAACACACAGAATGTGGCTTTGCAAACAAATGGTGACATTAAATTGACCGTAATTTGTTATTCAGAAGACAAAAAGATTTCACACCTCCTGACACCACAACCTTAGCGCTGGTCAGCTCTGGGCGGTCACTCTTTGTCAGATTCTGTTCCAACCACTCAGAAATTCCAGTGGCAGAAGAAGCAGCAACTGCAGTCAACAAATGGCGAGAAGGGACATTGTATCAAAAATATATTTGTAAAGATATCTTGGCATGCACTCTACCAGGGCTTTCTGGATGAATCTATAAGCCACTTTACCATCTTCTGATGCAGCAGTTCCTCCCTCTGTTGGAGCTGCCTCAAAGGATGTCCCTCTGACTGTGAAGACCTTGATCGCTTCATTACATTTCACAGTGCTGAGAGCATTTCCTGTATAATACAAATATTATTAACATGCATTATTTGAAAAGCACTGAGAAATCATCAACGAAAACTTGAGTAACATTGTGTCGTATCAAGGATGTACCAAATACATGATTTAACACTTCTTCTGGAGCATGTCAATACTAGTTTAGGAGAACATTGGGTTTTTTTGTTTACGATAATAAAAGGGCTTACCAGCATAAATGGCTCTGACAAAAGTGTCTGGAGACTTGATCTCAATAATATCTGAAACTGGAGCAACATCCAACTTGGCAGCCACTCTGGGAAGCAGGTTCTGCAGAGGAAAATAATAAGCAGGGAAATATGCACTGATCAAACTTGATGAAGAATCAAGAGGAGAAAGAGGGATTATAGTTCATAGACTGGCAGAGGTCATGATGATCAAAAGAGTTTAGGAAATTGTTGGATATTTTGTAAAATTCAAAATATTTTAAGCTAGAGGGTCTGACTTTCTAGAACGGATGTGCATGTGGTAGAATAGAAACTCATCTTCACTCGGCAATTAGAAAGTAAATACATTTCAAAATATATAAATAAAAATTATACAGGCACTGCTCTTGTTCATAACTTACTTTTCCGAAGGCAGACGCACCAGCACAGATGTGGGTGAAACTGAATTGCTTTTGTGTTGCCAGGATAAGTGGAGTCAACTCCTCTGAGGAAGAGAAAATACAATCAGAAAGCCGAAACAAAATCAGGTAGGTATAGGCCTGTCTAGGCTGTGCCAGGTCTAGCCAGCTTAAACATAAGAGCAGGGAAATCAAATGAAAACCAATCTCCCCTCCCCCAGTTACTACTGCCAAGATGCACCGGGGCTGGAATTCAAGCACTACATCATCCAGCTATGAATATGTGGGCCTGTGCATATATGAAGCAGGTTATTGCTAAAATAGGCATCCGGTTTCCTTCGTGTTTCATACCTGGCATGAAACCTTTGTAGGAATCATGTTGGGCAACCAAAACCTTCTTCACACCTTGGACTTTGCTGATTTGTTCCACAACCTGGGGAGACAGAAAACAATCTGATGCACTATACGACATTCTTAACTACCCAGTGTTTTTGCTTATCCAAATGTTAATGCAGTACGATACTGCCAAATAAACATCTAAATTCAATCACAAATACAACACATTTGGTAAAAACAGATCAACGTAAAAAGCTTTGCCTACCTTTGCACAGTTTGTTCCAGCAACCAGACAAGACACGTCTCCGCCCAGCTTACTGGCAGCAGTGATGGCACTGAGTGTAATAGGGGTCAGCTTGTCATTGTTGTGCTCTGCAACTACCAAGGTGCTCTGGAACCTTTGTAGGAGACCAGTCTGTTGGAAAGTCATTTGAATAAATTAAAAAATAGAGAAGACTAGAGCTCTTCAATGAATACCACTGAAAACATGTTTTTCTTAGTCTTGATAAAACATTTTTGAGCTACCAACTAAATCAAATTTGCTGAGAAAGATTTCGCTTTCTGCTGGCAATGCCTGATCCTTAAAGTTGACATGTAATCAAGAATGTATAAGATATTATTTTGTTTGTATTGTAATATCATTCAGCTCTAGGAGTTATGTTTTTATTAGTTTATTACTACACATGCACATAAGACAATACAAGATATATAATAATCTACTATCTAATTATCCTTTATTGCTCCCAAAACAGTGAAATTTGCAATGTTACAGCAGCAAAGGGGATAGTGAATAACAAAGCATGAGTAAAAAGACAAAAAAGAAATTAGAAATAAGTAAACAGCAAGATATAGACAAGAAATAATAAGTAAAAAACAAGAAAAAATATAAACAACTAGATTAATAACAAACAACAGCATTAATACACAATATAAACCTCAATATAAACAAGAAGAACATAAAAGGAAACCAGAACAGGTTTCATTATTGCACACGAATCGGTGCAAATCACTGAGTATTGAAAGTGCACACACAAGTTAGAGAGCAAGCCTCTGAAACAGCTGCTTCAGGATCAGTCAGAGTTAAACAGGGTGATACCAGCCTCATCTGGACAGGACTGAACGCTATCAGCTCATAAAGGTCATTCACATTAAGACAAACAACTAAAATACCACATGCTATTTGTTAGTCGTAACCTTCAACGCGTCTCACATGAGATGAATTACTTCATTGTGTAACTCTTTGGTATCTAACACCTGCTGCATCAATGACAATGTGGCAGTTTCATAAGCTGTTGTTCAACGTTACGAGGTTTCATAACCGCTAGCCTAGCTATGCTAACAGCAGCTAGCACTGGCTCAAAAACAGTAACTGTTCATTTATATTCTGGCTATATCACGATTTATATATCAAGCTAATGTCAGAATACGTAAACAAACGCTGTCACACGCAAATTCAAAATAGTAACGTTACCACAAGCACGAGTTACATCACGGCTACGTTAGCTAGCGAGCGAGCTAGCAGCTGCTGCAAGACACGCGAGTTGTTTTTTGTGTTCTCACTCCGCCTTTAAGTTAACAAAACAACACAAAGTCTGTGCATGCTGTGAAGTTACAACTACACACTCTTACCAATTGTTTCAGACTGGTTTTGTTTAAAGCTCGGTTCATCTTGGACTCTTCTGGCTGCTTGCTCCTCAGTGCTGCAGAGACACAACTGTGCCACAGGTCATCTGACGTTTGCGAGGAGTTCTCGCGAGATAGACAGACCAAGAACGAGATCTTCCGGTCATAGCCCCTCCCTCTCTCCCTCTCTGTCGCTCCAAGAAAAGTACAAATCAAACAATTACAATACAATATAATAAAATACACAGGCACTTCAGAAGTGTGCCGCTTTATGAGAATAAGTTCACGTACGTAAACATTCATGATTCCTGGATCTAAACAATTTCCTCCCTCAGAAACTAAATAAAGTAGGACGACACTTACAACATACAGGCCTTGCTGCTCTTCAACCTATTGTCTTAATGATAGTGCTACTGTTACAGCCACTGTCTCAGATTGTCTTTCCAATTAGTATAATTAACCCGCAAACAAGTACAGACACAAACAATAGGCCTATTATTAAATTTTTTATATATATTTATTTCATAAATGTTGGAAGGCTTGCACATAGTTGCAAATAAACATAGAAAATAAATATTTCATTGGCTGTCTCTGTTTTGTCGAATCATTACATCAACATATGTAAATCCCACATCACATTGGGTGCTGGGTGCATTTACTGAAATCAAAATCCTAAAATGTTTATAGCCTTTATATAGCCTATTTAACTATAGGCTTAAACCTCTTTTTCGATCATATATATTTGAGGAAATATTTAAAAACCTGCGTGACAGTTCATCCTGATCTGATGTGTAAATATATATATATACATATATATATCAATAGCAGAGCACTTGTGTTTTCTTTCACTGGATTCTTCCTTTGAGGAGAGAAAGAGAGAAAACTGACAAATGTAAATCAACAAAAAATTGCTTTGTCGCATCTGAGAAGCAAATCGTATGAATATATCTGAATGATTGATTTACAGATTAATTATATTTATCTGAAGTTAACGTTGAACCGAAATTAAAGATGTTTACGTGTTTTTCCACAAAAGCAAAATTTAAACAAAAACAGGTTCTCAGAGTATCTGCAGTGGTTTCATTCTGTCGCTCCTTCCCTCTCTGTCTTTCAGATTATTGAATATTAAGGGTTGATTGAGTCTCTGTGACAGTAAAGGAATTATGAATAGCCATCCGTCTTTGGGTCCTTCATATTTACAGTTGCCTATTTTTTTATTTATTTATCGTCAGGGCTTCATATCGCTATTAATCACAATAGGTATATATGAAGCTCGGGTGTACAAATAATCCATACGGTAAGGTAAAAAGATCTATTTCTAAATTGTGCAGCTTATTGATCGCTCTGTGGATCCAAGATCTCTGTATGTTATTTCATCCAGTAGAGGGCTCTCTACAGTAGGGTGAGAATATTGGTGAACTAGTACAGTCACTTAAATAAAACCAAAACAAAAATATATATTTTATTAGTTTTTTTAAAAAGTATTTAGACTCCTACCCAACAATAATAATCATCATAATAAGCACAATAATCATAATTTTATTATACATTATAATTTTCAGCATTTATAGTAACAAAAAGATAGAATGATTAAACTTTAATTTTTTTCGTAACTGTATTTGAGAGGAAATTCAAACATAATATGATGGATTTACTAGAACAAAACAATAAAACAGAATATCACTGTAGTGTGAGTATAAGCTATATTGACATGGATTAGTTACCATAAACAACACATAGGCTATTGAACCCCACAGACAAATATTAAGGGAATGTGATACCAAAGTAAATAATATCATAAAGTCACACTTGATATCACACAGAAGTCCCTATAATAGTGAGCTAACGGGAAACTGCTTCCACTTAACAAACAGAGATCTGCAGGAAGCGTGCATGCATGGAACAAAAAAATGAAACAAAAAAACTACTCTCACAGCCAGTCCAAGGAGCAAAAAGGAAAAAAAAAGAGAGAGAGGGGAGAGCATGGGTCCAGGAGCAGATTTGCATGCCACCCTCTCCCCGGACCCACAGACGTCCAGGTTTGCAGACGTCACATGGTCGAGGATCTTTGTTTTCTCTCCACCTCTCGGTGGAGGAATACAAGTTTATCACCCAGCCAGAGACGGGACGGTCTCCTCTGCCGCTCCTCTCCTCCATCTATCGGCTTGCACTGGGCTATTTCTCCTGTATGGTGGATATCCTGCTCAACACTTCTTTCTTGGATGATATGGGGGATCATTCAAAAAGTAAGTTATTCCCCTTTATGCTCCTATATTAGCCTACTATTCTGGGGGTTTGGTAGTTTTCTTTAGTTCATATTTATGTCCTAACCGGCGTGTTGTCTCTTGAAGTTGATTATCAATGGCTAGATTCATAACGAAAACTAAGCAACCAAGCAATAGACCTGTCCTCACGAAAACCCGCTATACTATTTACCATAACCTTATATAGGCCTATATTTATATTGTAACTATGGTGATCGTATGACCCATCCAGTAGGTTACTTCATGATATTTTTAGCTCCTGTGTCCTCATCAAATAACTCAGTAATATTCTTGGAAAGACTTGGGCTTCGTGTTTGTTGTGATACGTGAACAACATTTTCTCCTTAAGGTGAAGGGGTGAAGGTGATTTAACAGGGATGTCATGGGGATTAAACGAGCGCACACAGTGTTGCATTAATGCATTCCCCCCCATTCACACAGAGAAGTCGGGAATCGCGATGTGTGTGGGCTGTGGAAGTCAGATACACGACCAGTACATCCTGAGAGTCTCCCCGGACCTGGAGTGGCATGCAGCCTGCCTCAAGTGTGCAGAGTGCAGCCAGTACCTGGACGAGACCTGCACTTGCTTCGTCCGAGACGGAAAGACATACTGTAAAAGAGATTATGCAAGGTAAAAGGAGTTGAACAGAGTTTTCAGAATACTTTCCTAAAAAATTAAGAGGCCATGTGTTTGGCTGTTGAAAAGAAAGTGGCTGTAAAAAGAGAGCAACTGAGATGAAATTATTGTCCCATAATGATATTGTCTATTTCAGTGGTAAATGTGCAAGGGTTTACACTGAATCAGATTTGTGTCGCAGGCTTTAAGTTGTTTTTATTCCTTTTCCCTGTGATCATTATATCAGTTCACAGCTTTTTATTGTGCTTCTTTTGATTGGAACATGGACCGAGATCAACATCAGTTTAATTCAACAACTTTTAGGGCCGCTGCATGAGACCAACACGTCTCCGTGCTCCTTTTCAGGTTATTTGGCATCAAATGTGCAAAGTGTAACATGGGCTTCTGCAGCAGCGACCTGGTGATGAGAGCTCGGGACAACGTGTATCACATGGAGTGTTTTCGGTGCTCGGTTTGCAGCCGACACCTCCTGCCTGGGGACGAGTTCTCCCTGCGGGACGACGAGCTGCTGTGTCGGGCGGATCACGGCTTGCTGGTGGAGCGGGCGTCTGCGGGGAGCCCGCTCAGCCCGGGGAACATTCATACCAGACCGCTGCACATCTCAGGTAGGCAAACTGGCTTATTATGGACCGATAAAAACTGAAATCTAACACAGGACACTAGAAAATGTTGTTATTATCATTATTAGCCTACTATTATTATTATTTTTATTTTATTTTTTTATTATTATTATTATTATTATTATTATTAGTGCTTATTTTTGATGCAAAATTTGTATTTCTTAAGTTTAATTTAATGCTACATTTTCGACTGGAAAGATTTATATTTTGTGTGCATAGAGGCCAAAATGAAAAGGGTTTACTGTTTTGTTCTATAACACTGGAAAATGTCTGGAAAGTTTAAAACCTAATGAGTGTATTGAGCTTTCCAGTATTTGGTAGCCACATTTTTGTAGCCCATAATATTTCCATAACGTGCAGACGGTGATCATAAATCCATAATTGTAGCTTTAATTTCTTAATCTAAGCTGCTATCATTTCTTATAGACTTTTAAACATTTATCTATATTCATTGATCTGCAGTGTCTAATTTATTTTTGTAACTTTTTTCCTCAGACACGGTTTCGGTCCGGCATCCTCCTCATCACCGGAACCACGTCCACAAGCAGTCCGAGAAGACCACTCGGGTCCGGACGGTTCTGAACGAAAAGCAGCTCCACACCCTGCGGACCTGCTACAACGCCAACCCGCGACCGGACGCTCTGATGAAGGAGCAGCTGGTGGAGATGACCGGCCTGAGCCCCAGGGTGATCCGCGTCTGGTTTCAGAACAAGCGCTGCAAAGACAAGAAGAGATCAATCCTGATGAAGCAGCTTCAACAACAGCAACACAGCGACAAAACTGTGAGTTGTTTTTTATAGATGCATGGAAAGAATATTGCAATACTATAGTCTGTTTCTGTTTCACAAGTCCAATGTGTCTAGGGATTATTAGGCTTATTTTCTGCCCCACAAAATATGTGATTCATTCGCCTCTGGTTTTAAAAATAATATGGAAAGCTCTGCAGAAGTCTGTGTGAATGATCAGGTAACCAAATGATGTTCATGCGCAATGCCTTTACTCTATAAAATAAAGAAAGAAATGGCCTAATAACATTAAATAGAGCAACATGAAAATATTTAAATGGCTGATAACATGAGATAAACAACAATTACACTGATAATTTTGAATAGACAGAAAAGAAAATAACACTACGCAACAGTAACAATAATCTTTCCAACACCACTAACTGCTTTGTGTTTCCTTTTATACATATTCATTTGTAATAAATCAGAGAATACTTCTAAATTAAATTAGAGTATGGAATTATTTTTGAATGCAATTACCCAACTATTACAGAATTAGAGTTAGGCTATTTTACAGGTTCATAGACCTTCGTTTATTGTACATTTTCTACAGATCAGTTGTGAGTTAATGGTCATAAAGATTTTTTTGTTGGTTGTCAAGCAAAATTAGTTCCCTAATAATGACCATAAATGCCTTGATTTTATTTTTTTCTGTGCATCACTCACCTTGTATGGAGTCATGTAGTTAAATAGCAATCCTGGAGGGACTTCACCCTATCACTGGCCAATATTTGGGCGAAATATGAGTGGTTTTTTCGTTCCTCCTGCAGAATCTGCAGGGCCTGACAGGCACAGCTCTGGTGGCAGGCAGTCCTATCCGGCACGACAACACCGTGCAAGGGAATCCTGTGGAGGTGCAAACCTACCAGCCACCGTGGAAAACCCTCAGCGACTTCGCCCTGCAGAGCGACCTGGACCAGCCTGCCTTCCAACAGCTGGTAGGATTACATTAAATCAATTATATTAAAAAAAAAGAAAAAATTATAGCCTATCAAAAATAGCAAGATGAGGCTAGTAGGCTTACATTTACAGAGAGAAAGAGAAAGGAACGAGGAGGACGGATTTGTTAAGTTAAGAATAATTCAGAGCATATAAACTGATGGTCTAATCAAGACGTTAGTTTTGTAACAGTGATGATGATGATGATGATGATGGTCTTCATTTAAAAAAATAAAACAACACACAATTGTTCCATCTATGTTAGAGTATCTCAAAACCTAATTTATAAATACATTTCTAATTAAAATAATTTAAATTCATAATCAAATAATATTTAAGCCTTTCATTTTCAAAAGATTCAAGTGCAAACAAGCTGTTTCTGTTTCTCCCATCAGCATAAGTGACTCCCCACGTGGGGTCACTTATGCTGATGGGGTCTCGTGAGATTTTCGAATGATAAAGTGACATGTTTTCATATGTTCCTAATAGATAGCCTAGGGCTTGACAAAAAAAAAAATATATATTTCTACACCCCTTTGGATCCCCCATACTTTTTGTCATAAGCCCATGCGCATGTTGACATCTCTTTAACCGGGTGTCCATGAGAAGCTTTGGCACCCTGAGATACACAGGCTGGTTTTTAAAGATCTCTCTGTGGCCCTCTGACAGGTGTCTTTCTCTGAGTCGGGCTCTCTGGGCAACTCCTCGGGCAGTGATGTGACCTCGCTGTCGTCGCAGTTACCGGACACACCGAACAGTATGGTGCCGAGTCCCATCGACACGTGAAGAGGCCGTCGAGGTCAGCTGGATTCCCCCCCTCCCTCCCCTCTAACCCCCAACCATCCCTACACCAACCCAGCCCCCCCACCCCACCCCAACACCCCCGAGCGCGCACCCACGTCCTCTGGCACGGACGCGCAGAGACCTCAGTTACATCCAATGAAGAAACACGAATAATAAAGGGACCAGGATGGATTATGCTCGAGGATACATTCAGGTCCCGACTGGAGGATTGGAGGTCTGACTATTCCTTTCACGTTTAAGCCTCTAAGCTCACGGTCTTGCTCAAGGACACTCCGGCAGGACACACAGCTGTTGATGGACATTGTGGGCTTCTACTTGCCTTCTACCATGATGCCAATGCCTGAACTGGCCCATGACGTGGTGAATATGTTATGGGAATCGAACACGTGAGCCTGCATTGGACGTCTGAACGTTAATGTTTACAGTATGTTTATCAGGAAACCCACAATAGCTACAAACTGTGTAGATGTGCATGATTTGTAAGTTTCAATATCGACTCTTGTAAATGAATGAAACAGATGAGATGCGCCCTGTTCGCGCTTTCTCCAGAAAATAAGTTATTATTATTTATTATGAGGACAGACATAGCCTATCTTATCAATAAAACAATAGTTCTAACTGATTATTGCATGCAAAATCCATTTTGTTTCGTAAACCTTGCGAGGATTTTTAATTATAGTCGGGGAAAATAAATCAGTTTTAAGGTAGCCTAAATGGAAACGCATCTGCAGCTTATAATGCTTGACACTGTTTTAAGTGGAGGTTAGAGCTGGAGGAGCTCTCTTGTTTACATTATAATAAGGGCTAATTCAGTAAAAAAACAAAACAAAAAAACTAAACAAATAAATACAGAAATATACACGTTTTGGCAATCAGAAATGTTCAATTGCCCGATTATTTTTTGGGGGGGTTTCTTTCTCTGTCAGTAATCTGCAAGCTGCAGTTCACAAAACCCTGAGGTAGAAACACTGCTTATATTTAGGCCTGCTCACTTTCTGAGCCAAACGGATGAGCGCCTGATGGCTGGCATGATTTTATAAACCATTTGGTCCATGTGTGACTGAATCAAACCCAATAGGCCTGTTTAATTCCTCCTCACAGCAAATCTTGCATAATGTTTCGTTCAGTGATTTAACGATAAAATAATATTTAGACAACTGTCATAGTGTCATACCCACCCGAGGCCCATGGTTGCAAGTCTAGACAGAGGACAGGCAGCGGCGGCCGCTTATCTGCATCTGGCATCACCTGTTAAAGGATACACTGAATGGACCCAAAACAAAACGCGCAGCCGCGCAGCGCTAAGGGGACTCCCAGCCTGCGGACGCATCCTGGCGTGTCTTGAGTTTATTTTCATTCCAGTAGGAATCCTGAACGGCAAATAGCCGCTGGACAAGGGAGCATGCAGGTCAAGCCGGGTCTGACACACTACACCTCAACAATTTGTTGGGGAGGATCGGCTTTTATCAGTGAAGGAAATGGGAGTCTCATTGAAATTCAAAATCCTGTCTTTCAGACATGCTGATATAGGCCTACTAAATCTTTAAACTGTGTGCAACAGTAGCGACAATACATGTAAGAAGGAAATGTTAATTAGAAAAAGACTATCTAATGACATTTGATATGCTCACTATCAGAATTTTAAAACAAACGCACATTTTGAATTTGAATGCTGATATTTTAGGATTTTTTTTAATCAAACCTGGTACAGAAGACTTTAAATATACTAAAAATTAAACACTGGCTACCAACTAAAATTAGAGAAACTGGATGAAATCCTTCAGCAGTTTCACACAGAAAAAAAATGCAAAGGGCAGTTTTTTGTCTTTTCCCCAACATGATCTTAGCCTGTAAAATGCTGCCTGAAAAAACTGTATCACTATATTTTGAATATAAACTAACTCATCCATAAAATTCCCAAAATCAGTACAGGGCAGGCACAGAGGAAAGTGGCTTCCTTGAGGCAGCTAGACACACTGGTGGTGTCCAAAAGTAGAATCACAAGTTCTTTAAAATATTTTCTTTTTACATCTGAAACCCTTTTTTCTTCTTGCTGGTGTCAGTTTATGAGGACCAGTGAAGACCAGTACCCATATATTCATGTTTCTTTGAGATTCAGTAACGGAGATTGTTTTCTACAAATTGCATTTGTCCATCAAATCATAGACCAAGGACATCTTTATTATCCAAGTTCATGAGAGTCTAACTGACAAGAGAAGACGCAACACAAAGCCAAACAAGAGTAGAAGTGTTGTTTGTTAAGTCACACTCGTGATATTAATTTAACATTGCAGGTTATACAGAATAAAACTGAAGAACAACAATACAGTCAGTATTTTATTTTATATGATAAAGGCAAATAACTCAATAAATTATATTAATTTGTAGGTGTCTCTTAACAGAGAGAAAAGAAAAGAATATGACGTGAACTTGAAAAATATAACTCTTAACACATATTTGCAATCAAGGCAGGTCATATAACTCATGACTGGCATTCTGTAGACCAAAGAAAACATTCATTCACATTGAAAAATGAGACAAATACAATAAATTAACATAAACAGTATTAATGAAAATGCTTGGCAAATTCAATATTACAGTATCAGTAAATGTTTCAGGTTTAGTCACTGCACTGAAAATGGATCCATTTCTATCTACAACAGAAACACAAAGAGAAACAAATGGCTTGTTTAGACATTAAATGGAATAGTTGTGCATGTGTTCTAAGTAACTGCAATGTACAAACAAGACATTTTGTGCAAATTCCTCATAAACATCAATCAGATTTCCAAGAAATCAAAACAGATGCACAAAAACCGGATAAGGCTTCACAATCTTTAAATTTGACAAAGTCTGAAGATCATATTAACTCTTGTGCAGACTTTAAGTCAGGAAAAAAAAGACAAAGAAAAAGACAAACACATCCAAAAACAACTCCACATATCAGTCTCTTTTGCAGTGTTTATACTGTGCTTATCCATTCAGGACACTGTGCAACTCCATCACTCTTCCTGTTTCTTGAGAAAGAACTGCAGCGCTGAGTCCCACTGATCTCTCGGAAAGCGGTTAGACAACTCGCAGTAATCAAGTGGCTGGGAAACTTTGCACAGACAGAAAAGAACAACTGCATTTTACTGGGTGTCCAGCAGGAATCCTTAATAATACGTTTAAAACTGGAAAAAAAAAATCTAAATTTCACCAAAACATGTGCAGAGATAAATTCTTTACAGCGAAAAATTGTTAACGTCTCAATATCAAATACAATAAAAATATTACTGGAATTAATTGTTCAGAGAACCTACATTTAAAAAATAGCTGTTAACAAATTTTTTAAACCATTAAAACATCTTCATAGAATTAAAAATATGAAATCAATACAATCAAACTATTTTCTGTTATGCATTTGATACAGGTATCAGAATAACTTACCTGCTTGCTTTGTTTTGTTGTCTGAATCTTTCTCATTTGCGGCACAGTCCTAGAGGAAGTAATAACAGGCATTAATGCCAACTGTAACAGTATACTGCAGGTACTAACTAGTAGTGCTGTGTGAGTACAATCCTATCCTATCTAATCTAAGATTAATGAATCCTTCCAGCCAAAAAAAAATAAACCCATAAAATTTAAATCTGCTACATTTCATTGTAAATTACGGATCATACTAAATGTGTTTAACATAACAGGTGATAAAGAACCATCCTGGATCAAATTCTTAGCACTACTACACTCTGAGGAATGTTCTTGAGGTTAACTCAACAATGAGGGCAGCGGGGCAAGACACCATGCATTATTGCTTTGTTTGAAAGAAATGACAATAGCTTGTCTCCCTTTGAATGGAAGTTAATCGGTGTCTAAACAGTGGTGGTTGCAGAGTGGTGTGGGGAGGGTTGTCAAGAGGAAGATGAAGGAGACAAGCTGTTTACTGGGAGGTGAACCAGTGGCAGGTAAATCCACTGTGAAGGAAGCCATTTATCTTTGTAAAGGCCTTCCTGTTACAGATTCACCGGGGCCCAGATGAGCAATTGTTTACCAGCCGACGCAGAGGAAGAGGTTTCCTTTTGATGTGAAACGAATTTAGTGATTGGATATTTTAGATGCATGAAACTCTCAACTCCAAAAAATATGTTTTTTCGTATGTTTTTTTCAAATAGATTTTTAATACATTTTACACATTGGAGAGAGTCACACCTCTTTTTATATTTGTTTTTTGATGCAGACATTTTTGTTTGGCTTGGATATATATATACATATAAGGGGGAGAGAGAGGGAATGACATCACAGCAAAGGGCCACAGGTCGGATTCAAACCCTGGCTGCTGCAGCAGAGACAACAATCTATTCATGTGCATATATATATACTGTATATGGGACCTCATGTTTCTATATTTACCTGGATGAATGTAGCCAGCAGTACACAGCTCATCTCCTGCTGCAGGATGACCTTGTTTTGGGAGTTGTTGTAGCTGGCCGAGATGAGGGAGGGGAAGAGCACTCTGATGAGGCGCGGGTGGCTGAAATACTGGAAGGGCAGCTGACACAGTTTCTGCAGCACGCTGGGCTGGCGGCCAGACTGCACTATCACCTGGAACACACACAGGGAGCAGGGCCAGTCAGTCACTAAGCCAGTCAGTGGCACTGCTGGTTGTAAATCACCGCCCCTGTGCCCCTCCCACATGTAAATCTGCCACTAAAACAACACACAAACAGCCATTAGGAGGAGACCTGTGGGGCACAGCCTCCCACCACGCAATTATGGGCTATAAAACAAGATGATGGGATGTTTTGTTCTTCCTTTGTACCAACGGTAATAGCAGCGCTGCTGTAACATAAGAGGGAAAAGAGAAATGTGACCTGATGTCATAATCAGCGGTTAAAACTTCACTTTCAAGTTTTGTGTTAAGCTCTTTAAGCAAACGCTGAAGCACAGAACCAGTGCAAATGTTTGTTACCGCCCTGTAGGAGTGAAGCTTGAGAGGGTTGAGAGGGCATTCATAGTGCAACAGGGGTATGAAGGGGTGGGGTGGCTGGTGGCGGGTGAAAGGCAGGGTGAAAGGCAGGGTGAGCAAACCTCCACCGACAGTGTGGCCACCCCCACTTTAAGAAATGAGCAATAACATTAATGGTATTTTCACCCCACCAACATCCTGCTCTCCATCACAGCCCGTCAATCACACGCTCTCACATCCGGGCCACCGGTATTGCAACCAAATCACTTCTAGCCTCATTTGATTAGAAGGGGACTGCTGTAAAGGAAGGGGTCTCAGCCTAATGCTCTGGTCATCTCCCCTGAGCCTGGGAAGACCATCAGCACCCCTCTGAGAGCCACAGGGTCAGCATGCTAAATCTTGTCTGAAAGAAAGCTGCACTGCTTTACAGGAACAGACTACAGGACTCCGGGGCTCAATGACAATGGAAACCAGAAGGGCAAGGTGAGGTCCCCAAGTCACAGTGACATAAATTCACGAGATTAACAAGATTTTAAAAATACACTCTCTAATACTCTTCCATTGGCTTCTCCTTTGATAATGCACTCCAAGTTTGAGCAGCAGGATAAACAAAGTGATAATTCATCGCTTTTATCAGTTCAAGGTGAAGCTTCTCAGAGCTGTCGTCTACAGCGGCGTTCAAAGGGACACAAAACAGTTCCATTTTCTACTGTTATTTGTTTAAAGAAACTATATGGGCAGGTCAAACGATCTAAACTTTAAAGCATCACAAATATTTAAAAATGTGAAGAGCCCTGAATTTGTTTACTTGAAATGTAAGTGTTAATAATTTTTGTAAGCTGGAAGAACACATCATTTCTGCTATGGCATGTTTTATGGAGTGCAATATTGAATTAAATAATTGAACACATTACAGGTTGCAATAGATATGTGTGCATAGCAGTGGAAGAACAAAATCCCCAAAGTTTCACTGACTCAATAAGTGTTTTTCACAAAAGGAATGTGGAACTCTGTGGACAAATACATCCAGTGAAGGAAGGGGGGGAAAAAAAGGCAAGCTCTGGTTGTTTTCAAAAGTAGAGCTGCTTATTTTCAGTGCATGTAGTTTTAGCATTTTCATGCTACTAGGCACTAAATCCTACATCATCATATTTATCTTCTATTGCAACACTGCCCAAAGACAAACTGGCAATGGGGATGGAGGGTCATAAATTCATGCAGCTGAACTCATTAGAAAGCCAAAACCATGATTCTGCAAAAGCTAAAGAATTCATTTTTGCGTTTTAATCCATAACTTTATAGTTGAGCTATTATAATTTAACACCACAGCAAGTGTTGGATGTTTAAACTAGGGCTCTGAGAAGATCCAACCCACAAATCACCCAACAATCTCATAATCCTTCACTACGCACAGTTCCATCTTTAGCTGCCTAAACAAATTGTCCACCCTCAAGTGCCTGACGCAGAAAGACATAAAACAAAGCCTGGTGGCAGCAAGCGTCTGGAGGTAACAAAGGAACCTTGCCAACTTTCCACACCTCTACCAGGTGAAGAGCAACACCAGAACCCAAAATGATTTCCAACTAGAGATTTTGCCGTAGCGTTACCTCTGTAGTATCTGCAGCTCACAGCCTGACATCATAAAACTAACAACAAGCATCTGAACCCATGCATCTGGCCCACATATAACGCAGACCCTGTAAAAACTCAAGTGTCTTGGCTGCTCTGTTCTTTCTTAAGTTCAGAGACCTGGCATTTTCAAATGGTGCCGGGTTTTATGACACTTCCATTACATAACTTCCTCACTGTCCACAATGACAACAAAGAGTGTGTAAAGTTAATGTTCTGAAACGCAAACAAATCCTGGGAAAAGCCCAACTGCTGAAGTAGAAACCCAAGTTAAAACAGTTTTAAGAACAGAGAGGAAAACGAAGAGAAAGCACAGTAAAGCATAACTCTCAAATAGCATAATTAGCCCGTATGCACAATGCTACAGCAGTGCTGGCCGAGGCAAAGAAATGGTATTCATTTCTTACTGCGCAAATCTAATTATAAATGTTTAGAGTGATGATCTTGAATGTGTATAGGACTCTCCATTCATCGCAGTGTCTAGACAGCCTGAACACCTCAGGAGGAACCAGTGTCAGAGCAGGGCCATATATCTGACGCTTGAATCCACAATATAAACCAGATCCATCAGAGTGGAACTGTCTTACTGATAAGGCGAGCAGCGCAGCAGACACCACAGACCAAAATAAGTCAAATAACTGTTTAGTGCTTCTTTTCAACATTTATGATGGCTTACTGAGACGAGCACAGGACGCTGTGTGAATTGCTTTTGGACAATTGGATGCCAGCGACGCGGACATTGACAAAGACACACCAACTTGACTTTTAAGGTAATTGTCAGTTGTTTTAAAATCCCATAAAAAAAAAGCTGCTGTTTATACAATAAAGCTTAATAACTCTTTATTTATCTCTATGAGCTGACGCTGTCATTCCATCGCAGATCCTACTTGCTGATAATTCTGCTCTAAAACTAACCTGACGACAGTGTTACAGACAAATGGAAACTCCTCACTGAAAGGTTTGCAGGGATAAAAATGTCCTCAGCTTCACTTAAAGTCAGTTGGACCTGCATTCACCCTTAAAGCAGAGTGTAAATCATCTACCGAGCAAACAATAAGGCCCTCTCCTGCCAGTCACTGGAGAGTGTGTCTGTCTGCGTTTCTCTGCCTCTGTTTACTCTGCTGGGTGATACAGAGTGTGCATTCCCCGGTGTTGGCTCCCTATGGTCTGCACGAGCTGCACTTACCCTGCAGGCAGTGAGGGCCTGGTTGTCTTGGCAGTAATGGACTGCTGAAGGGAGCGTTTCGACATCAGGTTAACAGGAATTACAAGCCTAAAACTTGGCTTGGGCCTGCGGGGCAGAGGAAACGCCCTCGTAGAGAATGGGAAGAAGAGGAATGACCCCACAGATAAGGTTGAGCTCTGGAGATGTGTGTGGGATGTTCAGTGTAGAGACGATCTATAGCTCATGTAATGCTTACTGGTATAAAGAAAACAGTTCAGGAAATATAAGCACAGGGGAGTCAGGTAATCTCAGAGCCAGTGCAGGGAAAACGATCCCATTACATTTTTATAAAACGTCCGTACGCTGACTGACATTAGACCTGCTTCTGTGTGTATTTGTGTGTTACGGGGGCAACAGCGTTTGTGTGCGGTGCTCACTCTGCTTTGCGTGTGGCCATTTTCCATGTACTCACAAAGAAAAAGCTACGTTTTCTTAAGATTTCCACACTCTCAAATTGCCTGTGTCTTTCTAAAAAGGAAGCAGGACTCAGGTGGGTTAACATGTCAACAGTTTACAATTACAGTCTCGTCAGCTCAAAGATTTAACAGATCATCACCATGGATGATTCACAAATGAATCACTGTATTTAAAGACAAGAAGATTACCGGGACATACCTCTTCTGGATAAAAGGAAGAACAGTTACATGTCGGTTACAAAATAGGTGTCATTTGTTCTGCTTTTTTTGTCAAAAGGTCTCTATGGACGCAACCAACAGACAATGAAACATATGGCTACATGGCTCGGTGGCCCCCATGAGCAGATACACACTTGAAAAACACACAAGCCTACATATGTCACTCTCCCGATGGCTTTTGTGTGACAAGGTGAATTATTCATGCCCCTAGAGCAGAGGGAATACATCACTACGTATAGTGCTGCTTCAAAGTTCTGCTTTTTATGAGCAGCCTTATTTCTCAAGCATATATATAAACAAAAGCTGGTGTGCCGACAGTGAATCAGCAGTCTCTGCGACCGCACAGGCCTCGGGTCGGGCCGCTTTTGTGTTCTGCCAATGCTTACATTAGCTTGAGAAAAGCTCAAGCTGCTCTAAATATTCTCCTTAACGCCATCCATCTTGGTGCGGAACTGAATGGACGCATTCCAGGAACTGGACTACTGGCAAAGATCAACTGCGTGGAGGTTGTGTGGGATCTTGTTTCCCGACAATCTATACTTAAATACGATTTTTTAAAACTAAATCCTTAACCCGAAAGCAAGGTAAGGGGATTTTTTTGGGGTTGCTTTTTCACATTACTTGGATAATATTGGAATTACCCAGGCTGTGGAGGAATGACAAATTTTGCTTCAAATTAGCAACATGCAAATGTTTTTTTTTTCTCTCTCCTCCAAATACAGTCAAGCTCTGTTAACGCTGATGTGGGTGTACAAAGATGAATCATCTGTCACCTATTTAATTTAATCATCAGTCCTCATTCAATTATTCAATATAATATGCAAATTGGATCTACAATGACCAAGAAATGCTAATTCTGTACATCAGAATAATTAAATTGGATATGAGCTGAGAGGACAGGAAAGTGCCATAGACTGGAGGAAGATCCTTTAAATTAGAAATAAAAAATCTGGTAAATTAGAATCAGTAATCAGCCTATAAATTGTGGCGATGGGGGTTGACTGCGACCGCGCGTACGTAAATGACATATGAGAGGTCTGAAGCTGTGGCTTCTGCCTGTGTGGGTCAGGCTTAATATAATCAAAGCCCAGCCAACTGTAGCATGGCTAATCAGAGGCCTGGTAGACGGGCCACGCATGACAGCCAATTACACAGCAGCAAGGTCTGCTCCATCACATCCTGCTCACTCCCATAGAGCCCCCTAAGTAGTTGTCACACCGAAGCCAGCACGCTGCTCTGCTTTACCAGGAGGGAACAATGGGTCACTCTGCGGGACAATAGACGACACACAGACCAAAAGCAGGAAGGTGCCAAGGCATGAATCTTTAAACAGGTGCTTTTTGTTACAATTAAAAAACTACACCCTTTTTCTGACAAATAATACATGAACACAACAATAGTAAGATGATATTACCCGGCTCTTCTAACTCAGTCGATACAACTGAGAGCATTAAATGTAACTTGTGCTGAAACAATTAAACTATTAGGAGATTGACAGACAGGATATCGATTACAATTTTAGCAGTTGGTTAATTGTGTTAAGTAGCTCTGACACAATAATTAGATTAATGAATTACTTCGTAGACAGAAAGTTAATTGGAAACTCTTCAATTGTTTTAGTAATTTTTGCCATGTAAAAAGTACAAACAGTATCTGATTCCAGATTTTCAAATTATGAGGATATGATGCTCGTCTTTTCTGTATATGATAGTAAACTGAATATCTCTGGGTTTAAATCAGTTATGGGGAATTAAAATTGACATTTTCCACAGTTTCCAAGCATTTCGTGGACAAAATGTAAGAAAATAGCAGCCTATATGTTAAAGTCATTTATCAAGTGAAAACGCTGTTTTTTTTTTACAGTACTTTTCAATTTAATTAATTTTTTTAAATCAAAAAAGACAAATTAATTAATTAATTAGTATTAAGATGGGAATTTGTCACAACCTTTTATATTTTACATACTGATTAATTTAACAATTAACCGACAAAACTGATTAATAACAAAAGCAATTGTAAGTTTCAGCTTTAACTATAACAAAATGATGTCTCAATGTTAACAATGGTTTGGTTTTGTTAAAGTTAAAAATCTTGAATTGCCTTGTGTGCAGTGAGTGCAGGTTCAAGCTGGGTTACCTGGTTGTCTGGGTGGTTAACGGTAAAGTATCCCACACAGATGATGACCTTGTGCAGCAGCTCTTCAGAGGAATGCTGGGTACAGTACCAGAGCAGGGAGCTGACAATGTGTCGGAAAGCTAGAGACAGGCCCTCAGCTCCTAGAACAGTCTGACAGGTCAAAGACAAAACATGTTAGTATGTTTTACAGTAAATTAAGCATAAATTGTCTATAATTGTGACTACAAAGAGCTCAATACAATAACAACACAAAGTAATAAAGCATTCTATGTTTCGCTGGTGGGAACATACATGGTCTCAGAGTATAAGCAACTAAAGCGCGGTCGCACCATAAAACACCACAATCCCGTTCAGAAATGAGATGCAACGAGCAGCTCAGAGACAGTATTTATTAAACATGTCAGTGTGACCGAGCACCATAAGACCATCACTATTCCAGTGGAAGTTTGGGTGTGTTAGTATTGTGACATCTACCGACATAATACCTAAGAAGCTAAAGGCTGTTTACTGGCCACATAATGTATGCACGCATGCAGGCAACATATTAAAGTACCATGTAAGAAGCTGTCAAACAGGACAAAGAAAATGTTGTTTAACAATAAATAAATAGTTTTAGATTAAAAAAAATAATAATAAAAAATCAACTCACAGTATGAAAAGGCAGACAGGAAAACCGCTACCCAAAAAGGGCAAAAATGTATTTTCAAGGATCACAGATTTGTTGTGGCACATTCTGCCAAAATGCAACCACTGCAAAATCCAGTTATTTTCACTGCATTGAACCCTTTTGAAATTCTGCTCTAAACATATTACTGGGAGCTGATGCTGCAGCAGAGTGAGTTAAGAGCCTGAATACTGATCATCCATCCACCGCAACACATATTAGCCGGTGCTGTGAGGTAATGTGAAACACAAGGTGATTACAACTCCCGGCCAGAGAAAGAAACATTATTTAAAATGTTCATAAAACTCCGGCAGTGAAATGCTTTCATTTCCAGCTGTTTTGAGTTGCCTGAATGTGGCAGGTCAGTGAGAGGAAGCTACTTCAAAGTAATTACCACAAGACATTAAAATAATTAACAGCATTCTCGCTTGCTCTCGTGCCTTTCCGTCGATGTGGTGACTTACCACAGTGAAGCTGTCGCCCTCTCCTCCTCGGGGTGGGTAATGTACGGCCCTGCATACAGTGCTAATCACTCGCGCTCCATCCTAACTGCTGACCCACCGGGCTCTAGTCAACCCCAACAACTGACCTGTGGTCAAAGGCCACCTGTGTTTATGTCCATAGGTCAGCTTTGTCCTGAGGAGAGTACTCCTTAGGAGGAGAGCACTCCTCTTCTAATGGCTCTTAACAAATGAACTAGCATCAATCTGATCATGTACAGATTTATTAAACCCATTTTTTATTTAAATATTTGTAGGCATTTTTGTAATAGCCTGCAATTTTAAATAAGGGCAAAGTCATGTGTTATTGTTGTGTGCAAATACACCAAGGTACCAGCCATTCCTCCTACAAACCATGTACTGTGAATGCCATTCTATAACATATGTAAAGCATAATAAAGCAGCCACAGTGCAGAAAACATGCTCGAATAGTCAGAGAATCAGATGCAGAACAGTAAAGAAGAAAATTCTGATCTTCACCAACAGCAAAATCTGCTTGATGTTTAAGGGATTTTTTATTTGTGAAAAGTGAAAACAGAATATATTTTGGATTTATTATAAATACCTGGAAGGCGGATAGGTCAAGCAGGGCAAAACTGTTGAGGAAGCGGATGCCTTGCAAAGCCACCTGGATGACCCCAGGGCCGTAAGGTTCCTGACTCTGGGAAGCAGACTCTGGTGCAAAACTGTGCAGCAGGATACAATACAGAGTGTGCACCACTCCCACCAGGTCTGTGGACTGCAGTAGGGCCGTCAATCCAGTCGGGTCCTGGCGTTTATTGTCAAATATACTGGGAGCACTGGAGAGGAAGTGTGTGGTCAGTGAAACCAAAGATAACTGTAACCAATTATTAACAAATATGATACTAGGTAACACTATGTAGCTTATAGGGTCTTTACTTTGTGCCTTTCTGCTGCCAGTGTCACACAAAAACAAACTGTCTCACTGCGACGTCCCACGACTGAGGATGCAAATGACAGTCTAGACCTCAGGGGCTTCTAGATTTATTCACCGGACAAGTGCTTAGAGATGACTTTCCCTTAAGATACTACCATGTTAGTGCCACTGTATTACCTGACTTAACTGACTGCAGTGATTGGAAAAACACCACATTTAAAATGTGTTGCATATTGACATGTTGGAGCACACCTTAAATCTCCTACTGTTCTTTTGCTTCTGTTCATTTACGGAACAGCAGTTTTGTTATTCTTTGGATGCAAGGAGCTTCAACTCTGTTTCGGTTTTTGACTAAACGAGTAAAACTCACTGCCAGACAGTTTTTTTGCAGCTGAAGAGATTCAAGATTCAAGATTGACTCTCCTGCTCCCACTTGAGCTACAGTAAACATAGAAATGCCATGACGCGAAGCTCATGGCAGTGACTTCAAATTGGCAGATAGAAGAAATGAGCTGACTGACAAGGTGCAGAGTGCTCATGCACATTTAATCGAGGTCCGCCTGAGAGGATTCAAAGTGATATGTAGTTTGTTGGCTACAAAAACATGCCACCCTGTTAGTTAAAGGCATCTTTGTAATCATCCTTTCATTGAACATCAAATCTAACAACAAAGAGAGGGATAATGCTGGTTGGAAAGCAGAGGCACCAAGTACAAGCCTGACAGCATGGAGAAAAAGCTCCATTTAGTAAGTCAAAGATCTAAACAACCCATTTCGCATTGGGGCAGGAGAATTATAAAATATTTTGTTTTCAGTTTTTTACTGTGAATTTGTCACGTTAGAGCCTCAAAAGATCGACATTTACAGTAGGTGGAGAGTCCAACCATAGAAAATAAACAAGTACAGAATTTGAACACAATGTGAAATAAGTAAAAAAGTATTATTAAATCATATCAGTGCCTGCAGGGTCAACTGGACCAGAAATTCACCATTATTGCAAACAATGCAATAAAGTTATTTCAGTCGCAATGCAGAAGACGCCAGTGAAAACCCTCGGCTAGTGCAGACAGACAATTTAAGACTACCGCAGCAGCACCAGCTATGATTTGCAGCCATGTAGAATTGAGGGTGTGTGACCTCTGGATGAAACCTACAGTGCATGCTGATACTTGATGTTAGCCAACAGGCTCTGCGTGAAATATGCTGCTAGGCAAGAAGACAGCTTCCTAATGCCACTATAATCCCCTGACACAGCAACTGGCATGGCGAAAATATTCCGCAAGCCCACTGAGCATTCTTATATACGACACACACAGAGTCTTGGCAGAACGTAGCTTGCTGGCTGCTATATTGATCATAACACTAGTCTCATTAAACTTGCAAAGTCTGACACTTTGTTTTCTCAAAGATATTCAGTGACAAACATAGTCCTGCTGTAGCTGTCTTCTACCGTGCTGGTGTGAAGCAGCTGGTCATTGTTACCACAGCACCTTGTAGCTGGCAAGGTGTAGCAATGCGCTTGGCGACACTTAAAATGCAATGACAAAATCTCGGAGTAATGGACTGCCAAGAGGTGGGGTTGTTACAGAACAAAACTTAATTGGCTCTATTGATACGTAGATCAAGCTTATTCCAGTTTAAATTTGATTGTAATGCATGGCATCAATGCATTTCTGGCCCTGTTAGCATTGTCAGCATTTATTTTCCTTTTTAAGTGAGGAATTGTGGCACTGATGTCCCTTGGTGTGACTGTGTGCTTAGCCTCTGTCAGCGGCGCCACTGAACCTCTCTGAGGGGAGGTCACTGTAGCACACGTGGGTGGGCTCCCCCCACGCTGCAGGCTAAGGTTTATGGTGAGTGACAGAGCACTGGGTCAAGTAGATGCCTATCTCTATCTGCAGTAACAACAGCTTAGCCAGCTAGCTGGCTGGAGGAAACAATCTGCTGGCTGATTGCAGAGGAACCACCGTCTTTGTTTGACTAAACATGTGCCTTTTCTTTATGGATCCTTGTGTCATTTAAGAACTGACAGTGACTCAGTCTCTGTCATTAGACACACAGAGAAAAATGTGTGTGTGTGTTTGTCAGAGGAAGATCAAGAGATCACAGAGATGTTTAAGGTGTGTAATAGAGTAAAAGACATGCTCACCGTCCTGTAACGACAAAACACAGCTTGCACATGCTGTGCAGCAGAGCTGAGGCTTGCTGGAGGAAAGCAGACATCTTGGGGTGCTCGTCTACAGGACCTTGGACTGACAAGAAGCACCCGTACAGCTTGTCAATCAAACCCATGTTTACTACATAGCTGGAAGAAACACAAGAAAAAAAAAACATGCAGTTGTTAATGGCATTTCCCCCTAATGGTAAAGACCTGCTTTGTAAAAAAAAAAAAAAAAAAAAAAAGCTCATCTCACACAGGCAAACAAAGGCCTTTACTGTGCATATTTCCACAGCACTGCAGCTGAAAGCGGATACCTCACCTAAGCCCTCCACCCCCTGCTATTACTGTGATATCTCCAATTTGTCTTCGCCAATGACAGGTTTCATGATCATGTTCCCTGTACTCTTTCAGCCACAAATCACTGCTAATAGTGTCATTAGAGGGCTGTTGTGCCAGCCCAGCTTTGGGCCCTTGACAGTCCGCTGACCTGGGGCCGTCTTCTCACAGGTCCGGTATGTGTGGACCTTTGGGCTCAGCTCAGGCACCAACAGCTTACGAAAATCTACAGAGCACTACAGCTGCCAATCAAGGCTTTCTAGTAGCTGATGTGGTCACTGTGAACCCACGATTCGTCTTAACTCCTCACTTCTTTCACATACCTTTTTTTGTTAGAACTGTCACTCATTGAGGTCCTCTCAAAACAGGTGATTATGACGGTTTTCAACCTCCACTGCAGGTCATCTGACACTTGAACCAAGTCCCATTGTTTTGACGTGATCCTCTTCCACAGCTTTAGTTGGCTTGAAAGGATCTCTCCTCACACTGACTGCTTTGTTCAATGCCTGCTCTCTGTCTGACACTTGCTTGGTGGTCAAACTTGCCTCTTGATGTGTCTCCTCATGTGAGTATGAACTGAAAACATTTATGACAATGATAGGGTACTAAAAGCACTGAAAGCAAAACTGAGGAACTGGTAATGCGAGGAAAGGAAATGGTGATCTCCCCGCTTTGTGATATATAGGTTTGCAAAATGGGAGTGTTGCAAAAAGCTAAAAATGTTTTGATCTTTTGTCCTTCCTCTCTAGCATATACATTATACAGTGCAGTTGAGGTAAATCTTGTGCTCGTACTTGGGATTACCAGGCTGATGACACCATTTTTCTCAGGCCCTCCCCTGTCTCCAGGGTTACGACTGGGTCAGTGGATGAGAGTGGTGTGCCTGTGCAGCTGCTCTGTCCAGATGAATCATGGCTTGTGGGAGGGATGGTGGAAAGACTGCACTCCACACGGCTTCATCCGGCCGTGGCCTGCCTTTCCTCACAACCCACATTTCTCCTACACAACCCCGACTCCTACAGGCCAGACCCACATGGATAGATCCAACGCCAGGTTCAAGGAGACCTTTCAAAGCTTTGGAAGTGCTCTTTTGTTTATGCTACTGTGGCCCCCCTAGAAACTGATTTTACTTGAAATGTGGCGCTGAATGTGTGGAAAAAGTACAAGCTGTAGCAGGATGCCAGAATACACCCGCATTCTCACACTACTCCCATTCTAACAAAACACCAGTTGGACCATTTCCAAGAGATCGGACATTTTGTCAGCCTATTCTTTACATATGGCACACTGTTGAGGAAATCAGAGGTTGACCAGCTCTCAACTGAGTGAAGAGGAGTGGAGTAGGGATGTACTAAAGGAGGTCAAAAGGTCATGAGATGAGAAAAAGAGGTGTCATGTAGGAGGAGGAGAAGCAGTGTGAGAGTAGCACGGAGCACTGGGAGGAAAATACCTGATTAGGTCTTGTGTGCGAGTGTTGAAGGACTCTGTGGCAGAGCCCTTGACCTTGGTATCTGGGGAGGAAATCCATGTCTTTTCGCCTTGCCCAGACTCAGAGATATGTGGCCACAGGGACCCAAGGATGGTAGCAATGGTCTGCAGCAGGCCTGTTGTCAAACCTTCGAAGACTTGTTTGTTCACACTGCGCCCAAAAATGGATTTGTCCTCATCTGGGACATACAGCTGCAGGAATGGAAGAAAAAATAATGTTTACAGAAGGTCGCCTACCTGTACATGGAGCAATTAATAAACTTATATTCTCTGATGAACCCTGATGCTGACATTAGAAATCTGACTGCATTCAAATGCCATTGGAAACAACAAAGAGTAGAGAGAGAAGCAAAAGACAGGTCAGTTTAACCTTCAGCACACGGATTCATTGACCCTGTTTTTGTTCAGCAAAAGGTTTTTTACATGTTGTCGGTACATTACATTTTACTAGTTTATTAATCACCAACTTTAAGCCACGAGCACTAATAGTAGATTACACTCCCTTGATTTGGAATAGCTATAATTAAAGGCACATAGAAGCTGTTTAAGGCATTTCCCCGGCCACACAAATGACAAAAAAGCTGCTCTTAATTAGTAAAGACATACTATGAAAGTGCTACATGCTGACAAGATGGATGCCCAATTAAGACATTCTGGTCAGTTTCTTTCTCATTTGCATGTACAGACAAACTCCATGAAACACACAAGCAGAGGTCCTCGTTTAAAATATAGTGCTACTGTTTAGTGGAGAGTCTTGCAAAGGTAAAACCTTCTCATTTGGTCTAATGGTTGGGGTGAATGCTGACAGCATAGGTAAATCCACCGACATTCTCCACAAATCTAATTAAAAGGGTACATGCTCATATGGCAGGGCAACCCCCACTGCTTTACTCTAGTGCTCACATACACGCATACCAGAACATAGACACATGAATACTCAGTCAGTCAAACAGTGAAACACAACAACAAATGCTGAGAATTTTAAAACTTTGTTGACTGATTTGTGAATGAAATCAAAAGTAATTAAAGCAGGGTGTGTAGGAACGGGAATCATTTTTGAGCCTAATTCTTTATCTGCATTGAACACACAGAACAGTTAGTTTGTCTCCTGCAGTGCTGCTGGATATGTCAGTCAGCAGAGCAGCTGCTGGGATATGTTTTATATAAACTGAAGCATACGGGCTAACCTCTCCCTGTGTGCCCTAAGGAAACATGACTGCTTTGGATTGGAACTCGGCACTGCAGAAGGAAGCCCCAGTAGAGTTCATGCATGTACCACAACCCTGTGCCTGCGCCTTGTCCTGTCTGTGTTGTGAGTGTAGGCGGCCCCAGCGAGCCGCCACCGTTAGATGTTTGGAGTGGGCTGATGTTTACAGTCCTTCTTACAGAGTGCTGAAGGATATGGGCTGACATGTCGCCGCAATGCAGCCTGCCTGCCTGCCTGACTGCACTCTCACATTCCCTCAGTCAGGAGGCATCTGAAGAGAGGTTGGGCAACAGCTTGTTACTCGCTAGCTTGTGTCTTGCTCTGTCTTTCATTAACACTGTGGCAGGAACTGACACCACTCAAAGATCAGTATATCAACAGATGAATGCAAAGAAATTAAGGAAGGCCTAATGAAAAGGCTAAATTTTAGGTGTGACTACTTTAGAATACTTTTAATTATCGCCTTGAATACCTTTATTCAAACATATTCAGCATCCCCTTTACATTTATTGTACATAATTTATGAAACATTTGTTTGTGATGGCAAATTAGGTCTCAGTCATGTGTTGGGATGCATAAACTTACTGTTAGCTGATGCAGCAGCAGGTCCATGAGGAGCGCTATCTTGTTGCTAAACAGCACATAGGAGCAGTTGAGGGGGCAGCAATAACATGCCAGGTAGTAGGTATTTACAGCAGCACAGAGGGATCTAACACAGGAAGATGACAATCCATTATTAATCACAAGTGAAAAAACAACAACGACAACAACAACAACAAAAAACCCCACACACTTCAAGGCAGGCTGCTACTTCCCTTGCAATTCGTTAAAGAACCACTCCTACTGGGATGTAAATGTCTAGCCCTGGGCACTGACAAGACTATCTACAGTCATCAGGAAACCAAACACACTCTTCTGTATTTGTGGTTCCTTAAGGGTGCAGTTTGTCTTCACAAGTCAAAAGCATATCTCACTGACAGTGCGAGTAAGGAAGCCGTTTTGAGGAATAAAACACTCATATCAGCTACTTATGCGGAGACTCCCCTTTCTACAGCCACCTTTAGAGGAGCTGAGCGCAATCTCAGTCCCATCTTGGCTGAGATGGTGCAGCATTTCCGCTGGAGAGATAAAACTATTCCTCTCAGCAGCTCCTCACAGCCGCCAGGCAGCCCCAGGCAGCGGCCAGTGCCGAGCCAGTCAGCGTGCCTCTGTATTATGTCTGCTCTAAAACAAGCCCCAGAGAAGATTAATGCTTCAGATAACTGACCAATCGTTCTGCTGTGACTGCTACTCCCCCTCACCCCTGTTTCATCAGTTAATATTTTCTGACAACTGTATATTTTAGCCATTGGCGGAATGGCGTGTCCTATCTGCTCACTGGAAGAATGGAATCTGCCTCTCCAGTGCCTAAAGTAGACCATGTTTATTTCAACTGGTAAACATTTTGATATCTACCGAAACCTTCACATCTGCTGTGCGTTTTCGGTCAAACCACGCTGGCATGGTAAAGGAAAATAGATTAGGCTGAGGCAGACCCAAGTCTGTCAATAACTTCCTCTATTCTTTGCTCTTGTTTTTGCTAGTGGGCAGATCAGTCGTTTTGCCACATAATTATTGACATTGCAGAGTAAAGCTGTCAGACATGGAATGTGGTGTTAATGTGAGAAGCACTATATTTTGAGTGATCGGATAGTGTCCAACTCTAACATCAAAGCTTACTTCCGTCCACCTGAAAACAATAACAGAGCAGAGCCCTTTTGCAAATTGTTAATGTCCTATATGGCAGCTATATTGACAGTAATTTTATTAAAGCATAATGACTGTGGAAAAAGTTAAGCCATAATGGTTAAGTGCAGTCTATGTGGAGCAAGAGGTGAGGTAATATGAGACCCCAACAAAAGTATGCTGTGTGCAGCTATGCTGCATCAGGACTCGGATTCTCTAGTGAACATGGAACAAAGCTCAGCTTCTATGAAAATACCAAAGCGACAACTCAACTATCTTCTCTCAAATAGTGCTGTATAATTACATGCTATAAACAGCTTATGAAATTCAAGCTGTGGTAGCTGCCACGTTCATTCCTCCAAAGGACAGGAGTTACTTCAGGTACCTTAAGTCACTATCCTGGTATTCAATAGCATGTCCCTGTTGAGTAGTGCACAATAGTATGTATATCATATGACCTATCAGAGATAAAATGACCAGGCAGGACTGACTCGATTACTGTCAAAGAGCAGTTTCAGAACAGCCAGATAAAGTCCATTTTGGTTAATGGTTGCATTCAGGTTATACCTATGACACTTTGGTTGTTTCTTCCTGCCATGTGTTTGTTGTATGAATTTTACAAAGTGTACCATTTCTTTTGGAACAGCTTCAATCCTCCTTGGAATGCTGCCATGCAAGTCCTAAACTGTATAATGGGATATTTAATCATTCCTTCAAGAAGGAATGAAGAAGGCAGTAATCTGCTTTGAACTCTGAACTTCCCGTAAAGACTTCTAGTTTTAGATCAGCACACTGGAGGGGTAATGCAAAATATCTGTCTCATCCTGGTGTTCACGAGACCAGTCTTTGAAATGTTTAACAGAACAGGTATATGAAACAAGCACAAATTCCTCCATGCCAAGTATCAGTCAATTAAGGCTAAAATGTTCCAAAAATAATCATCTTAAAAAAACAACTTCCTACCTCAAGACATGTTCACAAAATTCTAGGTCAACTGATCAGGATGTGCATAAATCTTTTTGTTTGCAGTCAGTGAATACAGGCACCCAAATGGTAGTTTTACCATTAGTTATTTTACTTTGGTGAATTTAGAAAGACAATTTTGTTCATTCGATTCTGTTACCAATTTTGTTTTGGTAGTTTTGTAATGTTGAGCAACTTTTAACTGTCGCTCTCTCTCAGAGACCTGATCCTTGTTCAACTTTTCAAATGCGGTTTGTCCATGTTTGGGACATGATGTAATGATTTTTGAGACCGTTCCCATTGTATATATAACAGTTGGGAATATTTAAGTTCAGATATAGTGTAGCCTAAGGTCATGATGTTTTTCCATTATTTGGCCATTGCAAAATATTATAATGTATATATGCAGTGATACATCATACATGGATAATTCACTTGAATTAACACATATTACATGAGCATAAAAACGTATAAAGAAGATACTGTAAAAGTTAAGCATTTAAAGAAAACGTTTAAAGTAGTATTAAACACCAGTGATATAACTGTTCTGTTTTTTTAAATTCAAATCATGGCTGTATTTTCTCTCCCCAACCTGACAAGCATTTTCTAATTGAATCATTTCACTTCTGTCAAGACACATCGGGACCGCTGGCCCTCAAAATTGACTCACTCAACTGCTCATGTAATGAGCATGCAATTGCTTTGTAACACAGCTAATCAGGCTTGTCTTTGGTCATCTCTGAACAAATGAAGAGGCTGTCAAAGGCATGTTTGAGTTATGCCCTTACACCAGCTTGTACAATGAACCATCACAGTGATCTGTCTTTGGTTTCCTCCCACCTAATTGAGCTTGATGAGCACGACACCTGATAGTCCGCCCTCTCTGGGAATCTCACTATCTCAATACCCTTCAATGACAGCTTGGGTGAAAGATTTTAAGGAACAATTTGGTAAAGTGCCACGCCACCCTGTCTCATGTTGCACAAAAACTTTGTGGAGACTGATGTGTGCCAGTCTATCTAAATAGGCAACATTCCTCCACCTACACCACTGTGGGGTTTTCATTACAGAGGGATTGTGCTACAAATGTTCCCAGGATGACCACAGCCACCATCAGCCACCATCTACCACCACTTATCCAATGCGTTATCACTCTTTTTCACTCATTTTAGCATTGAAAAAAGAAGCAATAAACTATTTTCACAAGTCAACAGGTGGACCAACATGATGGATCTGATAAAAAACAGGAGATTGCGAGAGAAAGTCTGATGCAAATAATGAGCGATGTAATCTGCACACCTACACTGAACAGCTTAACCTCAAATGGCCAGGGGATACCATTTTACCTGTAAAGCTATTCAGATCCATAGAGAAATGAGGCTAAGAGGTAGAGGGATGGAGCACACCTGATCCTGCCTTGCCCCCCTGCAGCCCACTGGCGCTCTGCCTGGGTGGCCTATGCACAATAAGGTGGAGGCTTGGGGGGGATTTAGGAATGCAACTGACCTCATATTAAAATATCAAACAATTTAGATAAAGGCTGATAAACAATGCTAGAAAAAAAGACTTAGAATAAACTATTCCTGAAGGTCAGGATTTGTTCACAATATGACTCGCCTGGTTAACTCTCCAGCATAAATCAGTGAGTGAGTGAGTAAGTAACACCCATAAACACAGTTTCCCTTGAGGGGAGATATACGGTTATGGACTCTATCTTTCAACCAGCTCCATTTATTATAATGAATAGCCAACTCTCAATTCAGTTGACAACAGAACAACAAGCATGTAAGAGGCTCTTTATGCTTTTTGTCACTGGCTTGAGTTATCAATCCTGAGATCTGTGCTCCTCAACCTGAGTCTCACATTTCTCGCCCTCTCAGTGTGTTTCCTATGTGCGCAGTCAAGCCTGACTGGAGCAACGCTGCAGAAATCTGACCAACTTCCAGATCAGGTTGAGTCCCTGCCTCTTAAACAGGGTAAATTTGTGTTCGGGGGAGGAAAAAGAATCCTAAGCCAAAATAAAAGGTGAGGAGCAAATCCATTTCCTTGTGCTGTCAAACAATCCCTTCATTCACTGCTATCTAAATGACATTTAATTTGATTCTGCTGTTGATCTCTCCGATACCCTGAGTGCTTCCAAGACATCTACTCTGGCTGTCGTGCCACACTGGCCAGGTATGAAGGGGAGAGAAATCTGATGAGCCGTCACACACCATCATGCACAGAAGCATGAGTCCGTGCGCACGCACACACACTTTCACAAATGGTGGAAAACATCCTGAAATAAAACCACAGGTAGCAGGTCTGATTTCACAGGATACACCAGGTCATGTGAGACAGAGGTGGAAATACAAATTGGGTTAAAACGCAATGTCCACGGACAAACCCTTCTCTTTGCGTTTCTTTCTGAATAAATAGAAATTGCCTACATACAGTACAACCAGAACATCAGAATCTAAACTTTGGAATTAGATTTCCCCAAACTACTATAAATCAACACCTCTGCTCTTTTTGTTGTTTGGTGTTTAAAAGAATATGTTATGTACAACCAGATGGAGCCTTTATTCCTCTCCTCTCCTCTCTTCAGTGACCCCTATTGGAAGACAGATGGACAAGCCAAAAAAACAAAACAATTCTTGTCATCTTTGACACTGGCTTTGGCTTCAACTGACACTATGCAGTTGTCATAACAGAAAGACGATGGAAGAAGGATTCTTCCATAGACAGTAATTATTGAAAGACAAACAAGAGTTGTTCCCTTCATTTATTTTGGTCCTTACTAGTTTAACAGCTTTGGGAGAAAAGACACCTTCAATTACATAATAGTGATTATATATGCAACTGCTGCCGAGGCTGGTATACATGATGGCTACCTCACACCTCAACACTACATATATAAATAAATCTCATTGCACACCTACCATTTTATATTGACGTTCTCTTAATAAAAGAGCTAAAACAATTAATCGATTAACAGAAAATTCAAATTTAAAAATCAATTCTTAATTGATTAAACTTTTATGCAAAATGCCAAAAACCTCCTGGTTCCAGGATCTCAAATGTGAATATTTACTGATTTCTTAATTGATCTTAAATAAAATATAGTTTAATTTTAAACTTTTTCAATGTTTTCTGACATTTTGAAGAACAAACAATTTATTGAAAAATTAATCGTTTGGTTGCAGCCCTGCTTAATAGTATTAAGAGGCACATTTAAAAGTGTGTTAATAATGACATTAAGTGTCTTAAGAATATGAATAGCCATGAATTACTGAGAAAATTAATCAATTTACATAAATACAAATCAAATTAAGTAATAAAATAAATCTAAAGTTATTTTAAGTAATAAAATAAATCTGAAGTTATTTTAAGTAATAAAATAAATCTGAAGTTTTTGTAAGTAATAAAATAAATCTGAAGTTTTTGTAAGTAATAAAATAAATCTGAAGTTATTTTAAGTAATAAAATAAACATGAAGTAAATTGTATTTGTTCACAGAAACTACATGCCAACATTAGGGATGTTGCTGTGCGCTCTGTGAGATTTCAGCCCTTCAGCTGAAGGTAATGAAAGTGGCTGCATAAACCCTGATCTAGACATTCCAGTGACCACAGGGTTACACCAGGACATTAGCGCAGCCTCGCAGAGGAATTAGCTCATTAATGTAATGGTAACAATATGGAATCAGCCTCCCTGGGGAGAGATGTGGCAGGAGCATCTCCGCAGCTGCCCTTTTTTTGTAAATCACTCTGCTTATCTGGTGGGAGGAGGTGATCAATACAGCAGCATCACTGTAAACAGATAATGTAGCGCACTCTGGGGCTAGCGTCCGTATAGCAGCCCATTAGGCCACGCAGCCATCCAGATGACGGATAGTGATAAGTAGAGAGCCAGGCTGCGTCCTTGTGTTGCATATCGTCACCAGCGCCCGACTACACTGACCTGACTGAGCAGCATCACAAGGTTAAAGAGTGACCTCTACTACATTTTAGACAGTTTACAAAACAGGGGGAAAAAAGTCAGTGAGACTTGTTTGTGTAAAATTGAGACTGTTCAATTAATAAAAAATAAGCCACCTTTTATTTAGATACACAGTCGTTACTGTAATAACTACATTAATTTATTATGGTATCTTTTACTAGCTGCAGAACAACCCGTTTCAATCTACACTACAGAACATGTATAAAATATATGTTCTCACGATGGGGTTAGACGTTCTCACTTATCAGCTGGCAAAGCTCTCCAGGGTCCAGCAGTATTAGGAGCACAGGACTAAATGACAGGCAAGCCGGTGAACAGAAGTATCAAGCTCAATTGTAAACGAGCTACTAAAATAAACTATTAGGCCTTGGACATACTGTAGTGTGTCTGTGCGAGTGCTGTTAATCTCAGGCTGGTCTAAAACTCCTGTGCAGAGAAACCCGTTCAGCCATGTGGGAAAGATTTAGATATGAAAGAAAAGATAATTCAAGACCATTATTTTATAATTATTCATAACTCATTTCAGAGTTTGATTCTGCTTAAGTGAAGGGGATAGAAACACAAGGAGCTAATCTTCACATCCTGTTCCTCCACCACAGCATGTCAAGAAGATGTCTTGAAAGCCAAGGAGGTACTGAGTGTACTTAAACTGGCACACCATCATGCACGGATGTGCAAACAAACTCAGCAAACAAACGCTTTGTACAAGAAGACAGTCTCTCCATTTAAGATAATAACATTTCTTCCAATTCAGAAGTCTGCTTGAAATTCCCTCAGATTACAATGATTGAGGAAGAGAGAGTACAAAAAAAATCAATATACATGTGATGTCCTTTAAAAGCCTTATAAATATAAGAAGCATTTGTCCATTAGCAGAGATTCAGAAACCAGTAAATGCTAATGAATGGGAGCGCAAGGCCATTCAAGTCCATTACAGAGTCCCACTAGTGAGTACAGCAGCCTCTCTGAGGTTATCTACTGGCAGGCCATGCAAACGCCAGACCCACAACTCAAAAATACTCCGCACTCTAAATGATAGATGGGACACATGTGCTTTTTGTGTTTCGAGAGAAAAGAATGAACACATATTGATTACGGAAATGGAAATGCTTTCCATTTCTAGAAGGGCAGCGCTGTTACTCATTAATACATTTTGAGAATATTTATTGAGATGAAGCAATTATAAACATTGATGAAGTAGTTTAGTTGAGATTAGCTCACTCGCTTTATGCAATTGCAAAAACAATCACAAAGAGAAGAAGTGTGTTGTCAGTAGGGTCAGAGAAAGGATACAGTCAAAGAAAAGTCATTGGGAAGAAGGACAGTAACAGCTGCTTGAGGCCATGTGAATATGTAGCACACAGTAGACAGACATTAAACAGTACGGATCATTCAAAAGTGTTCCTGTCTTTTAAATTAAACAATCAGAAAATGTAAAAATGAAATCTGTTAATATCATTTCTGTTCTTAAAGACCTGGCTAACATTTATCCCCACACAAAAAGCATTCTATTCCTTTATACACAAACAAAAATGTAAAACTGTATTTACATTTTTGAAAGCGATTATGGTGTACTGCCAGTCATAAATAACCTCATCCATTTCTGTTTCTTTAATATTATATTCGTACAGTAATAAAAACATGTAAAATAAGTCATAGTTGACTTTTTTTTTGGGATAAGAATAAGCTTCAAGTAAGCCAATCCATATGTTACCATATGTGCATTTTCTTTGGGGGTCATCATGCAGGTACTGTTAATCACAGATTGTTCATAAATGCAGGCTCATATCTGTCATTGCAGAATAATCACTCACACCTATTCCAAATACTGACAATAAATTTGCACTAGTCAAAAAGATCACTCTCACTCATGGATAATGTCACCACTGATCTCAGCAACAACTTGTCAGCATTTCAGAAATTAAACTGTGCAGATTATAAGCTAAAGAGACAGCTCACCCTACTGGCTTGAAACAGAAACTTGATTAAGACATGATAATAAACTGAGCGGCATAGCAACTCGCGTTTTGTTTTTGAGTTGTGTGTTAAATCACAGAAAAATACCGTAGCACACCGTCCACTTTTATGTATTCAAGTATATCATTATGTTAATTACAATGTAAATATTTCAATTTGGTGACAGTACTCACTTGAGAGGAATACGAGGAACTGCAGTGGGTGTGGAAGCAGCAGTGACGACCTGCAGTATTTGCTCCAGAGCCGACAGGCCGCCGCCCACTTGGAAGGCCACTTGGTCTGCATTGTTCTGTTGACGCAAGGACAGAGAGAGAGAACGAGAGAGACAGTGAAACAGAGGTACAGTCAGGGGACAATGAGCCGCAGGCTGGAAAGGGGATTACATGGCTCTCACCAGAGAGGGAACCTCTCTTTCTCCTACGGGGCGAGGGATTGAAATGTGAAACAAAGTGATCCCAAAAGTATTCCTGTTTAATCTCAAAAGTGCACAACCTGACTCCGCCCCACAACAGTCAAGTTTCAGGGGAAGCCAAATGCTTTGCAGGCTCCAGTTAGCGCCAGGGTGGTCTCAACGGATGACCACAGACTGAAGTGAAACTGAGAAAATGCCACTCGGACAAACAAAGAATGGGGCCATTACAGAACCCTGAAAGTAAGGCAATCATCCAAACAGGATAGGATGCGGAAAAACATTAGATTCTTTGATTGTAATTAGACCTAAATGCATCAGATCTATCAGATCAGGTAAGAAAGGTAAGAAAGGTGCAGCATTTACATTTCTTCACCTATTGTGTCAGCGGGATTAAAGGGCTATTTAATCCTGTTCAGAGACTTTTCTTCAACCTTTAACACTATCCAGCCTTACACTTCTAGTGTACTTACTACTTACGTAAGATTTTTATTTTATTTATTCATTTTATGCTGAGCAGACTTTTCATACCCGATTTCAGTGTGTTTGACAAAATACTCCCATCTCAAATTAGTGCCTTCCCCTCTTACATTGTCTTCTTATTTTCTTATTGTTATTTTAGACTAAATATTTTAGTGCAGACAGTATGTTAGACAAAAATATTTGGTGGAAAATTATCAGACCAACTATTAATGGCAAATGTTTAGAGATGCAATCTGAACACAATAGTGTTTCTTTTTCCCATGTAAAAAGTATATGTGTGGAAAAAAATCGTTTTGTGAATATTGAAGTTAAAAATGTTTTCAAATGAACTCTATTTATGTAATTTTAAACTGGCTGAAAATACTCAGTCATTAAAGTGCAATTCGTTAAAATGTTAAAGAGACTTGTGAAGAAGGACGTTAATGTCATTTGACTTCCCAGTCACTCTTGTCACCTTCAGAGGGTATTTTAATTTCCCTTGTAACTTGAGTAAAGCAACTAGTAACAAATCAATTAAACTCCTTAATTTCAACATTAAACTGATTTTTCATCTAAGAACTTTGTTTTGCCTTTCCCTTTATTACTCTCTTAAGAGTGGGTTTAAGTCCTTTTTGTTTAGTTTTACAAACACTCGGTATCAGATTTATTACGTACACATCCCTGTCACAAATGTCTTCGTCCTCCAGTCAGTAAGGACTTTAATGAACAATTGCATAGCAAAAAAAACATCCAGTCAACAGTAGTCATGGGCTATAGGATATTGGTTAAAATGTCCTAATGATTACAAACATGGTAGTAAAAAATTATTTGAATTAATTTTCTGTAAAAGGACTTGAAAGGGTATATTATTTTTTCTCACTCCACAATACAGTACACAAGATTTATGAACACGTGTAAATAGTTCGGCCAAGCCCTCCTGTGATGATAGAGTAATTGGCAGTAGGTCAGATGCTGTTGCTACAATGTCTTATAAATCAACAAGTACAAAGCCAGGAACGAGCGCTGACTATCAGGCATGTTTGTGCCTGGGTCAACAGGGAGGAAAGGAGCTGGAGGGGAGCTGCTGATGGAGCGCCTTCTTCACACAACTGCAAAAGGCCGTGTTACACTGCAGGTCACTCCCCCACCTAATGAGGTTACAGGCTCCTCAGTGCTGTGACAGCACTAAAATCCAGCCACTTCACAGCGCTTTTGTTCCGCAGATGGGAAGTTGCCAACAAGCCTGAACACATTGAGAGAGAAGCGCTTTACCAAATTACAGATAAGCTCTTCATCTGTCATTCATGCCCGCTGCTGAGGTAACTGCTCCTCGATTCCGGTGTTAGACACACACAGAAGACGCACTGAACAAGCATTTAGGGTTTGGGAGATAAAAACATTAACAAACACGCCAAAGACCCTTTGCCTTTAACATAATGAGAAATGTCTCAAAGACAGTCTCAAGAGTCTAAGCAGTGTCTGTAAAAATTCTCATTGTGACTTCCTTTCTGTGCGCTGCCAGCAGTTTCCATGCCTAATCAATTGGGTCTCAGTCCCTAAGCTTGGCTTAACCCCTCTCTTAGCCCTCCCATCAACACACCTACCTAAAAGCTCAGAGGCTGAATAAGAAAAGGCAGCTCTTTCATAGCAGCTTATCAAATGGTATTAAAGGGGGTAACTGGGACCTGCCCAGTCCTGGCTGTCTCGTGTGAAAACCAGACAAGAGTTTCTTGGCTAGTCAGTGCCTCTTCTGCTCTGCTGACAGATTTATCTGTTGTGATGATGGAACAATACGAGTGAAGAGGATTCAATTCAAACTACTTGACATCCTATCTTTAGGTGGCCCGTGCATGCAACGGTCCACAGAAAACAAAAGAAGGCACCAGAGTTATGGGAGGACACACATTTCACCACAAGCATAATGTTTAAAGTAAAGGTTTGTTTTGCATGATAACAGATCTGAGGTCTGTGAATGTTGATCTTTGTGCAAAGCAGTTGGCTTTCAAATGGGAACCAGCATCTTGTGATGATGTGTCCTTTCTACAAACCTAACCACACAGGGCAACAGAAATCATGTTTGTATGTAATTACAGTGACAGTGTATGTACACAGTCAGCTGAATTTGCATACAAATGTAACAGGATGAAAACAATGTTGTCACCATGTTTCACCCAATCTTCTTAAAAGGGAAATACACTTGCAGTCGAATTTAGATAAAAAGATTAGTTATCATTTTCCCCTCCTTTCCTTCTTAACTCAAATGTTGCAAAGTTTGCACACTCTCAGAGTTAAGATCAAAACCCAAGAGACTCCTGAATGCATAGGTGGCTGGCTTGCTACCTGACAAGATAGAATATGAAAGTAAAACAAGACTGGAGGTGTGTCAGAGCATATTTTTCAGCCACATTGGCAGCATGGCGAAAGGGGTGGCACTGTGGGTCGGACCACCACTTTGGTCTAGACTGAAATATCTTCACAACCATTGGATTGACTGCCATGAAATTTTGTATGTACATTTGTGATCCCCAGTTGATGACTGCTACTGACTTTGGCCATCGCCACCTTGAGTGTTAGATCTGTGGTTGTGAGTGAAATGTCTCAACTGCTATTGGATGGAAATACATGTCCCCCTCAGGATGAACTGAAACAACTTTGATGATCCCCTTATTTAGCTCAGTGCCCCGCTGTGCCTATAGTATGTACAGACTCACATAGCTATAGCCCCTTGTTTTACTTTTGTTGGGTCACTGCACAGATTTTACGTGTCAAGGAGTATTACTTACTTATTACTAAATTGCTCTTTTAATGTAGGCTAACTGTTCACCCATGCTCTTATTCTTTGTGCTAGGCTACATATGTCCCATTTTTTCAGTATCTCTGTACTGAAAGCACAGGGAGGATCTGTCTGTGACTGGTCACTCCCCAACAGAAGCTATTACAAAACACAGTAACGAGATGAGCAAATGAATTTCCCTCAAAGAGAAAAAGAATAGCCACCTCCAATGGCCAAGCAATAACACACAAGTGAAAAGGATGGCTCCTGAATTATACAATAGGGGGAATCTTATCCAATTATTGTCCAGGGTGACCATTGTTACCCCAGCTGATGGGAACCCAAAGCAGCTGGCAATTCCTGCGACACTGTCCACAGACCAGCAGACCAGCCAGATTGCACTTTGCAGTCTCCTCCCACCAGATGCTTTAATTAAAGCAGAGAGGAGGGCACAGCCTCAGTCATCCTGCCCCGCCAACAGATGGACAACAACTGGCAGAGTTCATTAAGGACTGGCTTCAACTTTGATCTGCACCATCAAGTCACGAGTTCACTGTTTCAAAACTACAACCTAACAATGACAGAGACGAGTATGACAAATCACCCTCTCTTCACATGAATTTCTTCATTATAAAGCCTTACAGAAAAGCTTGAGAGTGGTAAACAAAGCTCTGTGGGCCAAGTCGACTGTAAACCACAACAAGGCTGCTGGTGTAAACATTTTAAGGTCAAGTATAAACTTATGTGTTTACAAGACATAATGGCAGATGATTTAGTAGACTGTGAGTGCAGGATAAAAATGGAAATGGATAGTTCTGCAAACTGTGTTTATTCTATAAAATGAACCAAGTTAATCAAAGGCCAGTGTGGTGCAAAATTAAACTGGCCACATAAACCACAGACAGGCTCTAGTTGTAACTAATACACAGAGAAACATAGAACCATTTTACTCCCTATTGGTCTTGTGGTGAGGAAACAAAAAAGAGACAAACGACAGTCTAGAATGAGAAAAAAACCCAATAACATTTGAGCTGAAACTGTAAAATTGAAGGGTTTTTTTTCTTCTCACTAATCATTTGATTATCTGACAACCAACTGGTAGCCTCCAAGATAAGGATATAAAATTGCTCAAAAATGACGTGATGTGACATTAGGGCTGAAACAGTTATTTTATTAATGAAATGTTCTTTATTCGATCAATAATCTCATCTAAAAATGTCCCAAATAATGACAAATGCCAATTGCAGATACTTTACTGTGTCGAAATTAGCTTTTTTAATGATATTATATTATATATTAACGGTCAATGTCAAACAAGATATGTGACCATATAATTGACACATAGCCACAACATCAGTGTTTGAAACTCTATAGATTGTTTTAAGGAAACGGTTAACAAAGAAATAATGTACAACATAGTAACACTTTAATTCAAGCATAGCAATATTTTGCTCACCAAGATGGAAAATTTAAACACTGAACTAAATAGCATGCCATTCGTGCTTTGCTGTGTTTGACAAAGTTCTGACACTGGTGATCTGGGCTGTATCTGTCAGTCTGCTGGAGGCCCAAGCAAGAAACCTTATTATCCTGCCACACTGCCCTTCACCTTCCCCCACGTCCCCAGATACAACTCCCACCAGTCCCACTGGTCGGCCCAACCAAACTCTGACAGCTGCTAAATGAAAATGTTAAGTCTACAGCGCACCACACTCCTGACAGTTCCTTACCTGACTTACATGTTGCCCTTTTCTAGATAGGCTTTAACTGAAAGCAGTGGTAAACACTTTAGGCAATATATAAATACAAGTAGTTAAAAATAAGGCAAGTGTGCAGCAAAAGGAAAAGAGCAGCACCCTGGGAAAATTGCTATTCTCAGTCACCTAAAGTAAAGAAAAAAAAAAATCAGGTTTGACACAAAATAAACCATTAGAGGCCACAGAGGGAGAAACACACTGGGGTCAGAGACTAGACATAGCCTAGAAAGCAGGGGAGGAGTGAGGGGGGTGGGACAGCAGTGCAAGAGGGGGAGTGTCGGGTGTTGTCTAAGGAATTAGCAGAGAAAGTGGAGACTGAATCAGATATGAGGGAGAAAAACAAATCTCTAGGTGAGTCAATGACATGAGAGATGCTTGTTAGGTCAAATAATCTAAACGGTCCCGACTTGATGTGACTCAGTGGCCAGACAGCCATGCTGACGGAGACTCTATTTATTTTACTTTGTCCAGGGATTAGAGAGGGAAGTGCTCCCCAGGGTGCGTCACTGGCCAATCACATTGTTCAACTTAGCTTTAGGTGGATTTTTCTGTATGAAGCTGGTGAAGCAGAACTTGACAAAACAGCTTAAAAATGTGCTTTTAAACGGAGGTAAAAAACGGACAAAGAGCATCCAGACAGAGCCTTGATCTGCCTCCTTGCCAGCAACACCACTGTTGAATCTCCTGTGGCCCACTGACCTCTGACCTCCCACTGGGACTATGTGAAGCTGAGGGGAGGAGCCCTCATGTAGTGACAGCTTGTGAGCTACTCACATCACACTGGTCTCCTCCTCTCTTCTTACAGGACGCTGTGCCACCCACCTCAGCCACCCCTTTCTTTGCCTCTCTGGGGAAATTCAATAATAGCCTCTCTAGCCGCCCCCCTCGTCACTGATGGGACACCATAATCTCTCTATCCTCACGCCCAGAGGCATGCACAGTGGGATGTTATGATGCTCGAACCACAACATGGCAGGAAATTTATGCCTCATTACAGCAAGTGGGCTGTATATTCTCCTCATCATAAACACAGTGGCAGGTGTTTTAATTCCTCTTCTCAGTTTCAGACATGCAACAAAACCTCTGGGACAGATGTTTCAAATCAACTTTAGTTATAAATGTCTGCCATTATATCTGACAATTATATGTATTTATACAGCTGTAAAGAAGTGTAAGAACAAAAATAAATCTCTGGAAAGAATATCTGATTCACTTGGCTTTGTTCAGTAGAGTCTTGTGCATCAATGGCATTTCATCTGAAAATCCAATTTACTATTGTCTAAACTAGTGACATCTGAGTCGTGCAAGCCACATAGACACAAGACAATGCTTGCTCTCGTGCTAGGAAGCTCCTCTATTGGTACCATGTGCACAATGAAAACACAGTTAATCTGGTCTTCATTAGCCAATAACCAAAGGCAAGTTGGTTTGGAGTAAGTGATACTCTACATTGGGAGGGTGGGACACAGGGAGACACAGCCAAACACAACTCATCACTGAAGAGACATGCCAAAGGGCTGGCATGACCTGTGCACTGCTGCAGACTGTTCAGTTGACAGACAAGCAACAAAGCAGGACATTTTCTGCAGAATAGCACATAATTCACCAAGGAGAAAGGCCCCAATGTTTGCAGCTTCAAATCTATGTAGCAGAAATCTACGTTGAAGAAAAGTAAGGGTATGGATACATAAAAATAATGTGATAATAAATATACAAGCAGTATATTAAAATAATAATCACTACACTAAGAAAAGATACACATTACTCAATCACATTGTCTTTGATATCTCTGTGATCTATTTGTTGATCTACCTGTTTCTCCAAGATGCGAGAGATCTCTCCCAGAGTTCTGTCCAGACCAGACACTTTGTTGTTGGCCCACTGGCCGCTGTCTTGGCCCTGCAGCTGCTTCAACAGGTCCTTCACCAGGCGCTGCAACCTGAACATACAGGAGCCAATAGTTATTATAAATCTGTTTACAAACAGCAGTTCCTAATTCATGTTTCCATGCAACCTCAGCAAACTTCCATCTATCCAAAATTTGGATAATCAATTAATTGCTTAAGTCATTTTTCTGGTCTGGTTGTTAGAAAAAACAAACAGATGTCACCTTGGCCTCTGGGAAATTGTTTCACAGTTTTCTGGCATGAATATCCGATAATTCATCTTGATTAATAAGCAGCAGATTATTCAATTTAATAATAATTGTTGGTTGCAGCCCTGTACAACAGCTTTATAATAATTAGAATATGACATTAAAAATGAAGAAAAACTATGAAACTACAGATTGTGAAAAAAAGGAAAACACTCACTTGGCCTTGTATGGGGAGTCAGGGACCTGTGTCTTTGCCTCCATTGATGTCTCATATTCCTTTGCCCTGCAGAAAGAGAAGTAGGAAAATGTCTTTGAATCCCAGGAAAAAGTGTTTGGCCTGTCAGTAAAGAACACAACGGATGAAAGTGTGAAGACAGAGGAAAAAGTTCAAGCCTGAGTTTGTTTATTTGGCCTGTCGGCCCCTTCACCAAGTAACTTGTCTTAAAATAATCAGACACTGGCTCTGTGGGGATGGGTGTTTTGCTGCCATGGAGTATTATCATGAAGACTTAATTCCAACTTTAAATCTGCCTTCCTTTGAGTCATTTTTAACAAGGGAGGCTCAGGTTCTTCACTTCACTCATTGTCAAATAAACAGTTAATGGGGGGCTTCGAGCAACGCAACTAGTGTTTTGAATGTCTGACCTCCGAAAAGGTCATGGTCATTAGGGGACTGGTGGCATTAATCCAACAGCCAGGCACAGTCTGTGTGTGTGTTTGTGTGTGTGAGAAACTGGGTGGAGGATTCAATCTGTCAATCAGGCATTCCCAGACATGATAAGTAACTATTGATCAGTTAGATAGAGCGCCTTCCGGTTACCCATCTCTACACTGATAGGATCAAACACTTCCTGGAAGACGACAGGTGGATTTGTCCCGGCAGGCCGGACATGGACCAACCACAACCTCATCATCTTTTCACAATCTCTTATATTCAAGGGCAGTCATCTAACAGCAACTGATAATTCACGTCACAGCTGAACCAGGACATTGAGATACCAAAAACCTTCTAACGGCTGTCCCAGGACATTTTCTAGCATTCAGAAAGATAACATTGTTATACTTTGATGTCAGAGATGTAGCGGTTACAAATCTCTTGTAAATTAGAATAAAATAAAATAAAATAAAATAAAATAATATGCAGCTTTGTTTTAGCAGCTTGAGAACGATATCTTAAATTAATATTAAGGTTAAATCTAAACAAGTAATCTACAAGATCAGCCATATTACTGTCAAAAAGAAGAAGAGAAAAAAGTACAGTCGTACTGTATTAGATACCAATGTCAGAAGATCATGTTGTGAATGAGGATAACTATACATGTTTGTGACACTCTTCAGTAATAATTTTAAATAAAGTTATTTTCTGTGTCCTGTGAGTAGGATAAATGGGTACAACACACTTGTTTTCAGAGGGGCCTGAACTGTATCCGCCCTGTTCGTCATTCCAATTTCTTATACTCCTCTTTATAAAAGAGACACGGCTGTCTCCAATCTACAAAAGCAGATTCAAACCACGACTACAATGTACACAACACAGATCTAGAAAATGAAGCCAGGTATCAGTTCAATGGTAATAAAGAGGAGAAGAACCTACGGAAACGTAAAATAATGCTTATACTTCAATAATTGTACTTTAAATGCTTGTATGTGCTTTGTATGTTCATTTACGAGCAGGACATTTTCCCCTTAATTCGAGGCAGCAGACTGGGTAAAATGAGTTGGGGCCATGCTTACCACCTCATACTGTATTCCATACTCCATACTCCATACAGGAGTGTCTTTGTATACACATCTCCATCTGAGGTCCATACACACAACAACACACTGGCCACTCTGTTCCCTGCTGAGCAAACCACAAGCAACCAGCTACGGGCAAGCAGCTCATACCAGGGCATAAGTGGAGACTTTGGTTTCCAAGTTCAGAACTCATCCTGACACTAACTGACAGGCTACTTACATGAAATTTTAACAGCATATTTTCCTTCCCGAAACACTTATTAGAGCAGGTTAGCCAAGCCACAAAAATAAAAACATGTGGGTTAAAATGTGTGTTCACTGCTTTATGACAGAACTGGGCTGCATGTTGGCCTGGTGAAAAGTCTAGTGAGAACCACTCACGTTTTACGGACACCATACGGTGTTCCAATAAAACGGTTCATTTCCACCCGGTGGTGAAGCGGCTCACCTTTATGTTTACTGGGGCTCTGTGTAATTTATGACCTCTGAAAGCCTGCTGCCTCTGAGTGCTAGTCTCAGCAGAGCTGGTGCAGGGGTGACGGTGAACAGAGACAGATCATGTTGTCACTTTCTCGGTACCGCTGAGCCTCACAAAGCCAAAAACAGCAGCACTGAGAATAAAGCACTGTCGCAGAATGGGATGAGTGTTTCAGCCTAGAGCTACCTCTTATTCCTCTTTTGAATAAAAACTTTCTCCTGAGAAACATAATAATGATGAATTCTCTTTTTAGAAATCTCACTCAGGGTCATATCCACAGGTCAATCATGATAAGAGGTTGGAGGCTCTATTAGGATCATTAAATCTGCCTACACTCAGAGGAGAACACTGACCTCTGTGATCACAAAGGAAGAAATGTACTCCACCATAGCCAGAAATTGGCAAGAGAGGGATTCATGTAAGAGTGGTACAAAACTTTGAAAGATGTTCTCAGGAGGTCATCCAGACAGGGCTGCTCACTAACTCAGCTCCTTTTACCATTTTTATTTCAAATGCAATTAACGAAATAAAACAGTTTCAGGTTAACAGAAACTGGATTTTTGCTAATTATGTACACAATTGATGTTACTATTAGAAGAGTGTATGGTTCTTTTCCAAGAAACTTACATCTTTATTTTCAGTCATAATCCCAATAAAGATAATAAAGAGCAGACTCTTTGCAAAAATTCAGTTAGTTTTGCCAAGTTGCTTTAAATTACACACATATAATATAAATACACACATTTATTATTACATTTTTATCCATTAAAAAGGGAACTGTGAGGGAATATGCAGACAACAACTAACTGCCCCTTGGAGAGAGTTTAGCTCAAATATATATAAAGTTGTTGCCTCTATTGCATCCTAATAACTGTTTTCCAAAGAAAATAATTTTTTAATACAACGTAAATAACTAAGCTGCAGAAACTGAACTGGAGGTAAATATCTATTAAACCGTTATAGGTCTTTTACTAGGAGGCAGCAGAATAAGGAAATACTGGTCTTTATGTTGATGGATACATTTAACCAGTGTACAGTATACACACTAGGGTTGTGTAAAATCTGAGATTTTCGAAATGATATTAGCTGATTAATGTATGAACTGGATTACTTATGTTAAACCTTTAAGACCACATTATCAGCACTCCCTCCATTATACCATAAACAGTAAAGGGTTACACTTATATTGCACTTTTCAACCAGAAAAAAAACTTTAAAAAAACTACTTTACAATGACACACACACACACACACACACACACACACACACACACACACACACACACACACACACACACACACACACACACACACACACACACACACACACACACACACACACACACACACACACACACACACAGACACAGTGTGGACAGAAGGAGCCAGGGATCGAACCCCCGACCCTACGATTCACGGACAATCTGCTTCACTTCTTGAGCCACGGCTGCATCATCAAGTTGGTATTTCTCTGTGTAAGGCCCTATGGTCTTGCAGGGGTGTGTGTTAGCACTGTGTTTATTTTGTTACACATTCAAGCTCTATTGAAAAAAAAATAACAATAGACCAGTGTTGTTTTGATACGGATCCTGACCAATATCAATGAGTTTTTAAATTCACTTTCAGGGCCAGTTATCCATTTTCCGAGCAGATGGAGGATCATGCCTCATGAGAAGTAAAAAGCAGTACTAAAGTTAAAGAATTTTGTTATGTGATTATCATGTCTGGACGTTTGTGTTGGGCTTTTAATCTATTTTAGCTTGCCTGGTCAACAACAAAACTCTGACTTCATTATTTATAGACTTAGTTGTCTATTATACACATATTTTTAATGTTTACGTTATTTTAGTGATTCCTCAGCCACTGTCTGAAGGTGACAGAAGCCATATCTTGCTTTAAGCCCGTTTAAGCATGGGCTTTAGCATGTACATCTTAGATATTAATGTCATCCTGCTTGTAGTGGAATACATCTAATAATCTGCATCAATAACATCTTACAGTAAGTACTGTCAACATCGTGTCTCTTTCCACTCGTCTTCCTCAGTGTTGTGACAGCCGGTTATATTGATTGAGCTCAGGTCGAGGTTCTGACACACAGCAGCTCTGCCTCCTATTTGTTGATTACTATTGATTTTCTTTGATACTTCATTTAAAAATCAATAGCTCAGAAGAAGAAAAATAGGCATGGCTCATACATACTTTAACATACATCCTCTACGCTGAGGAAGGCTTCAGATTTGGCAATGCCATGGCAGCAATTTGGAGGAAAGCTCTTTACAGGTGAAAGCCGGGGGCCCTACAGATCGATTTGCAGTTTTGCTGCCCAATCACAGAAAGTGCTCATAAATTAAGCTCATCAGTGTTACCTTGTAGACAGCCAGGATGCACATAACATCTGCTTTCCATCTCCTTGTCACTCATAAAAAAGTCCTGGGACAGTTTTGTCCTCTGAGAGAGAGAGTGAGAGTGAGAGTGAGAGAGAGAGAAAATGTATGTAATACCTGGAGTTCATCCTGGCGCGGAGCTTCTTTGCCTTCTTCCGTGCCTTCTGCCGCTCTTCTCCATCCTTCATGCTCTCAGAGGACACAGAGCTGTCCGTCACAATATCCACAATGTATTTCTTCAAGGATAGATGCTCCTAGAGTAGACAAAACCAATACATTAAAAGACATTGCTGGCAAATCTTTGTACCATTACTTATAAGAAGCTTCTAAAATAACAAGTGTGTCTAGTCTTGTGTCAAAACAAGCCTACTAATCAGTGGTGGAAATAAAATAAGCACTTTTAGTGCTGTACTGTAGTCACACTAAACTGGAGTAGAACAGAACAGCAAATATAATCCTTGTTAAATATCTCTAAGTAAAGGTTATACACTTGTTGCCACAAGATGTGGCACCGTATATATATTGTGTGACATGTAGATCCACAGGTATCAATAACACCATTGTATCCTGTAATTACCTTTAATACTATACACCCTTTTGAAGCCACTTGCCCATGGACATGCTAAAAGGCTGGAGGTGTTGCCTCCTGTCTGGCACTGTCAGATGATTCTGATATTTCCGCCAGGAGACATGGGAATGTAACCCAATTTGAACAACATGATGCATGTGCAAGAAACCAATTACCCAATTATGCTGTCATCCAGCACCCCAGAGGATAGGATGGACTGGCAGATAAAGGGTTTCTATTCAGCAGTCGGGCTAACCTGTGTGTGGGATGCCATACCCTTTGGTCACAAGTGTTGTCAGTGCACCTGCTGCCTGAATAGGGGTTTTCACTGCCGGTCGTTGGAAAAACAGGTGTCCTTAGGTGTTCTAAAGTGTGCATGAGTGAATGAGTGCCACATAACTACTATATAAATCTAAAGATTTCTTTACCATTTTGACTTAAAGGTCCTGAAACCCTATTTTATAAAACAAGTGTCTATTTCACATGCTGGATTTTAGGTTTTTTGTTTTTCGTATTGGCAATAGTTTTGTCCGTGGCTGAAAGTCCACTTATTACCAGTCAAGATCTAGAAATATTTCAAAATGGGATGACAATTGTGGGGTTGTTTGCTTATGTTGCCACACCAACACAGTCCTTATGACATGAATAAGCTGAGGTGTTGGGTTAGTCTTAATAAATAATATGTAACAATGTTTAAGTTTAAGTTACTTAGTAATTAATATTCAATATTTTAGAGAAATATTTAAGATTTGAAGTGACATTTTCAGGAGCTTCAATATTGATCAGGTAGTTAATTTATGAATAAGCTGGTAGCTCACTTGCTGCATTTTTTCAAGAGCCTAAAAGTGACAAGAGTAAAACAGAATGGGGATGATGATGATAACTTTGTAAATGGCACTGCGAGTGAGAGTATTATGTTTCCGAAGAAGGATGTGTGTGTGTCTGTATTTGTATGCGCACACCTCTGCCCTCTACTTCGCAATACTACAGGTCACTCATGACTCATGACCGTAGTTGTCCCTCACTGGGGAGGCAGCTGTTCAGTAATCTCTCTGAGAGGCTATCCAGTGCACTGGCCACTCACTTAATGGAATTGTTTCAGTAACGCATCCAAAACATCTTTGCAAAATCACACTTAAAATAAAAGGGTACCTGAAATATTAAGCTGTCAAATAGAGTATAATTCTGACACACAGACAATGATTCTTTAGCAAATAAATATATAATGATTACATCCCATTTCCCGTTTCTAGGTGGGTTGTCTGAATGGAGGTTGTGGAGACTGTTGAGACAATCAGACTTGATGATAGACAGGTGTCTACCACTGAACCATTGTAACAAAGCAGGAAAAGGCGCTGGCCTAAGGGCATTGCTACCGCACAATACCACAGATAGCGAGTAATATGATAACGCTCTAAACATCTCTCCCATTTCCCTGGCACAAACAGTCCTATAACAGATCTAAAAGGCAGCCAAGACAAATACATTGCTCCATGGATATGTTCATCCACCGCCTCTTTTGTCACATACAAAAGGCCTGAGAGGTAGGCTTTCCATTTGGTGTGAAACAAACAGCTGTATTTCATGTTGGCTACTAGGAAAGAATGATACTACACTGGATATAGTTACCATCACTACAGTGGTTTACATGACATTTCTGTATTTAACTGCATCCTATCAGTGACATGTAAGGAGGGGACAAGTCACATGAAGACAAAAAAACAGAGTACTAGTCATAAGATCTCTCAACAGCAGCTTCACTGCTAGAACTAGACAAGATGTCAGATCTTATAACAGTGTGGGAAGGGAGAGGCTCGCTTCAGCTGGCAGTCTGGATATTTCATCAAGGTTCTCAATTTGTGGCCATCAGTGCAGCTTTAACTACAAGACCTTTAGGACTATTTAGTGCTTTTGAGAGGTCAGCTCTGGTACCCTCTGTGATCCCTCTACTGGCCGTGCTTGCCAAGCACTACAGAAGTCTTTCCTCAGAGAAGCCAGCAGTTTTTTTTGAGCTGTTGTGTCTAAAGGTGATTAAAGCCCTTCAGTCAGAAGGCACAGGTCTTAGATATTACCTGCATCATATTAAACCAGGACAGATGGTGAGTAAAAAGAGTGATTGCAATCTGCAATCACATCAATTCTACCCTATTGATAATCACTGAATTTTCAATTTAATTTGCAAGTATTTCAAAATGAGAGAAAATGACTAAATATGAAGGCAAAGGCCATTTGCTGCCCGCTTCTGATGAAAAACTATGGAGTGACCCTTTGCACAGCTAAACTAACCATCTTAGTTTTAATTAAAACACTTTCATTGCAGGGAGAGTTATGGAGCCACAGTCTAGAAAATAGTTGGCAGTGTTATGAATGAAATAGTGGAAACCAAAATGAGCTTTGATAAGAATAACAAGGGGCCACATAAGTCTATCTAAACAAAGTATCCAGACATAGATCTAATGGACAGCTTGATTAGCTTTCACATAGAATAAGAAAAAACAGTTCTGGACATCTAAATATTATCTATTAGAGATGCACTGCAATGACTAAAAGCCCAATCCAATAATAATACACATAATATAAACAGTCAAGTACAACATTTAGATACAGCCAGATGCAGAGTAAGACAAGGATGACTTGGAGTTCTGCAACTTTGACTGATTAGTACTGACAAAAAGAAAATATGCAATGTGAAAAAACAGTAAAGCCTCTGCGTTACAGTTACTTGTAAAACTATATCATACAGAAGGAGACATATTGTAAATGTACATGAAGTAGTGCTCATATATGAACTGTTTATAGTGCTATATTGGTGAAGTGCTTCTCTCCATTGCCTTGTTTATCATACTGTCAAACAGAAAAAATGACCTGCATTTGGAAAGGAAATGATTTAGAAGAAAGGAAAGAGGGGGGTATCAATTATTCCCTGCTGAAAAAAGCTTTGAATGAAGGAGCTGCTGGGGCCAAAGGTGCTGCGTATAGCACCAACAGTTGTCAGCCTCACAATGAGCACTGCTGAAAAGCCAATCTCATATTGCAGCCTGAGAGGTTACCTTGCATTAACGAGCTGCCTTCCCATGGAAAGGCGCTCCATGACAAAAACAGCCTGGAGACAAGGGGGTGATGTCACCCCTCCACTGAAGCACTGAACCCTAACTGTGTACATTTCAAGGCCCATTTGTAATCTCACAAAGACAGCAAAAGAGCTGTGGCAGTATATAAGGGGATGCATAAAAGGGGATGCATAAACAATAATGATGAGCACGTCATAAAAGCCAACCACTGTGTCTCTTTGTCTTTTTACATGACACGAGCAGCAGTAGGGCAGTATTCTTTGACAGGATGAGTGGATGTTTGTTCCTGGCAGGCAGGGTGTGTGTGTGTGTGAGATACGCACCACTTCCTCATCAGAGAGCTCCCGTCCCTGGATGCTGCTGCTGTCTCGCACGGCCTGTTGGTGCCTCTTGCCCTTGGTGTGGCTGAACAGGTGCACCTCTGAGGTGATCTACAAACACAAACACAGTGGTCAGAGGTCACTGCTGCGGACACAATGGAGACAGAGGCAGGAAAGGGTCAACAGAGCCCCATGGGACGCTGGTGAAATGATATACCACATGTGCTTGTCAATGGGACATGACCTGTCTCAACTGAACCTCAGTCTTTAAAGCAAAGACTAAAGACAGGAAATGTGTTATATATGTACAACTTGGTAGTAATACTTGGCTTTATAATTTGTATTTCGTTGTATTATCCTTTTTATGATACTAATTGAGCCTACGGCAACAGAGTGTAGCTGGAGAAACCGCTCAACACAAATACTCTTTTGGGATTTTAATACAAGGAAAAGTTATACATATATATATATATATATATATATATAAAAAGCCTTAAGCCTTAATAACAAGAGGCAGGTGTACAGCAAGCAATGTTGTTCTCCCATCTCTGGAAACAAGCCATCCAGAATGGTTTGTGTTTAATGTCATTAAATTAAGTGCTTGCTGCTGACCAATCCATGATCTCTGGTGTCAGATGCTGGCCAAGGTCATCTAACATTTTAACAAGATTCCCTCTTTCACCCCATGACCCTGCTCTTTATCTGATGCTGGTTTGAGGACTCAAGGTGTCCCACCCTTGTTGCCGTGGTAGCCGGTCCGTCAGAGATAAATGTGTCTGTTTGTGGATTTGTTGCCTGACATGTGAAAAAGAATAATCATGCCCAGTCATAAATCTCTGTTTAAGAGCCCATGATTAATCAATGCAGTTAAATCCTCATTTAAATGTGCCCTCTTCCAGAAATCCTCTGAATCACCTTCCTATCAGCATTTTTATGTATATACAGCCTGCCAAATAACACAGGGGAGTTGCCCAGAGCTGTTCTGCTGCACTATCTGTGTCTTTTTCTTTTCACCATGCCCATGCGTACAAAAGACACAAACACATATTAGTTCAGGAGAGTGAAATAATTAAATGAAAGGGTAGAGAATAATTCAAGCCAATTTAAAGGAAATGAGGACTCTTTAGAATCCCGTCTCACTATGATAATAGAGGCCATTCAAAATAGTGTGTACAGTAACAAGGCCTTTCATTGGCACTTTTGGCCACGCGAGTCGTCTCACACCACACCTCCTAGCGGGATGCGTCGATGTCTCACAGACCATGGCCAACCCTTGACAACCCCCCACCTCCCCTTAAAAAAAAAAAGTGTGTTCCTGTGACTCAACCCATGTTTGTACAGCAGACCACACAGACGTTTCAGAGTGTTAAGCTCTCAGGACTTTTGTAGCTTCTAACAGAATCTCTGCGGTTTGAAATTTAGTTTCTCGCCTGCGCCTGTCGCTCTCAGCTCTATAGAAGTCTATCATGTTTAGTTACTTCTGATGAAAAGCCAAAGAACAAAATAACCAGGGATTTTTATTGTTAACAATGTATAGGAAATGAAATGTGTTTATCACCGAATTACCGGAGCTTAGTTAGCAGCTATTCTTCAATAAAAACAAGTCTGCAGGAACCAAGGTTGTGGTTGTGTGCTTATTTCTGCTGTAGAATGTGACTGCTGTGAAACAATCAGAAAATAACATTTGATTTATTTGATTTACTGCTTTGTTCTTGCTAATGCCATCTCTTCAGTCAATCTTGAACTCTCTTTGCCTGTAAAGACATACCTTCAAGAGGGTAGCCCTCTTGTAATGGAGATGCAAATCCCTACCGCACTGGGCTGGTGAGTCAAACTGAGTCAGACCAAGCCATCACATGTATGTAAAAGGGACATAAGTTAGGAACACCCTGACATAGGATGAAACTGTAAATACCTCAATGCTGTACATACCACAACGCTGCACAGGGAGCACTGTTTCTTGCGCTCGTATGGTGTCAGTTTGGGGGCGTAGTCCGTGTTAGCATGTCGACCACTACTGAGCTCAGCCGCCTTCTCCTTCCTCTGCTCAATTTGCTCCATATGCCTACGGCTGCTTTCATCATGCTATGGATGAGAGCAAAAACCAGGAGTCATATGGGGAACCGTGAATTCCTGTATGTCCGATGAAAACACAAGTTGACATGGTGTAAACTTACCTTCATCTGAATTTTCTTCTGCAGTTCCTCCATGGCCTCCTGTTGAGCAGCACTAAGAGCAGCTAGACGCTCCTCTCGGTCTCTTTAGACAGGACACAGAAAAGCAGTGTGACACGACTGTACGGGTAACTACAAGTTTCCTATTCATCAAATGAGAACTGGTACAGCCACCGGTGTATACATGTTCATACTGAATGGATTTGGGTCTACAAACCTGGCCCTTTCTCGTGCTGCATCTTCTCTAGCTTTCTCTTTTTCGTGCCTCTGCTGTTCAATACGAGCCTCTTGCTCTTTCCTCCGCATCAGCAGCTCCTCCACCCGTGCCTGCCGCTCTGCCTCCAGTACCCGTTTACGCTCCTACAGAGGTAGTACAAGATTGAAGTTGCAAATAAATACGAAAATTACAAGTGAAAAAATGTCATGCAAATCAAGCTTTGGTTTTTGTTGTACCTGCACAGCCTCGTCTCTGGCCTGCTTCTCCTCCTGTCTCCTCTGTCTATCCTCCTGCAGCTCGTTAAGGCGTTGCTCATACTCATTTAACTTGGCCAGGGCATCATGTCTCTTGTTTTGGGCTTCCAGAGTGTTGATAAATGCGATTTCATTCACCTGTAGAGACACATATACATGTGAAGTAGCATATAAACACGCTGAGGGTATATACTATGAAAATAATAAACATAAATGCATATACAGAGAAGTTGGGGGGGGGTCAGTTTGGCTGTTGCTAGCCTAAATATTGTAACATATGATTATGAAATGTGTTAAAATATAAGAGCAATATCTCAAAATCCACAGCAGTCATTTTTTTAGGGGCACTGTGTATTTATCAATGTCATTTAAAAAAAGTATGACTGCAAACGTCCCACTTAATTCAGAAAATTCCTCAGCTGTCTGCGTCTATGGTTACTGCTTTTCAGAGGATCCCCTCCTCTACCTTGGCCTCTTCTTCTTGGGCTTTCTTCACGATCGCTTGGAGCTGCAGCTCTCGCTTAAACTCTGCATGTAATAGCCTTTCCTCCATCATCTTCCGACGCTGCTCCAACAACCCCTCCTTCCATTTCCTCACCTCCTTCTCCTGCAGAGAGTGAAGAGTGACAAGCAAGAGCGAGTGAAAATGTAAAAACAAAAAAAAGAATAATGTACATTCTCCAGGCCAAACGCAAACAATGGATTCTTAATCTATCAGTTGCTACCCTCTCCACTGTGTCCATGTGGGAATGAATGCGAATATACACCACTTCATGTATTTATGTGGTTAATCCCGATTCATTCTAGGACTCACTCATCTTGCCATGGTCTGGGGAACAAAAACAAACTTCATGAAAGGCTGTTGATTTTTGCCAGGGGTCTCTCTCACGACTGTCTGCGGCCAGCTGGCCTGGATGTGACTGGAGGAGGTTATAATATTTAGTGATTCTATCAGGCAGTGCGCTGACAAAACCTCTCGTTACGTGCCAGACTGGGTTTAGCTTGTGCATACTTTTTTAGGGTGCTTTCCGTCAACTTTGCACGGCTTACTCACCCTCTCCAACAGCTTCTGCAGTTTGAGTGTCTTTTCCTCACGGAGTTTGTCCCTCAGCTGCTGCGCCTTCAGCTGTTTCTCCTCATGTTTCTTCTTTGACTCTGCAATGGTTCTGTCAAAAACATGGAAACAAATCATTCATCTCTTTCTGTTTCCGCCTTACAAACAATGCGCAAAGCAGACATATACTCTTATAGCCACTAGGGCCTGTTTAGATGTTCTGGTAACCTAAAAAGAAAGAGGTCAAACTCAGCAAGTGGGCAAGTGACTCTCAAGCTGCTGGGTTAAATCCTTGTCAAAATAATCAAGAGAATTATAAAGTAGACTGAGGTGCTGTTCAGGAACACATTAACAAGTAGAAAAACTGACTGTACTGTATGGACACTGTCCATGTGTGTTAGAAATAAACAAAGCACGTAGTTGAAAAAGCATGTGTGCTCAACCGCCAACCATAAAGAAAACGTTCAGCACCTTTTGCGGGACGGAGAGGACAATTTCTCGTGCATATGGATTCCATGTCCAGGAGGCCGAGCAGGTTCCTCCTCTACCATGTCCCCCCATGAGGTACGCCATGGCTCACGAGCTACAAGAGGCAAGCAAGAAACATAATTAGACTTCAGTGTAAGGTTTGCCTTTAAAAAAGGAAGAGAGTTCCGTTTTCATTTAGATGCTGATCTCGTACCATCATAATCTGCCAGCACGTCACTCCAATCGATATTGACTCCACAACCGCCGTTGCCAATGCTAGTCTGTGGTAAAGATTTGTTTTTCAAAGTTCAACATACAATGAAGTGCAAATCTAAATCCAAGCTTTAACTTGCTGTCAAACAAAAGGCACCAATCATTTACAGTATAAATGAGCATGATTAATCTTACAGAGAAGTCACTTTCGTTGTCAGTCTCCAGGTCGTTATTTTCAGCCTGAATCTCTCTGGTCAGCTGCTCTTCCTCAGCGATGGCACTGGCAATCGCCTCCTCGTTGGCCTTCTCCAGTCGTTCTGCAAGCTCCTCTTTCTTGGCAAGGACCTCTGCCATGGACTGGGGCTGAACACATGGCAGCATAGATACCACTTTACACATGCAGCATTTCACACTTCACGTTGAGATCATGCAAATGACCATAGAGGAATCAGAAAAATAGAAACCCACAAGTGTAATATGCCTTTTTCATGGATGCCATTTTGATATGTCGCAGTAGAAAACAACACGTGTAAATAGTACAACTAATGATAGACGAATTAATCCATTTAGCTGTTTCTGTTTTAAGGTCCTCCTGGTATTGTGCATGCTGGCTCACTGTCACGACTGAATAGGGCCTTTGTTATACATGCAACTTTATGAAACATAACTTTTTAAAATTATGTCACAGAGGCTTTTCTAATACCTCTGCTGCTCCTTATATGCAAAGTGTGTTGACAAAATATTAAAAAGTATTCAATGTGCAGCACCTGTAATAATAGATTGTATCTACTGCATTTGACCACCTGATTTGTGCTTGGGTGCACAATCCAATGACTGCGGGGAACACCATATCAACCCAATCACAGTTTGCACCACACAATCATCACAAGAATCACAAGTGAGGAAGCATTCAAGAGTCATGCAGGTCACATTTACTGTGAGGATGAAGAGATGGTGGAAGGAAACTGATGGTTTTGTTACAGGAAACTGTTTACTTCAACCTTTTAAGTGTTTTGGGAGTTCTATATTTTTTCCATTATTACTGCCATGTCATGCATTGAAGCAATAAGGGAAGGACTCCAGAGCATCAAGTTTTACATGAGGTATGTATGGGAAGGATAAAAAGATCTAAATCTTAAGCACACAAGTATTGCCTGGACGAGGTCTAGACTAGACTAGACTGGTGTTAAATGTGAGGCCAAATAGCTTTCAATGTAGATTTGAGTTGAAGTTTTTTCCACATGTTCACTCACCACCTGTCCAAATCTGACAGTATCCTACTTAGAAGTGTAGTCATCCTTGATTAAGTGTATGGAGCTCTGTTTACACACTCCATGATGCTTAATAATAGTGACAACACCTGATGTGGGTAAACAATATTTGCCTAAAATCTGACACAAGGTAGAATAGAAACTGGAAACACTAACTGTTCTGCAGCATTTTTTCACAAAATTTGTGGCCAAAATAAATAAAACAAGTTGAGAGATTTGTTTTGGGCAACACCCTGGGAGCACTTGCTCAAGTACAAAAGTCATCTACTCACAGCTATTCTTCACAGTGAACGGTGCTATAACAACACTACACAGAGCTATGCAGTCTTGCCTGCCATTTGGTCTGGAGGTTTCTTAAGATTGACTTTGTTTAGGCGGTGAAGGACCCTTAGGGATCCTTGCCCCCCCGCCCTGCCCTCCCTCCCCTCCTCCATCTCTCAGCACTCACAGTAGAAAGCTCTGTGGGGTCCAGCACACTCTCCAGTTTCACCGCTGCCATGGGAGTCTCAGCCTGTCCTGGAGCAGATGTGGCCATGCCCTGCGACGCGCCCCCCTCAGCCCCACTGTCCCCCAAGGCCAACAGTGCACCAAGCTCATCCGTCTGGGGAAGGTCTGGGGATGCGGAGAGGGCCAGAGTGGGGACGGGGACTGGGACTGATAAGGTAATGTCTGTTGGTGGAACTGTGGCCAAGGACAAGGTGGGCTCTGGGGCTTGGGATGGGGTAAGAGCTGCTATGGGGGGAGGCGCGTCTTCACAGGGTGCGTCGACACACTGCCCCGAGTCTTGTATACTCTCTGCTGGGGGCTGCACCGACAGTCAGACACAAACACACGCAAACTCAATTAAAAGACATGCACATTTCAAGCAATTCATGAGAGCAATAACAACACAAAAAAACAAAGTCAATAGTCAACACGTAGCTTAGAAACACAAATCATGCAGGAAAGCTTGTACTAACATGCCCTAAACATCCAATTATGATCAAAATAAGATGATAGATTAGAAATACTGATTATATTTCAAAATGAACCAATGGCTATAACACACTCTTACCAAGTGTGTCTTGAGGCATTGTCAGAGTATTTATTTCATGAGAGTGAAAATGGGTTTTCTGCCTCTGAAATGTCAGTGTACAATCAATTGCCTTAAAGTTGATATGCCTGTCTGGACAGTCTGTCTATGAATACCATGGAGCCCAAAACAAAAACAAATGTGGCTGATAAAATGGTCTAGTGTTACTCTGCTCCTTGTGAATAATTGATATTCAGGGACTGCTCAGGGAGAAAGACGTCACAAGGTACTGAACCTCAGTACCTCCATCATGTGTCCATTCTCTGGACGTTCAACCTTCTCCGGGGGGTCAGGCTCGTCAGGGACTTGCTTCTCAGTGTCCGCCTTGATCGCATCCTTTTCTGGGGGACACTGAGGACGGAGTTGTTGCTCTTCCTGCTGAGGCGGCAGATGTGACTGGTTGCACTTAACGCTCTCCTGTTTTGGGGTGACATGAGCCAAGACAGGACTGACCTTGGCAACTATTGCGGCAGAGCGAGGTTTGGCAGTACGTCCGCGCTGGACGGTCTCCCAGCCCTCAGCATCCTTTTTACCTGGTGAAAACATGAGGTACTGTGTCAATCAGGGAGAAGAAGATGTGGTACTGTGCTCTTTTAGGAACCGCATTTTCTACAATCTGGCTCTGTGCAGAAAATTTCTTACCCAGTTTTTCTACCGAGGACGTGGTCTGTTGACTGGAGGTTGGGACGGACTGAGTGCACTTTACTCGGTCTGCCCAGCTTGGGCCTGTGTGAGACAGCCGGGATGCAGCCAGTGTAGCTGGTGGACCACTGAATAAGACACACACACACACACACAGCATGCTTGAGAACAAACAAATGTGCACCTGTACAGTGAAGCCTTTACTGTCAGCAGGTCGGATTTGCAATTTTATTACACCATTACATCTAATCTTTGAGCAGCATCTATAGTGCTGCCTGTCTAAGATGCTTCAACAGTCTGAAGACAGTGCCTATCTAACACCCCAGCAATCTCCACTCAGAGATAGCATGGGACTGTATTGGACAACAGGCCTCCATCATGATCAATATCCATTTCCTGCAGCGTCCGATTACAGAGCAGTGCACATATTGAACCGATGCTTCAGCAGTCTTTAACTGACACTTTCATCTACACCTTCCACTGATTCTGTGGCCAAAGAGTGAGAGACTCAACAAATTGCATTAAACAAATGCTTCACCATTAGCAATCAATGGCTGTATTGCTAGATAACGCAGTCTGCATTTTCCAGCCCCTTTAAAAAGAGCCATAGTGCATCATTTAAAATATTGATCTGGTTAATAACAGGATGCCTTATGATACAATTTTAATCAAATAAAAATCTTTAAAACAAAATCATATGCCTAATGGTCATGGGGACAAATTGGGTTTGGTGTAGCACACAGGCCTTAATGCAAGACTGGAGACAAAGACAGTAAGACGGAGCTTACCCAAAGTTGAGGTTGCGACGTGCCCCTGGAGAAGGAACCATTCTGTCCGCTGACGGGCTTGGCATCACGTGACGTCCTGGAGACATCTTACGTACCTCCCAGGCTAACGACGTGGGCCTGAACAAAGTCAAAGTGGCGAACATTACTTAACTAACACTAATTACAATCCCTAGTTGCAAAACACACTCACACACATACTCACACAGACTTGGCTCACACTTAGGCAAATCAGTTAAATGGCTGATTCACTTGCAGCGATTTATGCAATAAATGGAGCATGTAAAAGTTTCAGGTTGTCTTATTGATTAAGAGTACACTTTAAATGAACAAATTGGGAGGCAGCTCTGGGAATTTCATTTCTTAGTCAATTTACGGTTGCAGTGGTCACTGTGTTAAAGAGAAGCCAATAAACTCATGGATCTCTTTGAATTAAAGCCAAGGCTATTGATCCATTCTGTTTGTGACTCAAAGCCAGGGACCAGACACCAGCACTTCCAGTTTCACCTCAGGGAGCAATTGAAAATGGGGAGTGAATGAGAGTGAGGAGATAAAGAAAAACAGTGAGAAAAAGAAACTAAAGATCACCTGTTCTGGGCATCTGTTTTCTCCAGTTTCTCCTGAAGCTGGATCCAGTCTATGAGAGCCTTGAAATCTCGTACGTAGTTGTCCAACATCATCAACACCTCCTAGAGACAAGCAGATATAATAGGATGGAAAATGATTACAGAAATGACAAACATGAATTAATTACACAATGTACAAACCAATAGAAAGGTGGGTTTAAAAATAAAGTGTAAATAAGTGAAATCTGATGCATGTGTGTCACTTAAAAATATTTGTTGGACAATGTTAATGTAAATAGCCTATAATATACCACATAAAGCCTATATAATACCAGCATAAAGTGATGTATTATATCTTTCTGTTAGTATTTTCTACTAAGGGTTTGTGACATATGATAATTATTTCTGGGATCAGACAGATACAACAACATACAACCAATAACTGGCATTTGAAATCCTCATTGAGGGCGCAAATCTGCCATTCAAGACAGTTAAAAAACTGACAGAAGGACCTTAAGATCGAGAATGTTGGTGGCAAGCCAGAGCTGGCCAATACCTGCTCATGTGCAAAGATTGAAAAGTTTGAGGAAGAACAGAGAAGGCAAATTTCTATTATCTGCACTTGGATTGACTCAGTGTTATCCAGAGGTGGTGGGCTGTGTGGAGCTTTTTCCCAGAGCTCTAATGAAACGAACACAACTGATTGATGGGGAGCGTGAAGGGAGTGGTAATTGAGAGTAAAGCTTCACAGTGCTTTTAGTTAATAGACAAGTCAGGCCAGTGAAAGATGTGTCCAGCAGCAGGTCTGCTGATTAGGGCTGGTTAACAGGCAAAGGACCACCGCTATGGCCTGGTGTTCATTTGGTAATGAAGGCCAAGATGGAGAGAGGTTTGCTGCTCCTCTGACAGATAAACCAACAGTGACACAAGGCACCATAAAGTGGCTTTCAGCATGTTAACAGGTATACTTCTCTAAATACAACCCTCACATAACATTTCATGAGGAATGACAAAATGTTTAACCTTCCAGAGGCATGGCCATAAAGTAAGATGCGCAGTAAAAGGCTGTGGTCCATACATAGCAACCAAAATGAACAGGTATAGCCTAGGTTAGAGTGACTGACCCCAAGTAAATCATTCACAGTTTGCATTGTTGTATTTTAGATAAATAATTTAACACCAGAAAAGCCTGTTTCAGTTCTCTTTAAAAAAGAATTACAACATCTACTGCCTCCAAGCCAACAGGAACTTTGATTGCCTTTCTTGCCTTTTCTTGGTGATAAGTCTAATAATTCAGAGACAAAGGAATAGTTGATAGGAACAAATTAGGCCTGGGGGCTGTGGGTTAAAGAGTGTGTGGGCATTATTAATAAGCACGTATGAATCATTTTGTTGGGTGACCAATTTCACACTGAGTGGGAAAACATATTATATTAGGTCAGCACTGAGGTTCTCATTCAAAATGATACAAAGCATTACAGTAACACTGTAGAAAGTTAGGCATCACTTCCTGACAATGATTATGTTCATGTCCATATGTATTGGGGTGGAAAATTGTTAGCTATTTGTGAGAGAGCACACAATGAAGATTGCCCACAGCTACACTGGGGGTTTGTGGCTGGGGGATATCAGAGCACTCTGCTTCCCCTCCAGATGACTCCATCATCTATCAGTGTCCATTAAGCCCAAGCTGGGTGGGATGGGGGATTACGAAGAGCACACAGCTCCATGGCCATTAGACAGTATTAGGGTGTAGAGAGATACAGTGGTATGAGGAAAGAAAAAAAAAAAAAGAAAAAAAAACACCTACCAGCCAGATGTCTGACACTGGCCAACTGACAACATGCTGATCCCACCACAGGGAGCTGCACTGTGGCACTGACAGCGAGCCAACCACACCAGAGGGAACTGGGCTACGGTACTGACCGCAGACCGTCACCAGAACCATGCTCAGCATAATGCAGCATGGCAGGAGAATCAATAAAACAGGACCAGCAGTATCATACCAGTATGCCCAGGAGCAACATTACAGCACTATTCCAACGATGCACCAAAACAAAATACGGCGATCCACAAAACAGAGAATAATGTCAAAAATGCGATTAATTTCATGTGCAAGGTACAGACCAAACAGGAGCTGAAATGGCCAAGCTCCAATTCAGCAAATACCTGATGACAAACACAATGCATATACAGTATTGTTTACAGTCTGTCATCAATATTCAGTCCACCCAGGCCCAAGAGAGAGTCCTGTGATAATTCTCTCACCAGGCAACCTTCAGAGAGCCCCTCTGACATAAAACAGAAATCAAGAGGAATGCGAGCTGTGAGGGAGAAATTTTGTAATGATCTCAACGTCTCCCTCTAGTGTTCATAAATAAATAAATAAAAAAACACCTTTCAGTCTCTCCAGAGAAGGCATTCTTGATCAGTTCAGATCATGATCATGAATTTCTACCTGGGACACTGTTTTAACACAAGGATTATACACCACATACTAACCCTGCATTCTACAACGCTCTGATCAGATTCACAGGTGACATAAATCTCATCCACAGCTCGACGCAGGTTGTCGAAGAGGAAAGCCCAGTAGCGTGCTCGCAGGTCGACCTTGCGGGGCAGTCTGGCTTTGGTGGGGCTCTTCTCTGCCCCTTTGTCCAACAAGGCACCGGCAGGGCCTTTACTTTCCACAGCAGCATTCTGTGGAGACAAAGCATGGAGCAAACATTATGGCAACAATGGTAAACTTATTACAGTGTCATATAGTCTAGTATAGTGTCTTCATTTGTGTATGTGTATGTATGTTTATACATACTGAAATGGACCAACTGGGAACTATAATAAAATAATAATAATATTAATAATAATAATAATAATAATAATCAGAAGAAGAAGCAGAAGAAGAAAAAACACTTGAAGAATTAGAAGAAGAAGAAGAAGAAGAAGAAGAAGAAGAAGAAGAAGAAGAAGAAGAAGAATTAGTAGTAGTAGTAGTAGTTCACAATTCACACACTAAATCTTATCAGCCCTTTTCTTTGTAAACTCAGTTTGCCCGAGACTGACTTACACAATGCAAGAAACAGAAAGTTTCATGACCATCATAAATACATTTATGAGGCAAATCAATAGATGACATAGCTTGGTGAATTGTGCCCTCTAGTGGAGGAAGATGATATACCAACCTGTTTCTTATTCCTTTGTGGACCAGAATTGATCCTCTGGGCCCGGGAACTGACACTGCAGTTGCTTTTGGCCTTTACTATAGAGAAGAACAAACAGGCAAATATATAGCAACTGATGAAATAAACTACCTCTGATGATGATCCAGAGGAGGGTAACGATCAGCATGCGTATAATGATCATGGACAATTATTAAAACAGTCATAGTAAATTGGTTTTGAGTAACTGTCCAAATGCCAGAGATGTACAATAAGAGAAGTGGATAAAACAATACTCCTAGTTACGGTCTCAAAGGGAAATTAACTGACTATTGAGTTGTGGAAGATGCATGTAAACAGAACAACCCATATGAGACCTTAAACTGGCATATGGCATATTTCTGGCATTTGTGGCACAAACTCAAGAGCAGCAAATAAGCATTTAATAAAATAACTGCACTGAACCACAAAGAAGAGGGAGAGTTAGAAATTGTGAGGCGCTGCGGTGTGGGTTTCTGAGGAACTTTCTTTAACACAGAGCCTCATTAATGTAATACAATCACTGCCATGCTATACAGGAACTACAGTTAAACAGACAAGCTTATTTTTCTTTCAGGATTTCACAAATGACATCAAAAGTACAGTGTAAACAATTTAAAGTCTATTACATAATGTTCTATTAACCAAAAACTTTGAACCACAGCGTAGCAGTGACCTGTCCTTCCAAAAATGTAATCTTCTACAGAGCACCAGGCTTCAAGTGTAAAATAAACTTTAGCCCGCATAAGGGATTCTCAGCACTCCATCATCATTTATCAGTCTAGCCATGAGATGAAAAATGATCACTGTGCTCCAGCTGGTATTGTATTACAATGGACAGCACTATCTGGTTTGGGTAGCATTCCAGACATTGTGTGTGACATTGCCAAAGATGGTCATTGTGATGCTCCAAATAAATGATGAACATGTTCCACTGGCCCAAAGATATGGGTAATACACCTGAAGTAAACATCATCAGCAACATCTACCACAGCACAAAGAAGACATATACAATCAAAATGTCATAATCCATTTGCTCTTTTAATGTTAATATGGCAGTGATGTCTAATCTACCAGAAAGCAGAATAATGACATATATTAGCATGCACAAGGAGTTTGCTCTGCATGCAGCTACCAACCTTCCTCCTCCTTGTTCTCTAAAGGTACACTCCAGGCAATGAGGTTTCGAGCAGCACGGCCCTCTTCAGCAACTATCTTCCTCACCTTGTCATGGCTGTTGGAGCGCTGAAAAGAGGCCTGCAGAAGAAAGAGATTCAACACGTCAAATTTTGAACTTGTTTATCCAAGAGCAAAAGAAAAATGAGGTAGAGCAGTAAGAGATGACGTATATGACAAACAGATGTGGGATTCATAAGGCGACTTTTAAATATGATGTCATGATATGCTGCCAAAGACAACACTAGTATCACATTAGGGAAACATGTTTTGCAAGAAATAACGGAATAATGGACACAAAGCTGACAGGCATTTTATCCAGAAAATGTATTTTTATGTTGCAACACCGTATTACGTTTCACGTGACACCATGAAATGCAATATGGCATCATACAATGTCACACCAAATGAAAGAAAGGTTGTTTTTTAAATGACAGATTTTTAAACTTGGTTTGTAGTCGGTTTAAAGATAAGTCTGGTCATACTTATAATATTTTTCTTGTTGTTAACAAATCCCATGAAAAGACTTACATTGCCTTGTGGCGGTACTGAATACTGAATGAATGGGGGTGGGGGAGGGGGCTGCTACAGCCTAACAAAACTGATGTAATGTAACTTATTCCTGTGCCACAGAGATCCCTCATTGTCAACAAACTATTATGAACCACATTGAGTTGAATTGGGTGATATGTCCCCTTATTACAAAGCTGGGCACTGTCGTATTTTGAGGCAATCCTACTTACACTTTTTGCAGTAAATATTCAATAACATACCAAATCTGCATCCTAAAAATAGCCCCAAACAGTAATGTCTCCTAAAAACATACAGTACCCAAGCTTACTATGCATTTCAACAAAAAAAATAAAACTGTGTATTTATGACCTGTTTTAAAGATTTATGTCATCAGCATTATTGAATGGGCTTGGGGCAATTAAGAGATTTGTTGGCAGTAACAAATATAAAGACTATTGCTGCCTTATTCTTGAAACCCAATAGTTTTACTGGCGAGCTAACCACTAACACAGCCTGAAGGATGAGTACTGTTGCTATGGTTTCCTCAGTTTTAATACACCTTTTGCACAGTGGTTTAAGTATTGTGTCAACAAGCACAGTGTGTTATCATAGCCCTAAAAATAGCTAAATATCTTTAAATGAAATAAATAAAATAGTTTTCTGTATCTATTTGATCGGTTATGTGTTTTAAATAGGGCTTCTGATCGCCTTATGATTTTTGATTTGTGTGAGAATGATCATTTTTGCATCACAAATTCAATTTTCACTGAAAAAAATATTAAAATCCAGATGATGTGACATTTTTTGGAGTAAATATGTTTTCCTAAATCTGGAGAACAACATTTGTAGGCCAGGTCATCTCTGGAAAACTACAGTACTTCATTATAATGCTGTTTTGTCACACATTTTATGGAAAGATTTCCAATTTGTTGAGCAGCACTAGCTATAAAGGTAAGTGACATCAAACAAACAGAGGGCATATAGTCCAGACACATCACTTAAATCTAAAAAGAGACATAAATAACACAAAACTGTTAAATGTTTGGTGTAAAGGTAAGATACATCTATCTGGTGCCCACACAAACCTTTTCAATGTGTGTTTTTTCTATTAAAAATGACTATTAAACCCCTAATCCTTCCATTAAATGAAAAATATCAATACTCAGTACCACAAGAGAGTGTATTGTAATATGCTGTTTCAATTATTTGTCGCATCCCTGGTGTGTCACTGTGAGCCACCATTTAGCAAGTATTAAGTTTAGAGGTCTACTGGCACACACTGTGACAAGAAACAGCTAGAGGCAGTAGCTTTAATCCTGCTTCGTGCCCAGCATGCATCATGGTTGACCTACACATTGAATATGCATCAGTGAACTTGACTGCAACCTCGAGGGTAGCAGATACTGTGAACCAAAATATTGCCTACCTATGGGATGCCCTGTGATGAAACATGCCATCAACAAGAGACAAACATTCTATCGCACAACAATTTGGGCGAACAGCTCATGCATAAATGCAGAGACTCAATTTGCTTAAAACCCTACAAGCAATAACATCTACAGCTCCTTTCTGCATTACAACAAAGACAAAAATACACAGTGTACCCGCTGATCTATTTGATACTATTTAGCTCTGCAATCTTACATCACTAAATATTCTGACTTCTGGCAATCTGATTACAAAACAAGGCAGAAGCTAATACCTAGAGGCTTATCATTCTGGATATTCTACTTGCTGTGTTCCCTCTCCCAGCAGAATAGCCTGTACCACTTCTGCACTGTTCATAAATGATTGAATCCACTGTTGACTAAAACCCAAAGTAAACTTGGTTGTACAACTAAATAAGATGTGGTTTCAGACTCAAAATATATTGTTACCTGAAACCAAGACAAAAATCGTGAGCCAGTTCTCTCTCTTAATAGCAAATGAGTCATGGAACAAACCGTTCTCCCTTTTCCTGGCTGTCTCTCACTAACACCACTATTCAGACAAGAGAGCTACAGCAGAATTAGTCCTCCACCAAATGAGGAATATCCAAGGCTTTAAGGAAACAAGTAATAATTAAGCCAAGGTTTATGCAAAAACAACATGTAACAATGTTTTCAGACCATCCTTCAAGGCTAGTAGAATAATGTGAACATGACTCATTAGGAGTTACACATGCAGAAACAGCATGCGTGTGTATTGCTCTGATACTATTTAATGTCCCTAAGGGAGATACCCAGCTGACCTACTTTTGGTGAGCAAAATTCTTTACATGTCGAGTGGCCTGGGCTTCATTCGGGCAAGTAGGAAAAGACTACAAAGAGATAAAAGAACATCAAACAACAAAAAGGCCCCCCGCTAAAATGAGCAAGAACTAGTGAGGTGGGTCAGCATCAATGCACCGTCTCCCATTTACAAACTGTAAATATTTACTCTGCATTTCCTGGGCTTCGCAGCCATTGGATGACAGACGAATGTTGTGAGAATATCTTACCTACACACAACTGATGGCTAACTGTGTGCAGCAGACTGAGGCAAAAAAAGGCTTACAGCAATATTCTCTTGATCCACTTATTCAGCTGCAAACAAACTGTCTCCTGGGCCTGCACTGTAGAAATATAAGATACATCGTGGAGCATGACTTAACTTAACTATATTCTCTGGGCCAAGGCAATCAACCCCCCCCCCATGCACCAGAGAGAGCGCTTACTTTCTAGACTGTGCTGAGTAAGGGGCAAGTGTAAGGTTTCTCTTTTGGCAGGGTCTACAAACAGATGCAAGTAACAAGACAGTGGGTGAGACCTAGCTCATTAGGAGAGACAAAGAGAAAAGCAAAAGATTAGAGGATACATACAGAATAGAAGTACAGTCTGTAAGCAGGTTCCTCGTCCTTATCCACCCCTGACATACTTTTGCAGCCCACTTCAGGCAACCTGTTCCCCTTCACCAGCCCTGCCACTTGTGCAAGGTGACATCGTCATCTGACGGCAGGACCAAAATAGACTCCTACTGTGTAGTCCACACTGCTATAGCAACTTGCCCCAGCTGTGTCAACTCCTCTCCCAGTGGCGATTGAGAGAGACAAGTGCTCAGTAGCCCGTCAGCCCTGCCTCTCACTTTGACTATTCTGTCTGTAATCTAGCCTGAGCTCTCGGTGCTCTGCTGAGTTAGCAGCCACTTCTTAGGCCCGACTCACTGCCTGCTGCTGTCTATCTGCCTGCCACTCTCCACTGCATGCAGCTTCCTATATTTACAGCTTCTCTCCTTGGCTTTCCCTGCTCTGCATCAGAGCCCCCTCTCCCTCTCTCTCTCTCTCTCTCTCCGTTTCTCATCTCTCACTCTCCTTCTGCCACAACACTGCGCAGTCATGTGCACACAGCAGGCCTGCCGCTCTGCCCCCATCCTGCGTTGTCAGTGATGAGAGTATAGCTGCAGGCTCAGAGACAGTGTGTGCTAATGCAAGCCTGGCCGTGCATTAACCACACAGGGTGATGCTCTGGATCTGATTGGACTGGGCACTCTGTGATTCATAGGCTGCTGGGGGACGAAACACACAAGCCCACGTGGTTTGATTGCCTACAAAATGGTACAAACTTACAAAGGCTGCTGCAAGAAGAAGTTGGGACAAACAGGGAGAGCAGGATACCTTACTATCTGATACAGAGTAATCCTAATTACTCCTGTGTTAACCTACACAGCACTCCTCTTGTTGTCACTCATTCTTGCTAAAATGATATTGACCACTCATGATGCATCAGCATCCTCTGATAAATCTCACCATTTATCACCCTTTTGGTCAAATGCACGAGTGGGTGTGTTCAGAAAAAGGTTCTGGTGGAGGGGGAATCATTTCAGGCACTGAGGACATCACCAGAGCTGGCAACATCATACATACGGCAGGTAAGGTCACCCAGAAATGCTGCTTTCCTGATGGACCTGTTCTCCAAGTGAACCCATTTAGTCATCTGGCTCCAGCTAGCTGGGTGTGCATCGGAATTTTAATGTGCTTGACTAAATGACCTGCTGTATTTCGGTTATAAGCAACGGGCTAATAAGTCCTCACGTACCTTCAAAGCGGTTAAGGATGCATTCTTGTTTTTTCCTCCTCCATGCGAGGAGCCTGAGCTGTTGCTACCAGACCTCTCCCTCCCGTCCCCACCTTGGCTAACTCTGGGGCCGAGGCGGTGCTGCCCAGCGCCACGCCGTCGTCCATCATGGCGGTTGTCTTTGGACATCGACCCCGCGGTAAATTTAGTGCTCAGTCGATAAGAAATATGGACAACGTTGTGTTGTTATCACAGTTGATGGAAAAACATGTCAGATAAATACATGACAGTGAAGACAACCTAACAAAAGCAGGAAGTCGTGTTGAGTTTAGATTTGTTTCGACTGGCAATGGGATTATCCAATAAATTCACCGTAACATGGAAACAACATGCGCGACAGCCAATCGCGTACATTATAGTGTGGGTCAAGGGGCGGGGCGTATTTTAATTGGGCGGGACTTCAAACAGTCTACCATAGCAACCACGCAGATTGGGCGGGACGTTTGGTTGAGTCCTCAGTTTGTGTCAAGTCATCTACAGACAACCGGAAGACCGGAGGAGACGTGAACCTGCCTTCAAAATAAAAGCATCTGGGAGAAGACCTTTCGCCCTTGAAACTGAAAGAAAATAAAGACACTAAGGATGGAAATATTGCCACCAATTAAATAGAGTAGAACAGTGGTTCCCAGCCTTTTTCCTTTCTATCATTTAGTAAACTTAAGTGACATATTTTATACTATAAACCCAAACAGTGAACTCAGTGACTGCAGGAAGATTTTTATTCAAACAAGTAATTTGGATGAATTGTTAACAGATTATTTCCTGTTTATTAAATTCTCTGTCTGTTTTATGTATTTTCTATAATTTTTTAACAATTATACTTATTTAATAGGTTTCTTTTTTGGCAAATTAAGTGTTGACTTTACTTTTCATCACAGAAGTGAACCCACTGCTGAGATACAAGCCTACTGTGTATATTTTCAAAGTTTCTTTACACCCCTTAAAATCAAGAAGGCCTCCCTTTACACTAGTACTTAAACGGACTGTGTATGTGGTTGTCCATTTGTTGTTTATATTGCTATGTGTAAGTCTAATTTTTCATATACTGTATAGCTACTAGTACATGGATTGTGTTTGTTAAATTTCTGTATAGCTTTGTTGTGGTCGGTTTAGCAGCTGTATATAGCTTGTATGCCTTACATACTAGGACAATAAAGTTGGTTATGATTATGATATAATTGCATGTTTATCACTAAATGGTTTAGTTCAGCCCCAAAATATATTGTTGACCTGCTTGTACAACATAAAACTGTCAGGACACTTGAATGTCCCATAACTAGTTAGCTTACTATTCATAGAGAAATAAGATTGGTGAGTCTTCTTTTAGTTTTATGTGTCACACTTGTGGAATACATTTCCAGAGGATCTAAGGTGTGCCTGATCCATCCAAGATGAAAACCCTATTAAATCAGGCCTGTCTCTAAAATCGTACATAAATATAAATGTTTATGTGTGTGTATGTGTGTGTTCTCTTTTGAATCCTCTCTATTCTTTTCTTCACTTCGACATTGCCTTTAATTGCCTTTAAGTCAGAATATTAATTGTGTTATAATAAACTTGCCATCCCTTATCTAAAGAGTCTCCAAAATGTACACAGAAAATATCATGTTTGACAGGGTATGAGACAACAAGTTGGTCGCAAATTTACTTTTTTTCCTGCAAGAAAAGAGTGAAAATCTAGTGATCCAACACCCGAAAGTGATAAAATATAATCTACAGACTGGAAATATAAACTTGTGAAAGTGATAATGACAGTTAGTAGCAAGTAGCCTACAAATATCACTTTTAGGTGACAAAATAAAATAGTTTCGGGCTATCATGTGATTGTCACACATAGCCTACAAGTTGCAGGACACGCCTGAGTTTACTTTAGGGTTAGAGTTTTAAACGGTTATTTTGAAATCTGTGACCGGAAGTAGATAACGTTATATCCTCTAGGGGTAATGACGTCAAAAACGTAAAGCGTCGCTCGGAGAAACTTTCCACGGTAACAACATCTCCTATTTGCATTACCTCTCAGCTCTCTCACTGTACTGTTGGCTTGTTTGCGTTGTCTCCTTTAACTTAACTGCGTCTGTTTGTTTTGGATAACGCTGTTGGCTTTGTCCTCGACTCCTGTGTCTGTATGTCCAACTGTCTCAGTCTCACTCCCTCTCAAACAACATTTATACAGTCATAAATTAAAACCAGACACTAACGAGTTATATAGGTCTACCAGCCCCCCTTTCCCTTTCGTCCCCCTCTTTCCTCATCAGTCGTTCCTGGTAGATTTGTTTACATCATCATGCAAATCGAGGCTCTAATACAAAGTTTAGTTTGCTTGCACTTCCACCAGATGACCACAAAGTGGCAGTGTTGCAGTCTGGAAGCTACCAGCACTCTGTAGTGTTTTAAAAAGTTTAAATAGTAAATGTTGTATTAATTATCTTACTCAACAGATGGCATCCTCTGCACTGTTGGTGTTGCTAGTGCTTCAGTTTGGACTTGGACAAAGCTCCCATAAGCATCTTCATGAGGATCATTACAATGGCCAGCAGCACAACCCTGAACATGACATGAACGTCCTGCTCGGGGATGAGGTTTCTAAATATCTTCTCATTTTCATACACTCTTCATCCCTGTTTCTACTCTTCGTTCATCACCTGCTCACTTCTTATGTTATGCACTTGTAGGACACCGAGGAGATAAAGAAACTCAGCCCAGCAGAACAGAGGAAAAAGATCATGGACATTGTAAAGAAGATTGATACAAATGCTGACAATCTGCTGAGTGCAGGTAAATGCATGTTGTTACATTTGTAAAATAAATAAACAAAGGTGGTGGAAGGTCATACTCTCATAGGTCTGCTGTGTTTCATCCACAGAGGAGATCACACTGTGGATTCAGCACGTCTACAGACAGTATGCTCTGGATGATGCGAAGGAACGGTTCCCTCAGTTTGACACTGATAAAGACGGTGTCGTAACGTGGAAGGAATACAACACGGTCGCTCATGACCAGCTCATTAGTTTTGATGATACAGCTGTTCTGGAGGATCCAGAGCAAGAGTCTCTCAGACATGTAGGTGTACCTGCATTGCTTTGTTAATCAGCACATTATACCACAGCCTAGTTAATCTGTAATACCTTAACATATAGGCTCATATCCCCATTAGCTCCATCTGAAGGAGAAGAGGCGCTTTGATTTTGCTGATGCGGACAGCACATCTGGGCTCAATGTGCCAGAGTTTCTTGCCTTTACCCACCCGTCTGAAGTGGATCACATGGCTGTAAGATGAGTTTAGCTCCTACTCCTGCAAAATCTGACATGATAATGCATTCTTCCACTCATTAGAAGCATTCCCCTTGTGTTTCATGCAAAAGATGACTGATTTACCTTCTTTTACCGAAAGGATTTTGCCATTGAAGATGTGCTGGGTGAATATGACACAGATAAAGATGGATTCATCAGTCTAAGTGAATTCATTGGAGATGTTCGTGGCGAGGGTGAGACCACAGAGATTATTTTAAAACCAACAATGATCTAATTGTTGTTAGTTATCTCTGCTGTGCGCACTCGTATGACCCTATGCAGAGTTAACACTTTGATTTGTCATCAGAGGATTCCCCTTCACAGTGGGAGATTGAAGAAACTGTGCGGTTCAAAGACATCTATGATCAAGATAAGGACGGCAAGCTGAATCGAGAGGAGCAGCTCCGCTGGGTTGCACCTAATAGCTACGGTTCAGCAAGAGAAGAGGTGTGACTCGACTGTTCGACCCAGATTTTGTTGGTACAATGAATGCAAAAAGAGTTTTGAATTTGGCCAAATACAGTACTTGGATGCTTCTTTAGGGAATTTCCTGGTAGGTTTATATATATATATAGTTTCTCTCCATGATTTCCAAATCAAGAATATTCACAGATTTCTTCTCCTTGGTTTTATCATCAACAGGCTCTTCACCTTCTCAATGAAATGGACCAGGACGAAGATGGGCAGATCTCAGAAGCTGAAGTTTTGAAAAACCAAGAAACATTCATGAACAGTGAAGTGACAGACTATGGCAGACAGCTACATGTATCACATGATGAATTATAGTTATATAATTATGATGTATGTTTATTATTTGAGAGTTTTCTCATTTGTTTTCATGAAGGTGCAATGAAGGTTTTATTTCCTTTGTTGTACTTTGACATCAGTCTTGGGATTCACGTCAATGGCTGGAGATGGTTGAGCTTATCTGTCTACAATCGGTTTGCAACAGTAAGTGGCATAGATGAAATACAGGAAAACATATATTGCAACACAAGTATCACAGACTCAACCACTCTCTCAAATGACCACTGTGGTGTTTCATCACTTTTCTGACAAACTTTTAGAAACGTGTTCCAAGGATTTTAGATTAGATAACATAATATTGTAAGTAATTGTAATGTTGCATTCCTGTTATTTCCCCCCCTCCCTATGTGCATATAGTCCTGAAGAACAAGAGAGGTTCAACTGAAAATATGATTTTAACCACATTTGGAGAAATTTGACTTTGTTTTTGTTACATTTATAGAACAGGATATTTGAATTGCAACTGCGTATTGCCATTACTTGTCCTTTCACATGCCAAAACTGAGCTGACAAAAGTATCCGTCTGGTTGTGGTAACGGCTGACATGTTGCAGCTCTTCCTCATTTGAATCAAATGAGTAAGTGAGTGAGTGTTGCTGTTTGAAGGCTGGTTTCCTGAATGTGTCATGATCCATTTTACTTGCAACCAGAAACCGTGTGTTACGCTGCTGGGCTTTATAAAGTGACTTTAAGTTGAGTGGATTCTCCAACGGGGACAAGATGACATTACAATTTAAAGATGCCTTTTGGGTGAGTGAGCGTGGTCCAATCAATCCCTACATTTTTTGTTTTTTGTTAATTGATACTTGTTCAATTTTTACTGAGGTGTGAAGTCAGCGTTGTATTCAGTATGTTCACTGGAGTTAGATAATATCTTTCGTGTAACTTTCCCCTTCTGTTGTATCTAGTTTTTTCTTTTTGTGTGGACATGATCTATTGTACCATACACAAGTAATGTATTTAGTTATCTGTAGCTTATCTTTGGCTACAGTTACCTAAAGCGTTCGTGCTGTCTTTAGACATCTCATCTTTGCTTTCTTTCTTTTTTCTCGTGTTGAAACTCAATGGCTACTGAATTGTTGCATTGATTAAACTATTATATACATGAACTGTTATTTTTTTACACAGTTTTGGGTTGTGTACTCTCTTTTATAAATCTACAGCCAGACGTGTCACACAAACTAAATAGGTCTTTCTTGGTAGTGTAGTGTAGGGAAAAATGTCACTACAGCAACCTTATAGAGCAGGGGTCTCAAACTCAAATTGGCTTGGGGCCACTGATAGGAGGGCTACGTCATTGTTCAAGTACTACAATAGGTCCAATATTCTGAAAATATTTACATGACTAACATCATACTTGACAAAAAGTGTAAAACAGAAATCCCAATTTTATACCATCTTTGCTGTTTTCAGCCAAACAAACAAATGAAGGTCTGCAACCTGCTCTCTTCTTAATGTCTGGACATATTTGACTTTTGCCATTATTTTGTGCCAAACAAAATCCTAAAAAAAAAAGAATTGTGTTTTTATTTTAATTGTATATGAAGGGGTATTTTAAATTACAGAACTAGAAAATTATAATAATAATAAAGTGTGCCGGATTATATTTTTGGCAGTATGTTGCGTGCTGGGGGGGCGGGGTGGGTGGGTGGTTGGTTTCAGGACGGAAATGACCCCTGGACTGACGATGCAACACCCCTGTTATAGAAGTAACATTGTGTTCTGTTTGATTATTTAGGGTTTCCTGTTAATCATGCTAATTTAATCTTTCATACCTGCCTTCAATCCAGTGACAGCCTTTTCAGATCTGTTTTTTCACACATGGGTACTTCTGTTTGTTTTTCTAAGACCATATGCTCAAGCAAAGCATCAGGAACTGGCTAGTTGAACTAAAGCTTCAGTTTGCATTGTGAAGTTGTGCGCTTCCCTTTTCATCTTTATTTTCATCCTGTCTCAGTAACAATAGAAATGAACATCAGAGCACAGTGGTAGGTTTAGTTTTGTCCATATTAGTCAAACTAGGAGTACATTTACACCCAGCGGGGTTTTTGGTTCATTCAGACCTAAGCAGCAGTATGTAACAATTTCCATTCTAGATGCCATTACAACGCCTCCACGTGGAAAAAAAAACACAAGTAAAACTGTCGGGTATCATTTAAATCTTAAGCTGTTGCCTAAAGGTGATCATTTGGGCCTTTTCAATAATAAAAAAAGAGTAACATGTTCTTTCCAATATTCATAAGAAATTTTAGATGTATTGCTTCTGCCTCTTGGCCAGGGCGTCATTGTTAATGAGAATTGGTTCTTAATTGACTTATCTGGATAATTAAAGGTAAAAAATAAAATATTTTGATTCAAAATGTATAGTGTGTAATATGTGCTGAGGCTGAAATTCCTGAGTATGAATATTATGGTTTATCATTCATGGCTCCAGGGAGATGACTTCATCAGTAATATTGGGTACGAGAATATCAGTCAGAGACTTAATGATGGTCGACGGACGTGCAAAGAGATGGAGGAGCTCTTGAAAATGAGGTGGGCTCTCAAATTTCTTGTAAAATGCATATGCATGAATAAAACGAGGTCATTACAATGTGGTTCAGCTCTGTTGTGGTTTTGTCCATGTAGGGCATCAGCAGAGGAGAAATATGGCAAGGAACTGGTCACAATCGCCCGCAAGGCTGGTGGTTTATATGAGATCTGGTAGGCGAGTTACTCACAAGTATTTCTCTTCCAATTAATACATTTATTCTGCAGTACTGGACATGCAGAAACCATTTGTTAAGAATTCCCTGTGTTCATTCTTTTCACAGCACTTTGAGAACATCTTTTGATGAAATGAAAACACGTAAGCACACACATTTATCACACATTATTTAGTACTGAATACATGTGGCAGTTGAGTTTGTTAGTTGTGTGCTTTGGTGTTTTTCAGAAATTGAAAATGTAGGAAACATGCACATTCAGCTTGCTGGTTTCCTAAAAGAGGAGGTGAAGAGAATGGAGCAGTTCAGAGAGCGACAGAAAGAACAGCGGAAAAAGGTACCTGTGAATATCCCCCCCCGCCCCCCTCATTTGCACACAGAGGAAGTCTAAAAAGAGCTGCTTCTCTTACTTGGGTTTTTTGATGATGATGATGATGATGATGATGAAGATTTTTTACACTAACATTATCTTATCCTTTGCTTCCCAGTTTGACGTCATCATGGATAAGGTCCACAAGACAAAAGTCTCCCTCTACAAGAAAACAATAGATGTAAGGTCAATTCTCAGGTCTAATCTGTATGGTTAGACCTCTCCATTTCAGTGTCAGCGAGTGTATTTATATTTGTCTTTACATCATTGTGGGACTGGTAAACAGTATGAATCATCTCAGTAGCAGTTTTAGTGCAGCTACATCCTGCCTGTATAAGGCTTTAGCTGAGAGGCATGGCACTGTATATTTAAGATTTGAAAAGGGAAGATGATTTTGCAAGAAAATAAGTAAATGCATGTTAGTGTGATAGCATTGCTGCTCAGAAGAAGGAAGTGAGGTCTTGATGCACTTTGTTTTTCCTGCACATGCATGGCTCCTCTCTCTTGACTGAACATGACCCCCCCTCTTTCCTGTTTAGGGTTCATAAAGCGAAGCGTTGATCTGGGTGCTAATAGTTTCATATGTTCTCTGTTCTGTTTCCGTCCCAGTCTAAAAGATCCTATGAGCAGCGCTGCAGGGAGGCGGATGAGGCAGAACTAACCGCAGAGAAGGTTGCTAACACTCCCACAGCCACTCCCAAACAGATTGAGAAGGTAAATCTGTACTGTGGTATGTATGACTCATAATAGGTCCACTTATTTCAATTCAGTGATGAAAAGCTACTTTAGGCTTGACTTTCTAAAAGGATGAGTGGTGTTTTCCAGTTTCTGATTGTTCATGCAGTTTATTGTAACTACTTTAATGTCCTTTTAATAGCAGAGAATCCTTAAAGATCCCCTCTAGACATGTTAGTAATAATTAGTGGCCGATATTTGCTACTCCTTCTCCCTCCTCAAATAATTACAGAATCTGTTAAGATGCAAATAATATTAATTCCAAGAAGTTCAACTAGTGTACACAAGATGTCTCCTACTTCACTGAGAACTCCACTCAGTGTACGTGCACAGCAGGTGGTAGGTTTCCACATCATACTTGTGCAAGTTGCATATTGAGCCGTGATTGGCTTCCTGTGTGAACTGAGATTAAAGGTGAGATCAGAAAAACCTTTCTCCTTCAGCAGATAAATTGCCTTCTGCTGTCAAAATCCGCACATACGTCATTCTGTACAGTGGAGGTCAAACATTCGACTGAAGTAACAACAAGTAAATAATAATTTTTCACACAAAGGCCTGGCCCCTAATTCCTAACCAACATAGTTTTTATGTTTAAGACAAGAGAAATAAGGCAACCCAAGTTAACCACATAATTAACTAAAAGTTAAGCACAAACTAAACAAGAAACGAATGATGAAAATAACATACAAGCAAAAGCACATAGGATAAAACCAATAAAATCAGACTAATTAATTAAATCAAAAAGATGAATTAAAAGTGATGATAAACAGGTAGGTCTTTAGCTTGGACTGGAAAGTAGTCAGCATTGTTGCAAGTCTTAGTTCTTCTGGCAGTTATTACACATTTAAGCAGCTTAGAAAATAAAGGCAGCGTCTTCATGCTTTGTTTTGGCTGGGGGAAATAAGAAACAGTATTAACTATATTATAGACACTGTAAAACAGTTTGTGCTGTTGGTTTTGTTTGTCTATCATATCTGTCACTGGCATCTGAGAGTCTAGTGAGCATCTCATAAATAATGCTGACATCAAATGTAGGTATATAGAATTTCTGTTGCTGGCAACCAGATGGATAGTTTCTCAAACAACAGCTATTCCACAGTTACTTCACAACTGCTGGCAGACTGGGAAATTCAATTCTCTTTGGCCTTGACTTCATTAGTAAAGTTAGTCATTTATAAGCTATTCTGATTTCAAATGAAACGTACAAAGACTGTCAAGAAACCTACACAATAAACAGTATTTCATTTTATTGAGATAAGTACAGATTTGCAGAAATAATGGCAATGTGTAATTTTGTATTCTCTTTTCTTTTGCAGATGAACAACAAATCTAAACAGTGCAGAGAAGCTGCAGAAGAGGCTGGTAAGGAAATAATGGGAGCATGGAAGAAAGTAGGAAGCCGCTATGGTTTACCAGAAACATTTTCTGAAGATGGTGGTCACATTTACTTCCTTTTTATCTAGAACTGCAGGAATAGGTTTAGATAATAGAGTCTGCTGTCTGTTGTTATAACTGTGATTGCACATTACACGTCACAGTTTAATCTGTGTTACAGAAGATCTAATCTAATCTGATTCTTTTACTTGGCTTTAGAGAAGCAGTACATGTCAAACATTGAACAGCTTGACAAGACTCGCCAAGAATGGGAATCAACACACATCACCACATGTGAGGTAAAGTATAGAAGCTGTGTTTTTCCTCTTCCTGTATTTATCAAGTTAACAATGCACACTGCGGCATGATGCATTTTAAAATGTACAGACTTTGGCAAAGAATGGCAATACCCAGGGCCTGCTTAGTCAATGAGGATGTGAAATACTTCCTTTTAGCAGATTATAAAGTGAGAGACTAATCTACAAAAATGCTTCCTGGCAACCAAGTGTGATAACATCCACAAAACTGAAGCAGCCATTCAACTACTATTCATCCCTATTCACACACGCACGCACGCACGCACGCACGCACGCACGCATGCACACACACACACACACAATAAACCAGGAACCAGAGATAAAAACAAAAAGAGGAAAGACAGTTAAATGCTGAATGTGGAGTTTCAGTGTAAAATACATAAATACATATTTGAAAACTATGAAGCATTAAAAAGCACTCAAATAAAGAAGTTGCCAGTTGTGTCACTGTAAGTGTACATTCAGTACTGTATGGTGTTGTAAATGTACTGTGTGCCAATGTAACCTCTGATTATTTACTATTTCTCCAATCACACTGTTTTACAGATGTTTCAGCAACAGGAAGAAGACCGCATCAGCGTACTAAGGAATGCTTTGTGGGTGCACTGTAACCATTTATCAATGCAGAGTGTGAAAGACGACGAGGTGCGTGCAGCTGTATGTGGAAAAACTCTCAATACACACCATACACTGTACTGCGTATTTAAAACTCAATTTGGATAAACTGGTCTTTCAGTGTTACGAGGATGTGAGGAAAACACTGGAAAATTGTGACATTATCGCAGACAACAACTGCTTTGTGCAGATGAAAAGAACTGGCTCTACCCCCCCAGGTAGGCACCTGCCCTGCAGCCTTCCTGGTTTTGATTTGAATACATTGTACATTTTAATATAATCTCTCAGCTGCTGCTAAAATGCGTGGCACCTTTGGAAACAGTTGATGCATTGTGAAGCCCTGGAGCATTTTATTTTGTATTTACTGAATTTCACTGGTCCTTTCACAGCTCCAATTGAATACCAAAATTACTATGAGAGGGATACTACCGCTGAGAGTAACGGCAGTGCTGGATTTGTAGGAGGGGTCATGAAAAGGTTAGAATTACAGAATGGGAAGAACTGTTACTAAATGCATGATGTTGTAAGTGATTAGTGCGTAATGTATTTTTATCTCTTCACTAAAATTTTGTGTTTTTTTCCCCCAATTTGTAGGTTTTCAAATCTTCTGCAGGTGAACTGTTCCAGTGGCTCCAAACTCAGCATCAATGAACCAGTTGCCCAACCTCCTGGTACAGTACCAAAGTCATTTAAATAATAAATGCAATTTCCAAAATTATGAAAGATATGACTGTGACTAAGAGCCAGTTGATCCTTGCAACACAAGGTTTGAGCAACTATGAGTTACATACTGTTGTTAGTATTGCAGGGATTCCCTGCCATTACTTGTACTCCAGTGAATTCTTTTCACACAAAACGTGATCTTTTTTCCAACGTGTTTGCATTCATACTACTACTACTTGTAGTGGCAGAACATTTAAAGGGACAGTTCACTACAAAGTCCAAAACACATATTTTTCCTCTCTTCTGTAGAGCTGTTTATCCATTTGGATTCTTTTGGTGTGAGTTGCCAAGTTTTGGAGATATCAGCATAGAGGTGTCTGCCTTCCCTCGAATATAATAGAATCAGGTGGCATTCAGCTTGTGGTGCTCAAAAAAAAAAAAGAAAACATAAAAAAACTCAACAACGTCTCTCCAGAAATTATGGCCTGGTTACTCAAGATAATCCACAGACCTTGTAGTGAGCAGTTTCATTTTCTTTCTACCGTACCTGCCAACCATAGCTGAACGTTAGTAGTCTCAGTGGTGCCAGATGAGCTAGCTAATGTTACAGTTCAGCCTAGGATGTCATGAATATGTACATCCTGCACTGTCACAAGCCCAAGCCTCTTGTTCGCACGTCTCAAATAATATCCAGGTTAAAATTAGTTCAATGAGCACATTTGGAACATGAAAGGTTGTGTCAATGAAGGGGCACCTGAGGTCACCTGATAGCGCTGTGACAAAAAGGGTTGGGAATCACTGCTTTACACCAGCACTAACATCAAATCATTCATTTGCCAATGATCTGATTTTGGGAGAAAAATTGCAAATTATAAGAGGCTTCACACAGTAACTGAACTGGTGCTAATTATGTCTGCAATCCTTTCAAACTCCTCAGCACAAACATCAGACGGAGTATATGCTTCCATTCCTGGATTTCAGGGGTCCCAGCTGAGCACTGACCAGTATAAGGCTATGTATGACTATGAGGCACAGGTCAGTTTTCTTACCACAGATTTCTAACCGCCACATGAGGCACATTCAAATGTTCTAATCCTTGTTGATTTTAAGGGATAGCTATTGAGTGATCATTTCTGTCCCTGTTCTTAGGGAGCAGATGAGCTCTCTGTATGTTTTGGGGACGTCGTGGTTGTCATCGATCAAGGTGAGGATGGCTGGTGGACGGTACAAAGAAATGGCCTCACTGGGCTGGTTCCAGGAACTTACCTTGCCAAAGAATGAGTTTACCAGACTGCCAAATGTAAGACTATATGACTACTACATTTACTCATGTAACATTTTGTAAAGGCCTTATCATTTAAATTTACCCAATAGTTTGAATCCTGTTGTTCATGTTACATGTATCATTAAAGCCCCTATGAGTAGGATTTGAATGTATGTAAAACTTTGGCACACCCTGTGGTAGAATCATGAAAGACACTGTGACAGAGAGGTCACCCCTGTATGTGAACCCTAAGTGAGTTCAGGGGTTTTCACATGGATTTCTACAAAAACTGATGCCATTATAATCAGAATATCACATTATAATCCCACAGATATCAGCTTCCACGCACAGTAGCATGAGACAGTGTTTAATGGTGAATGTTGTACTGCTATGGCAGATATTCATATTACTTTGCCCTTACAGCTGGTGTGTTGAGTCCTCCTCCTACCAATGACAGCAGGGAGAATTAGTGATCTGTTGCACAAGGTCACTGCTGCACTAACTTTTTTCATATGCTGTGTTATTCTTGTATAGCCCTAAATGTTGGCCAGAATATTTGTTTGTGTTGTAGGCGTGTATATAATTTCTATGTAGTTATTGTTTTGTGCTAAGAATAATTATTTATCAAAAACAAATGCTGTTTTTTTTTTTTTTTTTACGTACATTACTTTTACAAACTATTTAGCATGTGACAAAACCACATTGCTCTATTTTTTTTTCTATTTATTGTTGTGAAGGCTATTCTTATTAATGTGGATTACAAGAACAATCCAAACAAAGTAGCTGAAATGCAACCGAGCGCTACTCTTGGGTCATGTGTCTCAGCCGTTGGCAGCAGGTGATGCAATGCTAATTCAATATCTATCAAGTAACCAAAGCTGAGTCATTGTGCCACCATTTTTAGTGTGTGAGAAGCAATTTCATCTCTTGGTAAACATATGAGAGAAATTAAATTAAAATCAGAATACGCACTCATTTAATTTCAAACTTTTCCCACATTTTATTTACAATCTTGATTCTTGCCATTGCTACATATCAGCAAATCAAATTCTAAAACTACCATCAGTAGACTGTTGAGACACAAAGAAACCAAACAGCTATAGGACAAAGTCTATCTAGAGTTATGAATGCATTACTACTTGAAAAATCCCACATACCGGAGGGGATCACAAGGTTTCATTCTTAAAGGAAAGATCAGATAAGCAAAAGCCAGTTAACTTACATAGTTAGGGCTGTGGTGTCCTCTATTTCTTGACAGAATACTGCTGGTGAAAAGTGAGGTTTTAACCAAAACTGAGCTGGAATAGTAGTAGTAGAAGTAGAATAGTAGTAGCGGTAGTAATTGTAGTAGCAGTAGTACTGGAGGTACAGGGTAAAATTATACAATCTTTCATTCAAGTACAAGACAGATTTAAATATAAAATATTGAAAGCAATACACATAGTGCAAACTAACATGAGGAGATGACCCTGTCCACGTTTTATTCCATACATGACTAACAAGGTTTGAGTTTGGTCACCCTAACCCTCACAGCAACAGAATACTTTCTACATCTCATTTACAATGACCATTACAGAATTTGGTCAATAGCTTTTTTTGGAAAAGAAAACAGGTAAAATATATAACTTTAGTGTGGTTAGTGTTTTAAGGTTAGTGTGGTAATAGATTATTTTCATGCTCTCACCAACGACACAAGTAAATTCTTAGAATGTATTATGGTGAGAAATGTGTTCTTCTTTATGCACACGTGCCCCCTGTAATGAGAAGCTCGTAGGCAGGATCTCTGCCTCTGCGGCACAGCACGACACATGCACACAACATCCCCAGCATCTAAAAGGAAAGAGACAGACACCATATTAGTGTTTTTACTTCTTAAATGTTGTTCATAGTTACAACCAGTCAGACATTTGGCCTTGCAGTATGGAATTCCACTGTAGTTGTGTAACTCGTGCTGCTTTGTTTGGACTTATTGCTACAATTATAAAACCAATAGGAGACAGAAAACAAACAGACCAAAATAATTAAAGGTATATGGAAGCATTTTGGGAAACACACTCATTTGCCTTCTCGCTGAGACTAGATGAGAAGATCAATGCCACTCTCCGGTCTGTATAGTGAAAATGTATCTAAAAACTGTTAGCTTGGCTCAAAGACTGGAGACAGGGGGAAACAGATCTGTGCACAGATAAAAAAAATCTATCTAGCAGTACCTCTTAAGCTCTAAAGCTTAACATTTAACACATTATATCTTTTCTTGACAGGATGTGGTGACTTTCTTCATTTACCATCAGGTTGCCTGGCAACTAGGGTAAATTAATGAGCTTTAAAATAGTACAACTATATATGTAGAGTGGACAGATACAAATGTAGCATGTGACAAAACCACATTGCTCTAATTTTTCTTGTTATGATCCATTTATTGTTGTGAAGGCTGTTCTTATTAACATGGATTACAAGGAGACCAGAACAATCCAAACAAGGCAGCTGAAATGCAACCGAGCGCTATTCATGGGTCGTGTGTCTGAGCAGTCAGCTCTCCTTGGTTCAAAGATATCTGGTTACTCTGCAACAGGTGATGCAATGCTAATTCAGTGCCTATCAAGTAACCAAAGCTCATTGTACCACCATTTTAAGTGTGCATGTCCAAAATAATTGCTGGGTGGTCATACAAACACCAAAGTGTAAAGACGACAGGTTCTGGTTATACGGGGCGTTATATGGCAGACTATTTCTTGACTGGGTGTAGTGACTTTCTGCAATCTTGTCGTCACCATGCAGTTGCCTGGCAACTAGGGTTAATTAGTGAGCTTTAAATTGGTACAAACACACATGTAGAGTGGGAAGATACAAATGTAAGATTCACTAACTTCATGATGCTACTTAAAAGGGAGGATTTGTTTTGTACCATAGCCTTAATATGACTCAAAATATAAACATCTTATGATAAAGCCACAACTACTGGGGCAGATCCGGACATATATTTTAATGGATCAGTAGCACCTAAAATAAAGCCAATCAATATCCGTACATGTACTGCAGAGCGGTGCGCTGTATGGGAGTGAAATTTAGACTGTGTGGATTTGAAAATGTATTTGGTTGCACTATTCTGACACCCAACAAAACTGTTATCACTCCTCTCTTATTAGCGAAGAGAAGTTTACAAAACATTCAGCTTGCAGCTTCTCCTTTTTAGCTGGCACACATCGCTTTCATCGGCTAGAATGACGCACTTTGCTGACAGCTTGTATCAGCTGTCGGAAATTTAGATTAATTCTGCAAGTGTTTACAGAGTGATATGTCTTCTCTCTAGCTGATTGTCTAAAGTCAGTTTCAGGAGTCCCTGTTCAATTTATATTCTTATCATATCAATAATTTCAGCTTATCAACTTCACTCAAATGTTTTGCACCAGGACCTTCAGTATTTGGTCAGACACATATGTAATTTGTCATGACTCAAATACTTAATGTTGTATGATTTGGAAGGGGGCCAAAAAAGTAAAAATCTTTAAAAATCTTAAAGAAAGTTACATACTTGGATGGCAGCAAATGTCAGTGCAGTCCAGATGACATACATCATGATCTCCTTCAACTTCTTCACAACCAGAGCTTCACAACCCTATACACACACAGAATATGTTCAAACATATCAAGTTATAAGTCACTGCCGTTTAAAAATGAGTAGTATTTGGTATGAACACTAGGCAAGTTTAAAGATTCCTTTACTTCTTGGTAGAGATCTTCAGGATGTGTGAGGGACCCGGTGCAGGTTGCAACTGTAGTTTTACAACAGCTGATGGGTACGCTGTTATTTTTAGATTCTTCATACCAGTGTGTATTCTGCCAGTCTGAGTAATTGTGGATCCCACAGCACTGAAGCTGTGAAAATGAAAACAATCAAAATAACTGACCTGCAGTTGTATGCCAGCACCAATCAGTCAAGTCGCAGTCTACGTGCATGTCTGTGTAGACTGATATAGTATATGTGGTGAAGACTTTGAAGGAATTATATAAAAGCTATACAGAGTATTACACGTCTTCTACTAAATACTATTACAGCTCAGTTTTTGTTAAACAGATTCTTATAGCTATACAAAATGTGGTGCTTTGGTTTTCTCCTGGTATTTTTAGATGCAACGGGTTCTATTAGCTGTAGGTGAAACCCATACACAAGATCTCATTAGCTAGGTGCACTCCAACACTTCGCTTGCAGTCATTTGACTCGGATGACACTTAAAACTTAGAATGAGGCAGTAAGTGAAAGGCAGAATGTATGAGATGGAAAGATGAATGCCCGTACTGTGCTAGCTATTGTTTACTCGTTGTGTGGTCCCAGTCAATATGTGTGTGAAATCTGAAATCACAGTTCATTCTTTATTATAATTTTGGCCAAAACCTTATTTTGAGGTCATAATGACCTTTGAAGTGTCACCAAATCATTGTCCGACCAACTGTGAAATATGGTCCCAAACTTTGGTTCCTGAGTTAGGATGTTGAATAATGGCCAAAAAAGTTTATTCCAGGACATTATGATGTCTCAGTCTAGTTGACCTTTAGGAATAAATGAAATGCCATCACTTCATCGTGTGCAATTAAACATCTGTGTGAAATATTGTCATAATTACCACTCTTTACTATCTATTCTTGAGTTACGACCAAAAAACGTGTTTGTCGAGGTCATTCTGAGCTCACAGCGACCTTTGAGTAAAACATGTCACCAATTCATTGTTCAACTAGTTGTAAAATATGGTCATCCGTTCTTAAATTTCAAGGCAAGTTTGAAGAATCCCCTAGAGGCGTTTCTGAGATATCACATTTACAAGAATCAGATGGATGGACAACTCAAAAACATAATGACTACTCAAGATTACTGTCAACAACAGAAATGCAGGTGAAACAAACATTACAGCATTATATCTGGTTTACAGAGGATTTCTGTCCTCACCTGTCTCTGAACATAGTCGATGGCCCGACTCTGGGCATTGCTGTTGGTACCATTGTACTCATCATACACCTTCTTGATGGAACTATTAACTTCATCTTCAACCTGTAAATGGTAAAGAAAGGTGAGACTAAGCATTTGATGACCAATTTCTGTGAATGCTTCAAACCAACATGATTGCAAGCACAAGCAGATTAGACTAGGCTACAGCTGAATGATTGTTCCTGCTCTTCCGGATGGGTGTGATCAAGTTAAGCCTCAAACAAGGCCAAGAAAAACAAACATGTACCAACTCGTATTTGACTTTCTCACCTTTGCTCTGTAAATGTATCCGAGAACCACCACCGCCAGTTCCGTCAAGAAAACCAACAGGAGAATGACGACAAACTGTGGATTGAATTACAAGACTCAGGATGCACAGACAACATGCAACACATTGGAAAACTAATACGAACTTAAACAAAAAATGGACTGTTTAACACTTTGACATGTATTTAAGACAAGATTAGACAGAATACTTCCCCTTGTGAGAAAAAGTTTGAATAATAGGTATTCTGTGCAGTTTCTGCACCATGGGTGTATAAATACAGTATATGGAGTCTGTTATTTAAAATCTTTTGTTCATACCTTTTGAAATATTTGTATTTTTCCAATTGTTTGTGATTTATGACAAAAGTATTTTGTTATGTCAAATTTCAAATGTTAATGTATCCTGAAATCACACAAGGTTTCAAAGTTAATCTTTGAATAATCGTTTGCTACTCAAAGGCATTAGTACCCTCATCTATCCAGCTGTTTACTGACCGTTGTGAGTCCACAGTAGCTCTCTCTCACGGTAGCGCAGCATCCAATGAGCCCAATAATGAAAAGGAGGGCTCCAACTGCAATGATGGTCACTGCTGGGATGAGAGTGTACACGTCTTCAAAGAAGTGATCGTAGTCATCGTATGTGATGAAGACGTAAGCGCCAACGTAGCACAGGACACCAGCAGCAGCCTGTGGGTGCAATCAAGTGGTAACACACCATAAACATGTCCCATAGCCTGTTGCAAGACATTTCACACGTTTCTTTATGAACTTTTAAAAGTACGTGACAATAAAGAGTACACTGTGGTTGGTTTCTGGAGGGTTATTATTCAGCATCTCACATGCAGCAGCACACAACATATCATCACTTATCCCCAGAGGTGAAAATCTCTTGTGCTTTAACTTGAATATTTCCATTTTACTCTACTTTAAACTGCACTAAAAAGCTGAGTTGCAGATTTACCACATACAACATACTCGCATGATTTCTGGAGCTTTAACTACCCAAGAGCATGTACTCAAAGTTGGCTCCACCTCAAACTGCTGCAACATCCAAATGCTACTCACGAATGAATGCATCAGTAACAATAATTTATTACAGTGTAAATAATAACAACACACGAAAATAAATGCATCTTCCACTTTACACGTTAGGTAAGGTAGGAGGTAAGATTTTGCTGGTGGTATTTTCTTTTTTACTCGTCCTTTTAAGCAAGTACCACAGTTTATTTAACACCTGTGATGAGACCTGCTGTTTATAAAGAACCACCCGAGGGCTTCATACCAAAAACAAGATGGACATTTTAAACTAGGTTAGTTTTTATGCCATTATTGACACAAACAGCTGAGTCATAATCTCTGCCGCTGGGTGGATTAAGGTCACTACTCCCCGCATTGAGGGTCAAAACACTGATAGTTTGACTTCAGTAACGTTAACGGTTAAGCAACACTGCCATGTTTAAACTCTAAAACATAATGGCATGCTTCCCTTAACACTGTGTGTTGTTAGCGGGAAATCATTAAATAATAACAACATATCTCTAAAGTGTTTACTACTGACTTGTCAAACTAATCCCTCCCTGGTTTTAAACAAAGGTCGGTTGCCGCAGCTAGCAGAGCTGCTGACTGGGACAACACAGCTAACGTAGCTAGCCGCTGTGACGCACGTTTAAAACTGTCAGAAACCTCCAAACTTACCCAAAATATCAGGTTCAGAAAGACCAGGACCGTCTTTGACGACGTGATGCCGCACTGTCCCATCTTCAACACGGGGATTTAATGCTGTAACGTGTTGAAATATAATGCAGGGTTTCTACTCAGACATGTCCCGGACTGCTCCACCGCTCACTCTCCATATCTGTCACTGTGGATCGTCTGGTTGCGCAGCAGCGCCGCCACCACGCAACCAGAGTAACAACAAGAAAGTATTCACTTAACCACCCCGGAATCTAGTGAATATGCTAAATATAGATACATACATTTTATAACTATATAACCTTTTGTTTGTGATGTATGCTCTCTGTCAGCTATTAAAAATAAAGGTGTGTTAAAGGCAATCGAAATATTATTTGAAGTGTTTTGCTGACATCTAGTGGTGGGAAATATAATTTCACTTCAGAATCAGAAATTCTTTATTGCTCCCCGGAGGGAATATGTTTGTTACAGTTGCTCAAGGTGCTCATGCAACGTTCAAGAATAGAAATAATAATTACATTACAATATCTAACGCAATATATATAGGAATAAAAAGTGTGTATATAGGTATATACATATAAGTAAAACATTTAAATATAAATACAATAAGAGCCTAAGTATGTACCTTATAATAATACAACATATACAATAGCTATATGACAGTAATATAGACATAAGTAAATGTATGCCACGGTATGTGACTGACAGAAATGAAATGAGTAAGGTTGCAGTATTACAGAAGTATTACGGAATAGGCCAGTGTATTGCACATTGACCTGAGTAGTGCACCGTAATCAAATTATTGCACATTAACCAGAGAACATTTCAAGCACAAGTTTAGTGACTAATGACTCAGAGTTTTGGCACTAAAGTTGTAGAGTTTGATGGCCACAGATTATTGAGTCTGTTAGCGTCCGCTACTCTCAACCTGCTGCCTAAGCACACAACAGCAAACAGGATAGCAGTGGCCACCACAGACTCAAAAAACACCCTCAGCATTGTCCGGCAGATGTTGAAGGACCTCAGCCTCCTCAGAAAATAAAGAGGGCTTTGGCCCTTCCTGTAGAGGTCAGTGTGTACTCCCAGGTACTTGTAGTCCTCTACAGTGTCAGTGGGTAAACTGTAGTTTCCCCTAATTTATAGATACAGTTGATCTAAAAATTTCAAAGAGGTTGATAAACAGAGTTTACTTAGATATTCCCCCCACTATGCCCCTGCTTATACATAAAACATGTATCATTACCACTGGGATCACTGGTTAGATTACATGACCTCAAACATACAAAAGGTATACTGGTTTCACAATAGAAATCCAGAGATAAGGTAGTCAGTGGTCACTAAATCATCAGTATGTGATTTATGGTGTAACCAAAGAAAAATTTAAATGAATGAAGAGATCAAATGAGTTTATTCTGTTTGCCCACACACTCAAATACATGAGAATATGCCTATACATGGTGAAGAGCAGAAAAGTGGCTCACAGGATGTATTATTTACACGAGGAAGAATGTAATGTAAGCCAGGTCTTACAGAAGACACACTGAGGGACAGATTCCTTTAGGCATTATTTAGATTGTGCATGCATTTTTTTTTTTAAGATTATCATTAAGGAAAGGGAAACTCTAACACATCTTATTTTGAGTTGTTTATCAAATACAATACAGTGCAGCCTCCATTTAAAGGAAAGTGCAGATTTCTTTTCAAATTTCACACCTTCACATTTTAAAATTCTCTTCTATTTCACAGTAGAGAAGCTGAACTCAGCATGTGTGCCAAATATTTTATCCCAGTGGCTGAAGTGTGGTGCAAAATTGGTGTTGGGTTTCTGATGGTGCACATCGTGTTTGCTGGGCCCTCCATAGATGCCAAATGGTATCAGACGTGATGTGGACCAGGGGAAATCATAGCCACAGTGATCCTCTATGGAAACGTAGACATGTAACACCATGAATGTCCATGTGGTGAGAAGGTGGCATCTCAGGATCACAGGATTCAGAGTGGTCCAAAAGCCTACTGTGACCAGCTCCCAGCCACCAAGACACTGAGTGGCTAGAGCAAAGGGAGATGAGTAATTGTGATGGATGGCATGAAAAGTGACATACAGCCAGCGGATCCTGTGATGGAGCAGGTGCCAGATAAAGTACTGGAAGTCAAAGAGCAGGAGGTTACAGATGACACCGCCAATCAGCTCCAGCAGGGCCGGCGCTTGGTCTGGCAAGTCCACAGGTGGCCTCCATGCCCACTGGGCCACTGATGCTGGGAGCACCAGAAACACATGGTTGTACAAGGTAACGCCCGCACAGTGCAGCAGTGTAGAGGCTGTAGGACGACGGCTGGGTTGGATCTTGAATTGCTGGACCCACGTCCACCTTTCTCCCATGATATCGCAAACAAGGAAAGGGAGGCACAAGACAAAGTAGGAAGACACGGTCAGAACAACGGGGAAGAGTGGAGATCTCAAATAGTCTCTGTAGTTGAGTCTCAGGCTGTCCCACAGAGGCTGCAGCAAAGAATCATTTTCTAAGCATCTGATCCAGAGATCAGCGGTATCTACAAGATCCATCCTGCAGTAAGAATCACAAGGTAAATATCGTATAAATGTCTGAGGAATGTAGACGTTACAGCTGGAACAGTGGCTATGGGACTTGAGTGTCTTTGCACACTGTGTGGTTTCAAGTGACAGTTGGGTGCAACAAGTCAACAAATTATTCATACACCCTGGGTGACTGGTAACAAGTAGCTCACAGTGTGATAAATTGTTTAAAATTATTTCATTCTCTCAAACATTTTGCTATATATCTTGCATGTACAGGGGCTACACTAGTACACAGGAAATTGATATAAAGGGCTGCATCCCACTCAAAAAGATCACATACAGTATAGTGTCAGAAATTAATACAACACCTTTCTGGAGATTTAACAAAATATATTAACAAAATAATGAGCTCTTAGCCTCAGCTTTTAAGCCTTTTGTAATTCTTTTCAGTGTTAAAAAAATGGAAATCTACAGTTCCCTTTATACAAAAAAAAAGACATCATGTAGAGTAGTAACATAATGGACCTTGTGGTGAGATAAGGGCTCAAAAATAAACTTTGAACCCGAGGAAAAAAGGTGGACGTCCATTTCACACTCCCAAACATTAGAGGGCGACAAAACACATTTATATCCAATGTACAACAAAGGACGTTTATGCAGCCCGTAAATAAAAAAATCTCCACAACCTTTACACATAATAGTCTCGTTCTGCTGTGTCACGTTTCAAATCGCTACCCCAACAGATTCGGGACCTTTCGTCCCACGTAATGACGCAAAACGACTACGCTGCCGAGTCACCTGACAGGTAACAGTAACATAACGGCTAAAGCCACTTTTCTTTAACACAATGCAACTTATCATTAGACGGAATAAACCTTTACGCGGACACTTTGTCTGTATTTGAGGTAATGCCATCTTCCAAAATATTAACTAATTTGTTCTGAATGAAGTGACCAACATTAGCAACACGTAACGTAAAGTTGAGCTAACGGTAACGGTAGCTAGGTAACGTAAGATAGCTAACGTTGGTCTTTTGTCCGCTCATAAACAGTATAGACTTGTCGATATGGTAACGTTGCTGTTAGGCCAAATGGAACCAATAGACTCTTTTCACAACAGGAATCTTGACATGAAATAGTAGGGTAAACTCAGGTGTTACCAATGAACCTAATTAAGGTTCCGCTTCCGCAAACAGTCAAGATATTGTGCATGTTGGCTCACTGGGAAGGCTTTGATACACTAAATGGAACAGAGCCTTAATTGGTAATAATTGGTAACACCTGGTCTTAGCCTACTATTGTAGGTCAGAATGGCTGCTGTGAAAAAGGTCTATTCTAGCGTTTATGGGTAATTTGACAATAATAGATCATCATATGATTCACATAGAGCAATAAAACAGGTTCAGGTCCATCGGATAGACTTTTCGATATCTTAGGTATTTAACAGAGACAGACTTGCTGTTTTACATTATATGGACAAATGTAACGTTATATGGAAACCTCTGTACACATGTACTTCAGATCTGGGTTTTTTTTTTCTTGCCTTGGGTTGGTTTTTGGGAAAATATCATAAAAGGGTGTTGGTGTTACGCCATAGGGAAGCCGAGATTGGCTATATTGAAATAAGGTATCATCATGGATCCCTATATGGTATGCTGCCAAAATAATAGAAAAGTAGGGGACTCCATCATGAAACCAATAAATACATTTCCATTACTTCATTTTAAAGAATCATGCACCGAAAAGGCTGGGAAGCGTGTTCTCTGTTTTAGAAGATAGATTTCTTCCAACTTTGTGGCACCTGTTTGGGGAAGACACTGGTCTGTTTCAAAATGACATAAAGAAATGGTTTTCACAGTTTGGTGGGAAGAACTTGAATGTCCTTATCGCCCAGCACCAGTCCTCAACCAAGGCTTTTGTGGCCGAATGAGAGGAAATACCTGAGTGGAGGCTGTTCCAGTATCAGTATTAATGCCCATATCAATCACACATGGGTGTAATCTTTGTTTGTCCACATACGTTTGGCATTGTAGCGTTTATATATGTAAAATAAGCAGATACGTCTCTTTAATCTGTGTTGCTGTATTCATTCATTCAGGTGGTAATAATGATGGAGGAAGGTGAAGGAGAGAAGCCGACAGGTGACTCAGAGCCTGTGCCTCAAACACAGCAGCTGTGTCGCTACTACTCTCAAGGAAGACGCTGCAATTTTGGGAAGAAATGCAGATTCCTGCATGTAAGAGATAATGCCAAAACTCATGAGAAGAAAACCATCACGACACCTAGCCAATCAGATGCCACATCTCCAAACTCAGAGGTCCCTGGGGGAAATGAGGGGCACAGGCCTCCTCCCACTAGTAACTCCACGGTTGCCCCAGCAGCTAGCCGTCGCCCCTGTCGCTACTTTATCTCAGGCCACTGCACCATGGAAGACAGATGTCGCTTCTGGCATCCACCGCAGTTTACCACAGTGGAGGACCCCCCTATTCCTTGCACAAGACCTGTGCAGAGAAACCCACCAGTACCCCGTCCCAGCATCCTCCAGGAGGTTAAGTTGCATGACCTGACAGAGGAAGTTGTCAACCAACTGCGAGACACAGAGATCAAGCAGTTGAAGAAGCGTTTTCCCAAAGACCAGCTGATTATTCAGGAAAGGGGTGATGGCAAAGTTACTTATTACAGGACCACTGTAGAGGCCACTGATCCAGACTGGGTAAACATTTTCTTGTACTTTTTTTCTTCTCTCCTGCCGCCAGAGCTTAGAGCAACAGTCTACAAACATATTATTTCTATAATACAGATCAGTTCAATTCCTTTTATGCTGTAACAGCAGAGTTATTCTGCTATAATAGTGGAACTGTTAATACAGCATTACATGGGATTTGTATCAGTTGAACTCCACCGCTGAGATTACATTAAGCAGATTTGTTACAAGGGGAATGGGGTAAAGCAGTTATTAAAACTTGGCTATTTTGGCTCATTTAAATTTGGTGTTTCTGAGCCCCCATTATAGGGTTTAAAAAAGCCAAGTTTTCTGTGTAAATCATTAACAAACCAACTTTTCATATACTTGTCATGCTTTGGTTTGATAGTAGGTTACAGATATGAAAATTACTCTACACTATTATCTGGAAATATACTAACTCTGCATTTTAACTTATAGCCTTTTGATCTAAAAGAAATTGACATCATGGTGAGCTTCCCTGACAATTACCCGCAGGAGGTAAAGACCACTGCTTTCATTCACACATCATGGTCTGTGATATACTATACAGTAAATGGTTGTCATGAAAAGAACAGCTCCTCATCAACTTGATACATTTTCTTAGATTTTCACATTGGATATACCGTTGGATCAGAATCTGCCACCAGTAATGTCGAGGTAAAAGTATGTGCGGTTTATTTTGACATTTAATGTTTCATTTGAGTCATTCGGTGTTGACGTTTCTGTAAATCTCTGGCTACACAGACATGTACAGCAAGCATCACTGGAGTGGCTTCAAGCCAAGCATGCAACCAATCTGCTTCTGGGAAAGGTAGAGTTGCTCTTCCGGCCTTTTCTCCGCTGGCTAGATCGTAGTTTGGAGAGACTGTTCACTGAAGGAGCCAGGCAGGTGAGGCTGCAGCCTGCATGAACAGGAGGTTGTGAATAGTGATGTTTGTGTTTTACCTTTGAAGTTAATGAACTGACCTCTAAATAACTGCTGATGAAGTTTTTCTCTTCATTTGAATGTTTTTGCAGTTGAAAAAAGACATTGATTTGGAAAAGGCTGGACTGCAGTTCATATCATACCAGGAGCTCCAGGCAACGGTGTGTGAAAAGTCCGCCTCTGACACCGCTGATGCAGATGAGGATGTCAGCGATGAAGGAAAACTGGAAAAGACGGAGGGCGAGAGGACAATGGAGAGAGGGAAGCACCAGGAGGTTCCCGGTTGTGATGAAGGGCAGCAGCAGGAGGAGAATGATGAGGAAGCCAGTCATCTGGTGGAGAACATTAAGATCAGTGATCCCCGCAGAGGGACAGAGGTGAAGCTGCTGGGACTGAGGCTGGGAGAGAACACAGCCACCGTAGTGGCACATCAAATCACAGTTTGTCTTCAATGTAACAGGTAAAGAAAAAAGATCTGATTGTCATTTAATGTGTATCATTCGCTATTTTCATATTCAGTATAGAATCCAAAATCGGAAAATTCAGAAAAAACGATTTGTTATTTTGTTACTTATTTATAAATCCAACACAAAAATTAATACCGCCTTTTTTTTAATTCTTTCTATGTTTTGCTGAAATCATACTTTGACTTTGATATTTAATGCGTGGGACCAGGAAGCTACAGATGTCTTTGTGTGCAGCAAATACACTTGAGTGATGGTGCTACCAACTATGGCTGTTTTTTCATTCATCCTATTTTTGACTTGAGCAAAATAACATCCCCCCCCCTCATTCTGGATTCTATATTGAATATAAAAATAAATGATACACAGATTTAATATTCTTTACAAATTCGTTTGTGGACTGTATGTGTACTACTGTCTGCAGGTGTAAGGTAACTGCAGACCTCACACTGACTGGAAGGACACCGTGCTCAGCTCAGTGTGAAAAGTGCAGTGCAAGCATCAATGCTGCATTCAGGCCCTGCATGCTGCACCATTACAGTGATGTCCTGGGATACTTGGACCTTCACAATGCTGCCCCTGCTGACCTTGTGCTTCAGGAATGTGAACTCATCGTGGGCTGCCTCAGCTGCTCCCAGGACGGTCCTGTGCAGGTGATGAAACACCACGCGCCTGTCACAGATTGTCACCATAAACTGTATGTCTTGATGATCCCTGAGCTTCTCTGAAATATCTCTATTGTCTTTCATTTTCAGCAGAACCTTTCCTATGGTCAAACAAAGGAGTTTAATTGTGAACACTGCTACAGCAGACTCAGTATTCTGGCTGAGAGCACAAGATTCCAGTATATTCAGCCACGCACCAACAAAACAGGTCAGAGCTCACCTACATTTGCAGGGATCAGCAAAGATTTAAGATCTTACAACAACAAACAGCCACAGTTGCTGACTCATGTTGCTTTATGTTATTATTTAAAAAGCCACACAGTGTGTTCAAACCAATAAATATTAGCATTTGTACACATACAAAATGATGACTGGCCAATATAAATGTAATTTTAATTTTTACCTTGTGCAGGTCCAAGTGCTTGTGAGGGTACTTATAAGACAATAAGAGATCCCTCTGTGCAAAAGGGGAAGCCACTGCCAGATAAAGGAACATGCAAACATTACAAACAGAGCCATCGCTGGCTAAGGTATAATCATCACTATGTCCTATCTTATTTCATGACTGACATGGAGGCTCCGATAGGAACATAAAGAATAGTGTCCAAGCTTTGTGGCACTGACTCCCCTCAGGTTCCCCTGCTGTGGCCGTGCTTACCCCTGTGATGTGTGTCATGATGAGGACCAAGACCACCCCATGGAACTGGCCACTAGGATGATATGTGGCTACTGTGCCAAAGAACAAGTGAGCTATAGAGTTGTGACATAACATTGTATGCATAACATTGTGTAATAGCATTTTAGCCTTTGAGCTTATGCTGTTATCCAGGCTGACACTCAATTCATTGTAGAGAATAAGTCTAATATTGTAGAACGTGTATCTGTGCTCTCTGCCAACAATTGGAAATCTTTCTAAACTTATCAGCAAATATGCCAGAGGGACAGTATAAGAGGTGCACATTTGTTGTCTTGATTGGTTCAGTTCATTCCTTAATTAAAAAATACTATATGTGGTTCCAACTGGAAGCATGAATGCATAAAGGTTAATGTTAGACTTTGTCTCATAATGGGAACATTTTTAAATAATATCCCTACATTGTTTGTTATTGCAGCCGTACAGCAGTGGAAAGGCTTGCATCACCTGTGGAAGCATGATGACAAGAGGTGCACGCACCAGCCACTGGGAGGGAGGACTGGGATGCAGAAACAAAGTCAAAATGAACAGGTACATCTACCAAAGTTTTTTTGTTAACATTACTGATGAAAAACATTTTTTATTCATTAAAAAGATTGCCATTTCTGTTAGTGGTTACAAGATTAAGAGTTTGTTTTTTCTCTCCCTTCAGAAATGATCGACATAAATATGCCAACACCAACAAAACTATTTCAAGGAAGGCAGCCAGTGAAAAGAAGTAGTTGGTGAAGAAGAAGAGCATCATTGCCTTAATTAAATTAATTAAAAGACATACATTCAATGAAATAGTATGTTTCTGCAATAAATCATGTTGTTATGATCACTCAGTGTTAATTTTTTGATTTTATATTGAAAGTCTGTAAGACTGTTAAAGGAGAAATGCAAGCAGGTCATAACATTACACAAAAATAAGTCAATTCAAGTAGCCCAGCCTTCTAATCTAGCTGTGTTGGTTAATCCTTTTATATCAGAGAAGTGCAATACTGCTTTGAATTATCGATGGACTAATTAAGCATCAGCTCATGATATTCATATTTTATGGACAACTTTGGAGTTACAAACAGCATTCTAATAATTTCCTCCAAGTTGTACTGACACACCATTATATGCCATGTGAACAATTCATCATCAAAAACACCAAGATAAGCAGTTTTGTGGTTAAATTTAAGATTTTGAGAAATATCCATAAAACCAATTTAGGGTACATTCTGCAATTCACTTTCACTTCACTTTTACAAGAAAAACTTGTCTGACAGTGGGAATGATGGCTTAGAGCTTCATAACAGTGCTGAATAACCACATGTTATTTGTTCTGCCAGCTGTAATACTGAGCATATTCATCCTGCCTACACCAACTGCCACTGGATGTTCCTACTCTATATGAGGTATTAAAAAATGCTGACCCTTGTACTGGTCGAGTCTAAACCTTATCAATTAATTATGTCTAATAAATGTTCTTGAATGGTTCTGCTAATCTTCTTTGTGAAGGTCTGCTTGTCCACATTGAGCTCCTGGGGGGGAAAAGCTGCTGGACTTTTGAGAGAACAAAATGTTCTGTGGAACTCCACTATATAAAGGCAGAACTTCTTCTTGATCCTGAGACTTATAGCAGCAGCAGCCTTCAGTGGCACAACAGCAAGATGTTGAACATCAGCAACCTGCCTCTGCAGCTCCTGCCCTCCAGGCACTCAGACCGTCTACTGCAGCCATTCTGGGATTATTTGCTTTTTCACCACCTTCCTCTCATCTCATCTCCCTTTTTCCCAGTCCTACTTGCTTTCTCCAGCTATTTTTTCTTCAGTATACCTTTTGCAGCACTGGACCTTTTGGGAGAAAGAGTGCCTTTATTTTATCAGTACAAGATCCAACCAGACAGGCAGCCAACATTGGGGATGATGGCTAAGAGCTTCATGACAGCGCTGTATAACCACATATTCTTTGTTCTCCCAGCTGTAATAATGAGCGTATTCATCCTGCCTACACCAACACTGCCACAGGATGCTCCTACTCTATATGAGGTATTCACTGGCAGTCTGGCTGTGCTTCTCCTCTTTGACACTCAGTACTATATTTGGCATTTCATACATCACAAGCACCCACAGCTTTACCGGTGGATCCATGCAATCCACCATCAATACATGGCACCTTTCTCTTGGTTTGCCGAGAACTTAAGTGTCCTAGAGTTGATGACTGTTGGATTCTTGAGCAACCAGGACCCAGTTCATTTAAAGTGCCACCCACTGACTTCTTGGTGCATCACAATTGTTAGTATCTGGATGTCTGTGGAGGACCACATAGGCTATGACCTTCCATGGACCCTAAACCACCTGGTGCCTTTTGGTCTGCTAGGCGGTGCACCGGCTCATGACATGCACCACCAGAAGCCAAACAGCAACTACGCTCCTTTCTTCAGCCACTGGGACAAAATCTTTGGAACTGCCGTTCCTCTGGAGAAAAAGACTATGAGAAAATAATAACAAGTGTCACAATTATTTGTCTTTCCTTTTGTGAAATGCATTATTTTGTCTTTGTGAGGCTGCTTTCTCAATGGACTCACTTTCTGTACTACAATAGTTTTAGTATTTTTTAGGTATTTTCATTCAATAAAACCATCTTGTTTACAAACATTCTCTCATTATTGTTTCTATTGGTGTTATACAGAATAAGTTATAAATATTGACACAATCAATACATTATTCTCCATGCATGTCATGTGTGCATAATCACACTTCATTCATGTCATTCGAGTGAAGTAATTACCGTAACAACTTCCTGTGCTTCTTTTCCTCACAATCTTGTTATATAACACAAACTCGGGCATTACTCAGCAGTATTTTGCCTACAAATTCCCTCAACAAATAAGGAGCTTTTGAAGGAAATTAATTACCAGGCTTGTCACCAAGAGGTCAGGTTCAACAGAAGGGGAATTAATGTTAACCCATACTTAAGTGCTGAGCTTTGATAGTCAGCTTTTTTCAACACACAAATACAATGGAAGTTAATTAGAAAACCCTTCAAATCCATTGATCTTCAACACTTTGTTCAAGGGTGGCTGTGCCTCAGGAAATAGTGGGTCATCTAGTAATCACAAGGTTGGTGGTAAGATCCTGGCTCTTCCCCACTGCATGTCGAAGTAGAGCAAGACACTGAACCTAAAATTGCTCCTGATGCTGTACATCAATGTGTGAATATGACTGAGTTAGTTTCTGTTTGATGGGCTTTCCCATTACTGTAGTACAATAGTTTACAAGTACAGTTCGTTTACCATACACTCACATAGAAACTGATATGCTGGTCGCAGACATGTAATTTGGTACCATCGCCATGGCAACCCTTAATTGCTTATCTTCACTGGAAACTGAGGATGGGGCTATTCCTTCAAAATAAAGTCCCCATATAATAACTATCTTAACAGGAAACTACAGATATATTTAATTTTTCGAAATAATTTCACAAACATAATTGTATCTTCTCTCTCTCTCTCTCCGGATACAAACCAAGCATCCAGGCACACTCAAAATTTCTTGAGAAATGTTCTAGTTTGTATAAAATATACAAGAATTGCATGTTTGTACACACTTAATTTGAATATATTTATTTGTTACAGAAAATAAAAAAAATGAAACCAATGATATAAAATTTTAGTGAAGACTCTTATTTAAATACTGCACAAACATGTTGGAAATGTGTCCGGTGTTCTCCGTTGGGTGCATCTTGGTGTAGCTGATGAACTGGCGCCGTAACTTCCTCAGCTCTGCCATGTTGACGCTCCTTGTGAGCTCAATGTTAAACATCAGGTTAAGGTCATTAAACTGCAAGCTTGTCAGCATTAAAACTGATCTCACATGAAGACAGAGAAAATTGTCTTATGTTTTTTATGTTTCACGCACAGCTGAATGCTGAAGAAGTGATAATTAACTAGGGCTGCACAATTAATCAAAATATTATCGAAATCACAATATGGCCAAGTGCAATATCCAATTGCAGAAGCTGTAATTTTTTGTTTAAGGTAAAATGCGTGACAAAACAGCATTATGATGTACTGTAGTGGTGCCAGGCCTACAAACCTTGTTCTCCAGATTTAAATTAACATGTTTGTTTGGTACAGACCCCAGAAAATGATGATAGTTCTCACACTAATTGTAAATGTATTGCAACATCTGTCAAAATAATTGCAATGTGATATGCAGCTCTATAACAAACTAACTAAAAGTATCTGAAGGTCACAGCTTCACATCTCAACCTTTAAGGAGAGCAACACAATGAAACAACACAAAGAACTAAACGTTACTGACGCAATCTCAAATTCAAATTATGCACTGGTCATTAAAGGTTGTCTGTGCAGAACCTAATGTACTTTTAATTTGCCTGGACCAACACGTTCAAAAGGAGATAATCAAAGTGCTTGCTTCTGAGAATCTCTGAAATAGTGCAGCCGTCAATAAAAATCCACTTATCTATGTAATTTGGTTTCTCTCCTCCATACGTATCCCGCAGTATTTTATTACAGGCAAGACATTTAACGGTGATTGGCTGCTGTGCCTTTCATTTAATCTCTTTGATGGGCATGCATTCATCCAACCCCCCTTCTAACAAGTCATTTGATGTGGTGTACTTTGCCTCCTGCTGGTGAGGTAATATAACTTTTCTTAGTAGGTAGATGATGAAAATGAGTCAGCACAAATTAAGGGGCAATACAAATTTCAGGCTGTCGTTGGCTGTGAAAGAACACTACTGCCTGGATGTGTGATGTCACACATGAAAACAGGACTACTAATCTGTTTAATATGAAAGGATTCTTCAAAATTTGGTTCTATGTACATGTACATGTGTAAAAAGGATATCTTTTCTGTAGCTCCTGGAACTGAAATGAGATCCCCGGGAACACTTGTCTTCTGTGCATTAAAAATTGCCTGAAAAAAAATCAAATTGCTTTATCACACACATTGCATACACAGGGTAATGTTTCTGCTTAATACTTCAATTAAATGGACAGATGAAAACAAAATTATAAAAGTGCATTTATAGGGAAATTGTGCAGAAAATTGTTTTAAAAGGATGAAAGTGCAAGAATGAAAACATTACTCTCCATTCAACCTTTTGTACAGGTTTACTCAATAGCTTATTAAAGGAACAGAGCAGGTGATTTGTTATTGTCTAACCGCAATTAGCAGACACAACCCATCACAAAGACACATCAATAGGTAGATAAATAATTACAGGAGCAAAGGCATTTACAAAACAACATTCCAATGATGAAGGACACCTTGACGTCAGCTGTTTACAGAGGCAGGACACACACAGGTGACTGCCAAGCATTAGGGGAAAAAAAGTCTTATCAAGCTTAGCAGAAATCAAAACAATTACATTCTTCACTTGGCTGAGGTATAAAGCACTAAACATGTCTGGTGGACATAATGACAAAAAGATATCCAATGACATCACTAGTTTCTTCCCATTACACCATTGTGAAGCTGGTTGGTATAATAGAAAAGTCAATAATTTTACCTGTTGTGTCGCTTGGGAAAAAAAGCACCAATATATACATCATATGTAATAGAAGTAATAGAGCTTTGCAGTAGTTTAGACATGCATGGAAGTAATTTATAGTCACATGTCCCATATAAGCTCAAATCAGGCAGTCCATATAAACATGTGCTGCTAATTCAGTATACATACAACAATGCTGAGCCTGCTTCCAGACATTTTAATCCCTCCACCACCAGCCTCCTCTCGCATTAGGATTTAGTCTTAAATGTTTTCGACATGTGTTCATGTAGAATAAGTGTTGTGTACCTCAGGCTCTGCCAGAACGGTTGTGAGCTCAGGGACAAGCTTGCTCAGAGTTGTTCCTAAGATGCATATTGATGCAATTAATGGTTAAATCTTGACCGCGTGTCCTGACTGAAATGCTATCTGTCTTCTTTAATGTAACAAATATAGCATCCAATATATTGATAATGCAAGTATTATTATAGTCCCAGCTGCAGGGCAGGGAATATGGAACAAACATGACTTTGTTATTAATGTTAAAAGACACACCCCCCGCCAATTTACCAGTGTGTCCTCCTGTAAGTGTGTGATGTCAACTTAAATATTGGTATATATCACCTTCCACTTTCCAAACTGTAATTATTAGCCTAGCTATTGACACTATTTGATGCTTTTTGTCTGTTAATCGCTCTCAGCCAATAAGTGGCCAGTCACTCTGTTCCCTTGATTTGCTATTCAGGTCACATTTACGTCACATGGGATGGATAGTAGATTACTGTGATTACAATCTACAAAAGTTCACGTCATAAGACAACTCAAGGGGGTTGGATGATTGATTGAATGAGGAGTTGGTTGCATCAGGGTTAAAAATACTGTCCACTGGCAACATAATACTATGTCAATTAAGTGGGACGGTCATGTTTGTTCGGTTTTTAAGAATTTCCATATTATTAAGCGCCAAGCCAGACGTATCACCGTGGACGTTGGCAAGATCCCTATTTACAAGTTGGATATAACATGAACACGGCTATAAATAACTGCATTACCTTTCCAGGCACTGAAGAAAGTCTACGATGTGGAGTGATATGTTTGCAATGTTGAACAGGTGCTTTGTGAATTGATGTTTCAGCATATGACTTCTCAGTACACTATATTTTCTATATTTTAAAAGAACAAATGAAGACATACCATTAACACATCTTGTGTGATCTTGTCCAACTCGTACAAGAAATTTGCAGATGACAATGGTTGCTGCAGAGAAAAAGAATATCACTTTTAACATCAGAGAATCAAAAGAGCGACAGAGCATATACTTCTACAGTATATTGTACTGCTTGTATATGTCTCTTACACTCTGTGTGGACTGGTTGGGTGGGGGTGCTTTTCTTTTGAAAAGTGCGTCAGAAATGGCTTCATATGGAAGTGTGTCGTCTTCCAGGATGCTGAAGAGGGGACTGTCCCATCGGTTTCTGGAGTCTGGAGCTTCAAATCTCAGCACCAATGCATCAAAGCTAAAACAGACAAACCAGATTGGTTTGTCCAAAATTGGACAGTTCATTTTTGACAATGACATTCATTAAGGTATTGTTTAATCCAAAAAATTAAAACCACAGATTGAAATGCACATCTGCTTCTCACTCACATCTCCTGAGTGTACTGCTCAGCAGCCTCTCTGCTGGTGTTCCATGTTGAACTCACTTGCTCTGACGTCAAACAGTACACCTTCATCAAAAGAAAGCATGTGATTTTAAATGTGAATAGTGTTTGGGTAATAGTTTTTTTAGATAATCATAATCTCTCTAGTATACATACCAGGCAGTGCGGTGTCTGTGTGTGTTTGATGAGACAGAACAGTTCATAGCGGTAGCCTGTAAAGTATTTCAACTTTAAAGGTAAAAGCATAAACAAATAATGTCTGTATACTAGCATACTACTGGTAGCCAGATTTACCTTTTATGTAATTTAATGAATCCAAAATTACAATGTGATCCTTGTTGACTGTCCTAAACAACAAATAAATAAAAGGTTAAAAGGGCTCAGAGACAGAACATGAACATGATGAATCTTTTCCAAAAACAGATATGGAAAAACCCACCTCTCTACTTGAGCTTTCAGAGATGCTCTGACATTTTTTTCCTTTTGGGAATCTGAAACATATCCAACAACCTTAAATTACAGCAAAGGTCAGAGGGTACTTCCTATGAATCCATTCTTCGTTGTGACTGTTCATTTGCAAATAACATATATTCCCATAAAGAAATAAATCTACCAATTCTTTTTTTAAATGATTGATTTATTGTTTAATTAATAAAAAGTAAAAAAAAAAAAAAAAAAAAAAAG